TAGGCTAGTTATCTTCTCGCATTTTTTCTGCAAGTCTTGTTCCGCTCCTCGTGGGAGGAAACCAACGCTTTGATTGGATATCGACCGGTTCCGGCTAGGAAAACCTCTACTGTACCTAGGTACCAGTACCTAGGTGGATTGTAAATTTTGACGACGGTGTGCCTTCCAAGTTGCTACTTCGAAGTACTCAGCACTCTACCTAGCCGATCCAAGCCCGATTGTGCCGGTCGGTAAGAAAGGGTCTGGGCCGTGGTACTGTTATCGTCGAAAATACTGCGACTTAGTACTGCCATCTTACCTAGACCTAGCTAGGTATATTGAACACTGCGACGACGCGCAGCTGGCCCTGCTGAGGCTATGTTTGCCGCCCATCGAATACCTTCGTTTGACCGTCTCGTCCGCCATCCTCCTTAAATCTTCCACGCGCTCTACCCGTCCTGCTGAATCCTGCACAGCGCCGGCCGTCTCTGCTACGTCGCATTCGAGGTACACTACGAGTCCGCCTCGATGTCAGCGCTGGAGGTGCTCTGATCGCTAGCTCATGGGCTGTATGAACATTATTCGAATGCTTCTCTTGCTGTACAGGTCACTGCCGAAATATTGGCTGAAGATGTGCTGCGTGGGCGTGTAAGGGAATCCAAAAATTCGAGTCGACCCGAGACCCCCATTCACGGACTGACGCACCGTTGTACATCATGGCTGTCGCGAAGGAAACACCCTACGACTCTTCCAGTGACGACGTGGAGGACATGGAGATGCAGGAAAGAAGTGACTCTCAGGACGAGACTCAGAACCAGCGCCTCCTGCCGGGCGACGATGCGGAAGCGATGGATGGTGTGGATTACAAAGTAGAATGGCACCTGCGGACCGTATGGGTGGTTGCGCTCTCTGTATGCGCCGCTGTTTTTGCATTCGCTATCCTCGTGGCCTTCACACGTACTTTCATCGTAGAAGGCAATCTAGGGCAACAGCCCGTGGACTTCGTGAGCGTGGGAGGTTTCCGAAGACCACCCGCCGACTACATTTTAGACCCTGCCTGGAATTTCGAAGCACCAGCCCAAGTGCGAACATACAATTGGGTGGTGACAGACATTGTAGGGAATCCTGATGGGGTCTTCAGACCGATGTTGACCATCAATGGCCAATTCCCGGGGCCGCTCATTGAATGTAACGAGGGGGACACGATCATCGTAGAAGTCGACAATCAAAGCATCAACTCTACAGCCATCCACTTTCACGGGCTTTACCAGAATGGCACGAACTGGATGGATGGGGCCACAGGCGTGACGCAGTGCCCCATCGCCCCCAGAAGGACGTTCAGGTATGAGTTCACGGTGTCTGGCCAATCTGGAACTTATTACTATCACTCGCACCAAGCGGTAACCGCATCAGATGGTCTTTTTGGCCCGCTTGTGATCCACGCCAGGAATGAGAAAGAACTGCAGCAAATATCCTATGCTTCGGATCGAGTTGTGATGCTTCAAGATTACTATCATGATGTTAGTAGTAAACTGTTAGAGTCTGCATTAGAACCAGGCAGCGAATCTCCTCCAATCCCAGACGGGGCTTTGATCAATGGGTTGAATCAGCAAGATTGCTCAAAGCTACCCGGCCGATTATGTGACAATACAACCTGTACTCAACCGCGAATGGATTTGCTCGCTGATGCGCATCATCGACTACGCATCATCAACGTCGGCGCTCTTGCGTGGTTCCAGGTATCAGTTGATGAGCACGAATTCAGTATCACCGAGGTTGACGGGACTGATATCATACCCACCAAAGATAGAAGACTCATGGTTAGCCCAGCACAACGATACAGTATAATGCTCAATACTGGTCAAAATACAGCCGACAACTTCTGGTTCCGTGCGAGAATGGTAACACATTGCTGGCAAGAACCAGACCTTCCTGGCCCTGGATTTGATGAGGTCAAAGCGGCCATACACTACACCTCCAAGAGGAGAGGAAAGGCAGCAGTTTCCCGACCAAGCACAAGACGGTGGAGTGCCGGAATGGAGGTGGAATGTCGCGACATGAATATATCCTCGTTTATTCCCGTCGAGTCCAACCCGACCCCAGTTTTCGCAGATCATAGCTATTACCTTCGATCTAATCTGGAAATCGGTGACTGGCGTCTGCAGCGCGGTTTCTTCAACAGCTCAACTTTCCGGCCCAATCTGCAGCAACCCACCTTACATCGATCTGTTGAAGGCTTAAGCAGTCGAAATGAATCCTTCACGACCAGTAGCGGCATCAACGGGCCCAACACGTTAGCATATGATATCAAGAACGATTTTCTAATACAGCATAATGGGATCCAAGTCGTAGATCTGATCATTCAAAACTTTGACGAGGGGAACCATCCCATGCATTTACATGGACATAAGTTCTGGGTCCTTGGTCAAGGGCATGGCATGTTTCCTGGCTATGAGGGATTGAAATTGGCGTCGGAGGGGAAAGGCTTACTTCCGGGGCAAGAAGGCGCCCTTGACACCCGTATCCGAAGAGACGTAGCTAGCACGGAAGGGTTTGGCTGGCTCGCGATACGATTTGTTGCTGATAATCCGGGTGTTTGGGCGTTCCATTGTCATATGGCTTGGCATTCTGAGGCAGGTCTGAGTATGCAATTTCTGAGCCGGGTTGAGGATGTCGCGCAATGGAGTATTCCGGAGGCGAATCTTGACTTGTGTGCAGCGGACATAGAAGAGCTTCGGAAAGGGGCGGCACCGCTAGATTCCAAGTGGTGGGGATTTGGTATAGGAGATTGAGGGCATAGGCCCGAATTCATAAGAAATGTTGGGAATCATCTTGGGTGTCAGAGTAAATAAAGTGAGAGTGGAAATGTGTTGTATAGTCTCGTGGCTCTTTACTTCTTGGCGATTTCGAAAATATCTTATTATATACATCGCCTCAAACCACTATACGATGTCCAATATCTTCTCCGAGAACCTAAAGTTAGATATTTGGTTTAGGTATAGAATTGGCAAAACCCCCTTCTAGACTATAAAGTAATCAAGACTTTCTATCATGTCTTTTCCGCTTTGTCATGACGACTGGTGTACATTGACAGTGCATTTACTACTAACCCACAATCTGGTTTCCACCATGGCCGTCAAACAATTTTGACAAATCAGAGTTCCACTCACACAGTATTTGACGTTAATTAAACACTAATACGAGGATGCCACATTACATTTATAGCTAAATGCTCATCGTTCAGAGGTTCGTTAATAAGCACCGAACGACCAGGCATTTTCAGTCTGCTTCAGCCACGTCTAGCAGAAATATGTTTTGTCATTTTTGCGTAAAGTCTGCATGCTCGTTACTATAGTATCTTCTGAAGTCTTCCCACTCATTAACCCATGATGCATATAGCATCTGTGAACTTGGTATCATTAACCTAAACACCAGACGGCCTCGCATCCACAATAAAACACTTTAACACCCAGAATTTTGCTCCAGCTCCATGCTAACCCATTTAGACAATACTCAAAAACAAGCCTGGATTCAACTTCCAATTAATTGCATTTTCCTTTTCTCTGCTGCTTTTTGCTCGAGCCGTGCTTTGGCAGCAGCAGCCCTCTCAGGGGGGATTCTTTTCCTGACCCTGGGGCTTTCTACGATTGGTAGTCGACTTGAGGTTTTGCCTGCAGGCGTCTTCCTGCGCATTTCAGGATTGGAGTTTTGTCTGACGATTTCCCCAGCCGAAACAGGTCTGGGGTTCGTAAAACTCGGAGGGCTTGATGGGATGTCGACAATGGATGGCTTAGGACTTATTCGAGATGCTTTTTCGTGGAAACCCCGATTCTTGTTCTGAGCCTGAAACGACTCAGTCGATGGCAGAGCCGACGTCAGGTCGCCAAAAGATAAATCCGAGAAATGAGTGGCCATGGGAGAATACTGAGCTGTGCCCAAGTGACGACCCTGTACTTTCTTCTTGCTGGAACCGTTGATGACTTCGGATAATGGCTGCAGAGCAACATCAGGCTTAAAAAATGGTGATTCTGTATCCGCCAGCCCCTTCGCAGGGGCTGGAACTGACTGAGCTGAAAAGGGGATGTAGCTTTTTCGCTTCCAGGTTGCCTCCTCACGAGGGTCAGAAACATCCTGGAGAGATTGTCGATCTCGAGAGGTCTTCTCTTTGTTCGTGGCTCGCTGCTCATGTGTGCTATATCGTCTCGACCTGCTAGCAATGCTATCTGCTTGGGATTCACCCACGGTAAATGTTTGGACCTCATCGCCATGACTTGGAAACGCTGGCCTGGCACTCTTCAGAGCCTGAATTTCTTGCTTTAGTGCGTTGACTTGGTCTTGCCGTTTCCTTAAGAGCTCCTCCGAATCGCGTTTCAAGTCCATCAGCTCATCGTATTCTCTCCGAAGACCTGCTAATTGCTCTTCCTTTCGCCGAGTCTCATCCTGGTGGGACTGTTGGATTTTCTGGTTCCTTTCACGTTGTTTGACCAAGTGAAGGTCCGAAGTTTTAAGCTCCTTAGCCAATTTCACGTTCTCCGCCTCCAATCTCTTAGTTTTCTTCTCCGCCGCAGAAATGCTTTCTCGAGCTCTAGATAACTCCTCTCGGAGTGTAATGATCTCCGTAGGTTCCCCTGCTAATCGTGTTGCTGGAAGACTATCCCTAGGTGCTTCCCGCTTGCCGTAGGGCTCCTCTACCGCAATACGAAACTCTTCCACTTGAGCCTTGTACTGCGCCACTATTGCTCTTAGCTTGGCGACATCTTTGATATTCTCTAATGAGTCCCCTGTATCCTCAAGACCCAGGTTGGTATGCTTCGAAGATAGCCTGGTGATCATATTTTCCATTTGAACAACCTTGGATTGCTCCAGTTGCAGTTTGTGGGCCAAATCTGCGGCTTCCGAATCTTTTTTCCTTGCATAGCTCTTGGCAAGGTCCTTGTATCTAAGTACATGCGCCATCTCAGCCAGTGCTTCTTCATGATAGGTCTTGTACTGAGATTTCCAGTATCTTCCCGATTCAGATTGCGGCATGTCTAGGTCCATGGTGACGTGACCGAGTGACTTGTCGGTAAAGTCGAGTACTCGTGTGAAGTCTTGCTCAGTCTCGTCATATGAGCCTGGTATGTGTTCATCGTCCGGCAAAACATTTGACGGCGGTGATGGTACAGTAGATGCCGATGCATTGTCTGCTCTTCTAGTATATTTGTTGCTGCGAATCTTCGGGCTCTTCTTTTGATCATCCTCTTTACCTTTCCGCATGTTTTCAAGAGACTTCGTTAAAGAAACGCTGCGTCCTCTGCGAGCGGATCGCTGCTTCGAGGGCGATTCGTCTTCCGATCTGTTGTCGGAATCAACGTCTCTAGATTTGGCAGCGAACGGTGTGTCATCTCTTTTCTTGGTGAGTGCTTTACACCCCACCGCCCCTTCTTTCTTATCCAGAGCCTCACTTCCAAATGATACACTTTTCCTGCGTGTCGCCGCAGTTCCTGGTGTCATCAGAATACCCCGCTTACTCGGCGACATGTTTTCTAGGGTTTCATCCAGCTCCAGAGTATCGCGATTTTTGTTCTTATGTATTGCTATTGAGGGCCTCTTCGAATCTAGCTGCTTCTCAACCTCGAGGACTGTCTCATCATGAAGTGCTGGAGTCCCGAAGAATGCGCTTTTCAAAGCCCGAGCAGCAAAGACTGGCGCAGGAGTTTCCGGTGGTTCTGCTCCAACATTGGCTTTAAAGATCAGTAAACGAGTTCTTTCCAGTAGTTTTGACCATACCAGTACCGCCCTCGCTATCTTCTTTTCCCCTTCCCAACCACCAACTAAGCATTTTCCGGTGGGTTTTCTATGGCAATACACAAGTAGGCACTTGTAATCCATAAGTAATTTTTGGTGTGAGAATAATATGAAGTTGTGTGATAGCGATTTTGGACTAGGTAGGAACGCGTCTCACAGCTACATGAGCAGACTTACGCGTTTGTTGACTTTGGATGTTTTGGGTTGCACACCGAGTGCGGGACAGCCCGCTATTAGCGCGCCGGCCGGGAAAACATTCAACCCAGGCCAGAGTACCGTTCAAGAAATAATTTGTTTCCATTGTTCCACAAATGCAAGCTCTATATAGGCTGGGTAATCCATAATACATCGTTCCAACTCATGTCGAAACAGCGAATATTGTGAAACTTAAGGTCATCAACTATGGTACAGAGAAAGCTATCGTCAACCATTGCCGAAGAGACGAACCAACCATCGAAAAAACAACCCACAGCTCAGCGCAAACAAAAAGGGCTTCCAGCAACCACAGGCGAGAATATCGAAGTTTCTGCACCACATCGTCAGGGAGCCCGCACAGGCGCTGGAGGCGGACGTAGCTCAAGACAGTCGGAAGAGGACGGGCATGGGGAGACTGCAGATTCAAGCACCGATTACAACGCCAGTACTGAGGATGTTGAGAGTGTCAATGGAGTCGAGAGGGTTCGAATGGAAGTTGATACGCCCCGACGACTCGAATCGAATGTGTTAATGTCTGAGCCCGGATATGGAGTTAGTAATGGCGCCCCTAGAATAAAGTCCCATGCGATTCACTCGACCCCCTTAAAGTCCGCAAGACCGTTGGACAGCAATGATGGCCCGGATATTCAGAAAAATTTCGATCGATCAGCTCGCAGAAAAAGCACCAGAACGTTGATAGAGCAGGCAGTGCTTGGCGCTACCAGTGACAACGACGATGAAGATGGGCAGGTTGCTCGGTACATTTATGAATCTGATGAAGAGGGGGAGGATGATGGCACAGATGCCGAAGTAATCGATCAGTCGATGGGTGCTAATGAGGTTTCGGAATCCCCTTCCAAACGAAAGAGTCAGGAGAAACATGCTCAAAATCGGCAAGCATCACCGGACCCTACTTTGAGTGATCTTTCGGCGCATGAGAAATACTTCTTTCAAAATCGTGGTGGTCGAATTAAGACGTCTGACAACAATCTTTCTTCACTGGCGCTCCTTGATCATGAAGAGTATTTCAACTTAGTGCGCAAGTATGAAGATCCGCATGTGAGAGGTGTGAAGGCCGTGCAAGAGTTATACGCAAGGTCCTTTCGTCAATGGGACTTTGAGCTCTCCCAGCAATTTAGTTTGTGTTTATACGGCTGGGGATCTAAGAAGTCGCTCCTCATGAAGTTTGCCGATCATATCTACAAATCACGACCTGTGGGGAGTAGTTCCAAAATTGTTGTTATAAATGGCTACGTGCATAACTTGACAATTAGAGATGTTTTAAATACTGTGGCAAGCGCTATAGCCAACGCCAGCCAAAAGATTGGATCGCAGGCGGTGGAAATGATCGATAGTGTGGTAGCGCTACTCGAGGAGAACCGTTCTCAACGTATCACGTTGATTGTTCATTCTATCGACAGAACAGCTCTCCGAAGGCCACTTGCACATGCCATACTTTCACGACTTGCTGCTCACCCACAGGTCCGGCTTGTAGCATCCGCGGACCATCCTTCATTCCCACTGTTGTGGGACAGTTCTTTACGTGCTGCATATAATTTTGTTTTCCATGACTGCACAACATTCGAGGCTTACAATGTGGAGCTTGATGTCGTAGATGAAGTACACGAACTTCTAGGGAGAAGCGGTAGGAGGGTGGGTGGTAAAGAAGGAGTCAACTATGTGCTGAAAAGTTTGCCCGAAAACGCTAAAAATTTGTTTCGGATCTTGATAGGAGAGCAACTGGCCGTTATGGATGGCACCTATGGAAATAACGGCGGTGAACCACTGAACTATGACGATGTCAATGAGCATGATTCAAGATGTGTTCCATCGAATAAAACGGATGCAGGCGTCGAGTATCGAGTATTGTATCAAAAGGCTGTGGAGGAGTTCATCTGTAGTAATGAGATGAACTTCCGCACCTTGCTGAAAGAGTAAGTCAAATGCTGTTTGCTCTGATTAGGTTCTAACGACGTTAGATTCCATGACCACCAGATGATAGAGAGTAGAAAGGATCCCTTGGGGGCGGAGATGCTTTCTGTTCCATTTAGAAAAGAGGAATTAGCAAACATGTTGGAGGACATGATGTCATAAAAACCGCTATATCGAGTAGTATACTTGCCATATTTTGGTTGAACATGGCGCAGGAGTCATGCAGAATGTTCCAGGGGATGGGAGGTTTCACGTATCCATAACCGGCTTGGTTCCATCGAAACACTCTATATTTCCTTAAAATACAGGTATGCCACTTTCAAATAGTCTTGTTGAGATGGAACTTCACCCACTCTGTCGAAAAGAGCTGAGCGCCGGTTCATTTGAAACATAACCAACTGGTCTCATCAAGGCACCCTGAGCTGTTAGATATGGAAGACGTTACTCACCACGTACATATGTCCAACTTTTGGTGAACTGCCGAACTGCTGGTGATGATAACAGGCAGGAAAAGCATATTAGACAACGATTATAATTGCCATTTTGCACTGGCGCCTTTTATGTTGGCTGTTCGAATTGTCCGGATTCTCAAGTATATACCTACCTAGGTAGATATATAGATTGTGAAAGGACTGGCAAAGATGCTGGAAGACGTTCTTTAACTATCACGTGATTACTTCAACAAGTACCCAGGTAGCCTCTGTCATGACAGAAGGGATATCTAGATTCCTAGGACCTCCAGCTATCCCACAGGTAAGTGGCGACCTCTGAAGCAGTGTAGCTCGTAAATATACCAATTGGAAGTCGTCGAGAACCATTTCCGAAATCCATGAAGAAAAATCGTACAGTTTGCCTGAACCCACATTTCTTGATGCCAAGGAGTTACGGTTGATCCGTGCCTACTGTAGTTTTTTCCAAATATTGCGCTGTCACAGTCAGCAAGTAAAACACCACGATTCGATGTTTGGACTTCAATACTCGAATGATACGAAGACCCCTCCAAATATTTGGCAGATCTTTGGAAATATTGAGGATGACTAGAAAACCTCCGGAAGCTCCACTAGTCGTCGTTCTCGGTGCTACTGGCACCGGCAAATCTCAGGTATGAGTGGACCGTACTACTTTTGACATCGCCATTCTAATGTTTTCAGCTGGCTGTGGAATTGGCGACACGTTTCGAAGGCGAGATTATTAATGGGGATGCTATGCAAATGTATCAAGGTCTTCCTATTATTACCAACAAGATAACGCCAGAGGAACAGCGAGGCATCCCCCACCATTTGCTAGGAACTATCGCCATCGATGAAGAGCCATGGACAGTCGGATTATTCAAGAAGAAAGCTACACAAATCATCCAAGAAATAAGGTCCAGGGGACGTCTGCCGATACTTGTAGGAGGCACGCATTACTATACACAGTCATTGCTGTTTGACGAAACATTGGTCGAGACAGAGGCCATGGAAAGACCACGAGCGACCTCCTCGGATCATGAAAGTGAACAAATATATCCTATTCTGGACGGGACAACAGAAGAGATGCTGCAACGGCTGCAAGAGGTCGATCCCACCATGGCAAATCGCTGGCACCCAAAGGACAGGCGGAAAATTCGGAGATCTCTGGAAATATATCTTACGACTGGCAAACGAGCATCCGACATATATGAAGAACAACAACAACGTAAGACTGCTAAGCGAGTAGGGTCAGCTGCCGCAGAACAAGACTCAGCAAGTTTACCGGTTCCCAAGCAATCGGTCATCTTGTTCTGGGTTCATTCGGACCCTGAGGTTCTGAAGCAGCGACTCGATGCGAGAATTGGCAACATGGTGAAGATGGGTCTGCTTGATGAAGTGATGTCCATGAGTAGCTTCCAAGAGCACGAAAAGATGGCTGGGAATGTCGTTGACGTAACAAGAGGAATTTGGGTGTCCATTGGTTGGAAAGAGTTTGAAAAGTACCTCTCCGCTCTGAAATCGACGGAGTGCTCTTCTGAGGATTTGAACAAACTCTATGAGCTTTCCATCGAGCAAATACAGACTGCTACACGTCAGTATGCAAAACGACAGATCCGTTGGATACGAATAAAATTAATGAACGCTCTGTCAGAGGCTGGGTTGCGGGAGAAACTCTATGTGGTTGATGCCAGTTCTGTGGCCAAATGGGACGCGAATGTGTCTGCGCCCGCCATTGAAATCACAGGCAAGTTTCTCAACGCTGATATTATGCCTCTCCCCCAAGAGGTCTCTCCTATCGCGAGACACTTGCTCACGCCGGATGAGGGAGTCAACGAAGTGCAAGAAGGCATTCGTCAAGAATGCCAATTGTGCCACGTAACGATCGTCAATGAACTCCAATGGCGGGCACATCTAGGTAGTCGTCGTCACAGAGCACTCGCAAAGAAACGCCTAAAGAACAGTAGGTCACATCTAGAAGTTGTACCCACTGCCCCCCAATGTGTCGAAGGCCCAGTCACTTAGTCAATATTGCGACCATACTCCAGGCTGCTGCGGCAACCCTAGCTGTCGAGTCAAATGAGATTGAAGTCCAGGGTTTGCTACCGCCTCCGGTTGCATTTAGACGTATTTCTTCGCAATTTCTAGCACGTCCGTCGGAACTCCTGCAAAATGGCACCCTGAAGAGCCTACTACATCCACCTGCCAAGTACTACCGGTAGCGAAGCTAAGATCTCAGGAGGTAAGCTGAGATACCACTTAGAACATCCAAGTACCAGGTAGGAATAGATTTCTTGTACCCTGCCCGCATGTGGCTCCGTGGAGGTGTCTTACACTTACTGTCCGACCATATCGATATAATTTTCTATGCCAACATCGCCAATGAAGACGTACAGTAATTGTAGAAAAATAATTCAAAGTAATTTTCTGAAACCAAGAGACTAAATAGCGTTTGGTAATGAGTTTACGGAGTAGTGGCTGCTTATAGTAATAAGGTAATTTGAAACGAAGTATTCGTGAGCTGTTTGTCGTTGGGCCGTCTTGTGCTGCTAAAACCATAGACTTACCGGAATATAGAACCAATTTCCAAATTTCCACACTATGTCACCCAGGTTACTCTATTATAAAAAATCCTATTGACAACTTTTCCTGTACTTGTAGCTAAGGTGCACTGGTGGTGCGTTCTCTCAAAATGCCGAGGTCAACCCAGTAGTGAAGGGTTGTTCAATGCAGAGTCACGTGTTTAGCGGGCCCAAGCTGGAGGACACATCACTCGCGAAAGCGGCTCCAAAATATCAAGCGAACTTCCCCAAGCTTCTTGCGACCTGGAGATCATTCCTTTCGAACACATCACCACCCGCACCCTGATTCTGCCATTACAAGAGCAGACTCGACGGGCTCTTCATCGTCGTTCCTTACTACTTCTTCTCCTTTCCACGTCTGTGAGGTCCTAGCATTCCATCCGCCAAGATGAGTGGCCGTAAGTGAAGCTTTCCCCTTTCCACAAGACTTGTCATGGCAGCTCAACAGACAGTTGCAATTGCGCCTGTGAACATTGATACATCATGGTGGCTAACCCAAGTGCGTTCCAGTTCGATTTCTCGATCTCATCAAGCCTTTCACGCCGATCCTCCCCGAGGTGCAGCAACCGGAAACAAAGGTTCCCTTCAACCAGAAGTTGATGTGGACTGGTTTGACATTGTTAATATTCCTGGTGATGAGCCAGATGCCATTGTATGGTATTGTGTCCTCGGACACATCCGATCCTTTATACTGGCTCAGAATGATGCTGGCCAGTAATCGTGGTACCTTGATGGAGCTGGGAATCACACCAATTATCTCCTCTGGAATGGTTTTCCAACTTCTGGCCGGAACGCATTTGATCGACGTTAATCTCGACTTGAAGTCCGATCGCGAGCTGTACCAGACAGCTCAAAAACTATTCGCCATTGTTTTGTCCATGGGTCAAGCCACTGTGTTCGTCTTCACCGGTCTCTACGGTCAACCATCCGATCTTGGCGCTGGTATCGTCTTCCTCCTTATCCTTCAATTGGTTGTCGCTGGCTTGGTTGTTATTCTCCTTGATGAGCTCCTCCAGAAAGGTTATGGACTTGGGAGTGGTATCTCTCTTTTCATCGCCACCAACATCTGCGAATCTATTGTGTGGAAAGCTTTCTCCCCCACAACGATCAACACTGGCCGTGGCCCCGAGTTTGAGGGCGCTGTCATCGCGCTTTTCCACCTCCTTCTCACATGGCCAAACAAGCAACGTGCGCTCCAAGAGGCATTCTATAGACAAAATCTCCCCAACATCATGAACCTCATCGCTACACTTGTTGTCTTCGCTGCCGTTATCTACTTGCAGGGCTTCCGCGTCGAAATTCCGGTCAAGTCATCTCGTCAACGCGGAGCTCGTGGCTCTTACCCAGTTCGCCTTTTCTACACCTCGAACATGCCAATTATGCTTCAGTCAGCTTTGTCCTCCAACGTCTTTCTCATCAGCCAAATGCTCCACTCGCGATTTGGTGAGAATCTGCTCGTCCAGCTTTTTGGTGTTTGGGAAGCAAAGGAGGGATCCGCTCAACTCTTTGCCGTCTCCGGTCTGGCGTACTACATGTCACCTCCACTCAACTTTACCGACGCTCTGCTCGACCCCATCCACACCGCTGTTTACATAACCTATATGCTTGTTGCCTGCGCCGTCTTCTCGAAGACCTGGATCGAGGTCTCTGGCTCGAGCCCTCGCGACGTTGCTAAGCAACTCAAGGATCAAGGTCTTGTCATGGCCGGTCACCGTGAACAAAGCATGTACAAGGAGCTCAAACGCATTATTCCTACTGCAGCTGCTTTTGGAGGTGCGTGTATTGGAGCATTATCAATTGGTAGTGATTTGCTCGGCGCCCTTGGATCTGGCACTGGTATCTTGATGGCTGTCACGTAAGTTATCTTACTCGAATTTTGTTCTACTCCGCTGACTAAACATCCAGTATTATCTATGGCTACTTCGAGATTGCCGCCAAAGAAGGCGACGCAGCGGGTCTGAAGGGTATGGTTATGGGCTAGGCTTTTGATGGTTGGAACGAAGCGCTGTTATCCTTCGGGAATCAAGCGAAAACGATATGGCCCGATATGGAAAATGGGCATGTCAGAGGATGTATGGAAGGAGGGTCGGGTAATTGGGGTTTACTGGGTTGGCAATTAAAAAGGCTGCATTGCATGGGTCATCATGGATGAAGGAGTACTCTAATCTATCGACAACGTTTATTCGAAGATAGAACAGAAGACAGAAGTCTGTGTGTATCTATACATTGAGGCATTGTAAAATATTGTGAACATATGAATGAAAAAGGATTGTATGTAGAGGCAGTCGACAAGAGTCTTGGTGGGTACTCTGCTTATCGACGATGATCTCAGAATGCATGTACAGTTCTGAGATGGTGAGATACCTAGGCGGCTCCTTGGACGTATCCGTCAGATCCAGAATAATTTTCTACTCTGTGTAGTAGGTGGCTCTGGAGTCTGGACGATAGATAGGACAGCTTGTTCACCACAAATCACGTGCTTGCATCAGAAGATCAAAGGCGCAGTGATGACGCACAGTTTTAGCATAGCCAATGATGGTTGATATAGACGCTTCACCGGACTCCTGCCGTCTTACCAGTTAACCTTTGCTGTAGTACTAACGTCTTTTGACGCGAGAAGCACGCCTGGTCACACATCGACTAGGGGAGTGCTCTCGAGCTTTTGGCCGGAGGAAGTGGGGTACTTAGCACTTGAAAGTTTTCATTATGACTGCAACATCGTGATTCTGTGCAGAGCTTGTCCACTAGTGCTATGTTCTGCCTACCTAGGTATCTTTGCCCGCCGGTCGAGCCATCCCTCTTGCACTTTCGTACACCTTCCTACATTGCAAGCAAGTACCAGTCCGCCAAAATCAATTGAACAATCACAAATATGTCGCGCTAGTAGGGCAAATCGCCCCTACTTTTGAAATAACAAATAATTTTATTGCGTCGCGACCGATCGAGTGGGCTGCTGCCACATTTTTACAAGCTCAACCGCATCGCCCTTCTTTCCCGAAACCTCTGGCCTGTCCGTCGACAGGCCATTTGACCACAACGCGAACATGTTTGCGCAATGCGAAGGCCCGGCATGGCGAATCGACGACATATCGAATTGCGTGCAGAGAGAGTAAGCAGTGAAATGCCTGCAACGTTGGCCACTCAGATACTGACTGGTTTTAGCTATCTTAAGGTGTTATTCCCACTGTTGGCTGTCGCTATATCATCTTTAGTGCTCATTCTACAAGCCTTCCGCCGAAATGCACAATCAAGAAGCAGTAGCAAGTACAAGACACTCGTGAATGGCGAACATGCGGAAGCTCAACACAACGGACATAGCAATGGCCTTGACCACAGCGACGGCGACGGCACATTCTCGCAAGAGGGGACCCAGGATGACGATGAGGTTTTAACCATGGGTGGGGGTCGATTGCAGCTGGCGAAAGCAACAACTCAAGTCTCGGTGGCCGAGCTCGATAGTCCTAGAGGTCAATATGTGGTGCTCGTCTTCGAGCTTTTAGCGGTCCTTGCCGTCCTCTCCATTAATATCACTGCCTTGGTTTTGCGTGCATACGGCTCGAAGGGACTAGTGGCTACGGTTGCGGGAGTCATTACCTGGTCGTATATACTGGTATTGGCTAGCTTCAGGCTCCTACTATCGAATACAAAATGGAGAATCCCAAGAATCTGGAATCATACCGCGGCTTTGTACACGGCCTTATGGCTCTTTTCTATTATCATATTCCGCTCGGCCCTGATTCACCCTCGGTCTGGCATTGCACAGGCATTGGTCATTTCAGAATTTTCTCTGGTATCTCTACTTTTTGCCATTGCGATCACTACCAGGAAAGGGAACAAAGCTGTAGTGCTCGAGTGGGAGGAGCACATCGAGCCTTCGAAGGAACCTTTAGCAAGCTTGTTTTCGATTGCCACGTTCTCATGGGTGGATCCTATCGTGTGGAAGGGTTACCAAAAGACTTTGGAGTTAACCGACGTGTGGAACCTACTGCCCAAGGACAAAGCTGCGGTAATACTAGCTGATTACCGTCAACTGAAGAAGAGCAGTGCTTTGACCTGGCATCTTGCACGTTATTTCAAGACAGACCTCATCATACAGTGCAGTTATGCCGTATTCTCCGGCCTTTTCACATTTGCACCTACTTTGCTGTTGAAGGCTATCCTGGAATACATTGAGGATCCGGAAAGCACCCCTAGAAATGTCATCTGGCTCTACGTAATTTTGCTATCATTCACTGATATCCTCCGTTCGCTAGCAGACCAACAAGCACTATGGATAGGTCGAAAAATCAACATTCGCCTACGTGCGATCATGGTTGGCGAAATTTACGCCAAGTCGCTACGGCGAAAGGCTGCGTCTGGTAGTGACACAGTACTTGGTGACAAGAAAGACAAGGAAAACAACGCGCAGCCTGGAATCTTGAAAAGAATGTTAGGCATTGGGGGCAAGAAGAAGGATGATGCTAAACATCCCGACGCCGGCTCGGATGTTGTGGAGGCCCCCCTCAAGGGATCTGATGAGCAAGTTAATACCGGAACCATCATAAACCTTATGTCTGTGGATTCCTTTAAGGTTAGTGAGATTACAGCATATCTTCACTTCCTGCTAGCAGCTGCACCAACGCAATTGGCTGTCGCAATTTACCTCCTCTATCGTATCTTGGGTTTAAGCAGTATCCCCGGGTTGGTCGTGATGATGATTCTTCTTCCCGTCAATATAGCTTTCGCTAGAGGGTTTGGGGCCTTTCAGAAAAATATCATGGCTGCAACAGACAAGCGCATCCATATTACTAACGAAGTCCTGCAAAATATTCGCATCATCAAGTTTTTTGCCTGGGAGCACCGCTTTAGCAACACCGTTAACGAGAAGCGAGCCGTTGAGCTGAAGGCATTACGTTCCAAGTACATTTTGTGGGCTTTCGCTGTAGCCGTTTGGAATACGGTCCCTGTAGTAATCACCTTCTTCTCTTTTCTCACATATACGATAGTGGAGAAGAAGCCACTGTACCCTTCCATTGCATTTACTGCTATTTCGTTATTCAGCATCCTTAGAGTTCCTCTTGATCAGCTAGGAGATATGATTGCTCATGTGCTGGAATCCAAGGTTTCGGTAGATCGCGTGGAGGAATTCTTGAACGAAGAGGAAACACAGAAATACGAACAGCTCGATCACGCCTCCTTAGACGAGGATGGACAATCTATGATCGGTTTCTCTGACGCAACCTTCTCATGGGGAGGCAAAGAATCGCCCAACGAAGAAATTTCGGATGCTTTCCGTCTTATAAAGTTAAACATCAAATTCGAGGTGGGCCACTTGAATATTATTGCTGGACCGACAGGCTCTGGTAAGACAAGTTTGCTGATGGCGCTCATGGGCGAAATGACATGCATCGAGGGCAAAATATCCCTTCCTGGCGGTGGAAGAAGCCGCGAAGATATTTCCGCGGACCCTGAGACTGGGTTGACCGAGAGTGTCGCATATTGCGCCCAACAGGCTTGGCTAGTTAACGCGGATATCAAAGAGAACATCCTCTTCGCTCAACCGATGGACGAGAAAAGGTATAGAGAAGTAGTTGTTGCATGCGCCTTGGAACGCGATTTGGAGATTCTAGACGCTGGCGACAAGACGCTCGTCGGCGAAAAGGGTGTCACACTCTCTGGTGGCCAAAAACAACGCATATCTCTTGCACGAGCTTTGTATTCTAACTCAAGACACCTTCTTCTCGATGATTGTTTAAGTGCGGTTGATTCTCACACTGCTAAATGGATTTTCGACAACTGCATTCGTGGACCACTTATGCTTGGCCGCACTTGCATATTGGTCACGCACAACCTGGCTCTTTGCGTCCCACAATCTCGATATGTTGTCTACCTTGACAACGGTAAGATTGAGATTCAAGGCCCTGCAGAGGAGGTTATGGCTTCGGGAAAACTGGGTGAGGATCTCAACAGATCGCGTCCTACCTCGGCAGCTGCCTCGAGAATTCCGTCGAGGGTCCCATCTAGCGTTGGAGACGAAAGCGGCGATACTCTTCTTGAGCCTGGAGAGGCATCGAACAAGCTGAAGAAATCAAAGAGTGCGCAGACCGAGGGTGGCAAAGACGCCATGGAGGAGACAAAAGCTGAGGGTGGTGTAAAATGGGAGGTTCTCGCCCTGTATTTGAAGTCCATGGGTCCCTGGTATGTATTGCCTATCTTTGGATATAAGTGGAGGTTACTGACAAACTAGGTGGTTCTGGGTTCTTGCTGTCCTCGTCTTTGGCGTGCAGCAAATTGGAAGTTTGGCGGCCAATATATGGATTAGACAATGGGCTAACCAGTACAATGTGGAATCAGTCGTGTCGTATCACAGTCTGTCTCCGAGCGGTTATATTGGAAACACGATTGCAACTGTCAAGGCTACTTCGTCGAAGCTGTTGTTTCACGACTTAAAGTCCTATTACGCGGCGTCATCTTCGGTCAATAAGCCTGATGTTGACGTTGGATACTATCTCGCAATATACGCCATGATAGGGATTGCATGTATGCTAGTGGCTCTGTTCAGGGACTTCTGGTTCTTCTTCGGCTCCCTCACGGCTAGTTGGCGGATACACAAACGATTGATGCAATCGGTTACGAGAGCAAAGTTCAAATTCTTCGATGCGACTCCCTTAGGTCAGCTCATGAACCGTTTTAGTAAAGACATCGAAGCTGTTGACCAAGAAGTCGCCCCGATTGCTGTCGGGGTCATGTCCTGTGCACTGGCCATAATCGTCACTGTTGCTCTGATAACTGTCATAACACCAGGCTTCCTCGTTGCTGCCGTCTTCATTAGCTTCTTGTATTTTGCGGTGGGCAAGTTCTACCTCCGTTCTTCAAGGGACCTCAAGAGACTTGAGTCAGTCCAGCGAAGCCCCCTATTTCAGCAATTTGGAGAAACACTTAATGGAATTACGACCATCCGTGCTTATGGTGATGAGAGGCGCTTCATACGCGACAACATGGCAAGAATAAACAACCACAGCCGCCCATTCATATATTTATGGGCTGCAAATAGGTGGCTTGCATTTCGGATTGATGTCGTAGGAGATCTAGTTGCGTTTTTTGCGGGTGCGTTCGTTGTATTCAGCATCGGGAAAATTGATGCTGGCTCCGCAGGCCTGTCCTTGAGTTACGCTATCAGCTTCACCGAGAATGTTTTGTGGCTGGTCCGTCTGTACTCCGTCAACGAGCAGAACATGAACTCGGTGGAACGAATCAAAGAATATCTGGATGTGGAGCAGGAAGCAGAATCGGTCATCGAGAAAACGAGACCTGCAGCGAATTGGCCCAGTCAAGGGTCAGTTGAATTCATCAATTATACCACCAGGTATCGAGTCGATCTAGAACCTGTTTTGCAAAACGTGACGTTCAAAATCCAACCGCTTGAAAAGGTCGGTATTGTGGGGAGAACTGGCGCTGGCAAGAGCTCTTTAGCTCTGGCTCTATTCCGTGGTCTGGAGGCCGAAGAAGGCAAAATTCTAATTGACGACGTGGATATCGGCCTCATAGGCCTCCAGGATTTGAGAGAGTCTATTACCATTGTTCCGCAAGATCCGACCCTCTTCACGGGTACGATCAGGACGAATCTAGACCCTTTCAATTTGTTCACCGACGAGGATATTTTCACGGCTCTACGAAGAGTACAGCTTATAGGTGCACCAACTTCTACAACCACACCATCGACTCCGGTTACGACAACATCTTCTGGCCTCACTCTTGGCCAAGCCCTGGACATTCCGGCACCCAAAGATTCAACAGGAGCATCCACACCTATAGCTAATAAGAACATTTTCCTCAACCTCTCATCCACCGTCACCGAGTCAGGCAATAACCTCTCCCAAGGCCAGCGACAACTACTATGCCTTGCTCGAGCTCTTCTCAAACAGCCTCGTGTACTTATGATGGATGAGGCAACGGCGTCTATTGATTACAATACGGACTCCAAAATCCAAGAAACAATCCGGGAGCTGAACAGTACTATAATCACAATTGCGCATCGTTTGCAGACTATCGTTGATTATGACAAGGTACTTGTACTTGACAAAGGAAAGGTTGTGGAATATGGACATCCTTACGAATTGCTGAAAAAGGACGGCTCAGACGCTATCTTCAAAGGGATGTGCGAGATGAGTGGGGATCTAGACACTCTTCAGAAAACAGCAAAGAAAGCATGGGAAGCGGGAAGGCTGGTTGACGATGAATAGTGAAATAGGGAAGTGTATATAAAATCGGCGCAGCTCACGCTTGTTGCTTTCGTATCATTGGGACGGAGTTGGCATGGCACTTGAGACCTTCTCTTGTCGCATGGTCTCGAGCTATCGTATTGCTGCTATTCTGTACAGATGGATACCGTATGTATACGGGGTGTTATATAATTTTGACGTAGACATAATGAATCATTAACAATTATTAAAAGCTAGGACTACCCGAAGTTACCACGAGTTGTTTTATCTAAACGTACCATCTTCTTACGGGGTTCTTCTTAATACTGGGTTTATGTCACCAGCTGATTTTGGAGACAAAGTCACAAGTGGGTCTCTCCTTTGAAATGCTATTGGCTGACAACATGCAGGCCTAGCGAGCCTAGCCTACCTAGGTCCTCAGTAGCTACGCCATGATTGAGAGCATGGTATTTTGCACAGTATCCTCAACATCTCGCACCAGCTTCGTCTACACTGTCGACTCGCTATCTAGCTGAAAGTCTGACGACGAAAGTGACAGCTCCTCATTCCCGGGAGCAGAGACCCAGCTATGGCACCCTTAATCCCTTCAGCGAAAGTTACCTTATCCTATCCGCTGTATGCTTGCGACTTTGATCCTCTGGACAGCTCCCGCCTGGTGGTAGGTGGTGGAGGAGGAGCCGGGAGGAGCGGGGTCGGAAACAAAATCGTAAGTTCCTAACAGCTGAGGAGAGTCAACAGTTGTCGTTCCTTACTGATGCTTGCGACCATAGACAATTTTAGACACGTCGAACCCAGGTCGACTGGAGGAAGTTGGCGAGATTGACCTCAGCAAAGAAGAGGACAACGTTACGAGTTTAGCGGTCGGCGGGCAAGGGCACAAGACGATAGTCTTTGCAGGCGCAAATTCAAGCCCGAAGGATGTTAAAGCGGGAAACAATGCGCACTTTCGGGTATTCGAGATAGAAACGGCGGGCCAGCCCAGCGAGAAAGCGAAGGCAGCAGAATCGGGGAATTTATCACACAACAAGATCACGGAGACGTCGAGATCGATCTTGTTCAAGGGTGCCGACCCAGACACATATCAAAGGCTATTACGATTGTCAAAACCATTTCCAAACCAGGTCCAGCTCGGTGCGGTCGCGACAGGGTTGACGAAAGACCCCGAAATTGTGCTCTTCGACACATCTAGCACCACTCCACCGAAATCTAGAGGTGCTGTACGAGGAGGTAGAGAGGCTGTAGATTTGGATTTCTTGCAAACGGGAGATAGCGAATATCAATTTGCATACTGTGATATATTTGATGTCTTCCTGAAGAAAATTACATCTACTGTCAGTGACGAGGAGCCGCAAACAATCTACAAAACGCCAGCCTCGAGGTCAACAGAGCGAGTTACGGTGCCGCAATTCCGAGCCCTAAGGTGGTTAACTAAAGACTCCTTGCTCATGCTCACAAATATCCACAGCAACGGCGGAGCAGTTCTTCAGCTCTTGCGGCTACCTCCCAGTGGAAAGGGGGAGTGCCGTGTTGCACGATCACATCGGTTGCCGCCGAGAATCACCAAAGCTTCTGCCCTAGCCGTTTGCAATTTAACTCCCCCGTTATCACCATCTGCTCCACAGGATTACACGCAATTTGTTATTGCGGTTGCCGCGCAGGATATGTCCGTCTCGCTCTTCAAACTCGATTTACAAGCTGAAGTTGGCGTCACCTTGTTTTCCAAGATAAAGCCGTTCCGAACCTTCAAAGATGTGCACCCGTATCAAATCACAGGCCTCACTTTTTCGAATTTCGAGCCGCCTGCTCACCCAGTCACAGCACGCACACCTCCGCAGAACCTGAAGTTAGCGAGCGTTGGTGTGAGCAACACGGTTGTAGTTCACACTATTCCCCTTTTCCCTGTACCTCTTTCCGTCAAGCGAGGTCAATCTAAGACGCCACGCTACGTCGTTGCACTTCCTTCAAGTGCTGTGGTCGTTGGGCTGAGCGTTGCCTTGATCACTCTCGGCGTCTTGCTGGCATCAATATTCATTCAGACGATACTGGAAATCCGCGGGGCGGTACCAAATTACATCAATGCACGGCACCACATACCTCTGGTGATCCAAGAGGCTATTGGAAAACCTTATAGTTTCCCCGAAGGCTATGATGGCTCTTCTCGGGCGTCGAATCAACCTGTACTGTCTGGACGCCGTGGACATCTCGGGCAACCCACCGAAGAAACGGATCCACCACTTCCAGGTGCTGACATCGTTTCTGACCCCGTTCGTCTAGCGGAACTCCTGCAAAACATTCAGAAGAATGATGGGGACGATACCGCCCAAAAGTATTTTATCACTGAGCATGGAGAAAGCCCTGATGGCATCAATGCTCATCTACACGATGAGGCCGTCCACTCTGGTCATTCATGGGAGGATTTGACGCAAGAACAGAGAGTCAAATGGCAGCAGAAGCTAAAAGATGCAGGCTACTGGGCCGAGGACATGGGAGAGACCATCCTCAAAGGAATCGTTTTTGGTACGCTTGGTGGCATGGTTGGACAGGCTGTCGGCGGCGGATGAGCTGTTGGTGGATCCTAGGGTAGATCCAGTTCTTTTATTGTGTTGATATTTACGAGGAGGAGATATGTAGTTGTATAGTAGTTGGTTAGCAAGAGCCCCCCGATTGACTTTGAGGATCCCTCGTTCAGTAAGGAAGTAAGGAAGTACTGATTTGTGCTTCCTCGTCCGATAATCAGCCGCCGCTCGTCCTAGCTACTTCTACTGTTCAAAGTGCTCCGTAAATGCAAACATCATGAAGCCCATCCCCATGGCGGGCTCGATTATTCTGTCAGAATCTTTTCCGAAACCATCGACTTGGCTGGGCTGCCCTCGATTGTCACTTCAATTCCACTCTAATGTTCTAGCTGCGGAGGGCCCTGGGTGTATCCAATCTCCCCGGAAGGCGGGGTTTGTCGGCAATGTGATGCAGACGACTACACCAGTAGTGCTTCCCCAAACCGCTACTCTGCTTGGGTAAATGCCCAGGTGCCCAGGTGCTTGAGAAGATGACGATGATACTGGCTAGTTCCCGGCGGGGGGGGGGGGGGGATTTCTTGTGGAGATCGGTCCATGAGCCTGCTTGGTGTCTTCATTACTCAGTAAGGTTACAAGTAGGGCATTTCCACGATCCCACCACTACCGTTGACAGTGACAACATGGCGCTAATAGCACTTCATGATCCCTAATCGTTTGAGCTTACGGTGGTTGGAGAAAGAGAAGACTCCGCCATTACTATTCTTGGGCGGAATAGGAAACAGCTATCTTCACCAGTTGGCGGGCCGCTTCTGTCCCTAAAGCGAGGGCTGATCACTCTTGACTAGCCCAGCAGGACTCTCGTGTTCGACAGGTAGTAGCCTCGACAGACCCAACAATTTTGAGTTCCGTGCGATTGCGTACTCATGAGATACCCTGTCTTCGATCTTGTAGGTTGGTTTCCGTCACCCTGCATGACGGGGTTCAGAGGGGATTTTGCTATAAAGAGGGGTATGCTTCCATCTCATCTCGCGGACTACAGAGCGGCTCAAACCGACAAGCAATATGTTTCGTTCGGGTTCTTTTGTCATTGCTGTCGCCGGCTCTGCTTTGTTTGCTATTGGGGTCCGTGGAAAGGACAATGGTTTGGCTATTACACCTCAAATGGGATGTAAGTGAATGCCTTTCAAACAATGCTCTTGTTCTAACGAGGTATTTTGACCATCACTGCGAGAACTAATATTCAACAGGGGACAATTGGAATGCCTTGGGCTGTGACGTCTCAGAAGATCTTCTCGTCCAAACGGCAAACCTGATTGTAGATTACGGCCTTCGAGATCTGGGATATCATTATGTTATCCTTGACGACTGTTGGAGCAGTGGTCGAAATGCTAGTAGTAATAACTCTCTGATCCCAGATACGACCAAATTTCCCAGGGGAATGGCAGCAGTGGCCGATGACATCCATGCTCTGAATCTCGGGTTTGGCATGTATTCTGATGCCGGTCGCTACACTTGTGGCATGTATGAGGGCAGTCTGGGTCATGAGACAGTAGACGCGAATTCTTTCGCTGAGTGGGGAGTTGACTATCTCAAATACGACAATTGCTATAACGAAGGATATGCGGGAAACCAACTTATTTCCTCAACCAGGTACCGAACCATGGGTGACGCTCTCAATGCCACTGGTCGCCCTATTCTTTATTCTCTATGTAACTGGGGAGAGGACTACCCTTGGAATTGGGGGTCGACTGTAGCCAACAGCTGGAGAATCTCGGGGGATATCTTTGACGATTGGGATGCCTACGATGCTCGATGTCCTTGCGAGGGTCCAGATGCCTGGAATTGCGAGCTCCCAGGATTTCACTGCTCAGTCACCAATATTTTCAACAAGGTGGCGTTCATTGTTTCGAAAGCTCAACCAGGTGCCTGGAATGACCTTGATAGTATGCGACCGTTCCCATTGTTCCCCATCTTACGCTTAGTTTTATCCTAAGATACGGCTCCAACTCTGGAGCCGACGAAAAAAACATATGCTAACTTTTTCCAGTGCTGGAAGTTGGCAATGGGGCCATGACCGATCCGGAATATGGTAACGTAAATTCTGGTAATCTGACTGCACAAGCACTTACATGTTTATAGTCGCCCATTTCTCAATGTGGTCTGCGGTCAAATCCCCTTTAATTGTGAGTGTACCCCAAGTCTTCCACGTTTGGGACCTGTCTCCCACAGTCCCACACGTTTTAATGTTCAAATCATTCCCCTTTCTTTTGTTGAATAAACACCAGTGAATGGTAGAATTGAGTCCTGGCCTGTTTGAATAGAAAAATTCTACGATATAAGCAGGAGCTTTGGACGCACAAATGCTTCAAGATATGCAATATTTTAAAAAAAGACAAAAGGGGGCGGAACTCAATTCTGACATCCACTCGATGAAGCCTTGGTGTTTGTGGCTAACAGTTAGGAACTAGATGGGCAACGACCTCCGCGATATCGCACCACAGGATCTTTCTATCCTCTCAAACGCCGCTGTCATCGCGGTTAACCAAGATCCACTTGGTCAAAGTGCCGCCAGGAGATGGTTGTGTCATGGCAATGGGACAAACGGCGAGAGTGGTGGCTCTGGAATCCAACTGTGGTCTGGTAACCTCAAAGGAACAGTCCATGAGGATTACAACGACTATGTTGTTCTGCTCGTCAATGGTAACAACAACGCAACTGTGATGAACGCCACACTGGAGGACATTTTCGTCGACAGCGGGCCGAGGGGTCATGCTCCTCAAGTTGATATGTCTTGGGAAGTTCGAGATTTATGGGCTGGTCGCATGTCGAATGAGACGGCGCAGGCGATCATTGATGCTTCCGCAGTTGCGAGCAACACCACCAATGGCTACAATGCGACGACAATTACCAGTGGTGGTAATGCTACTGCCATCTTCGATAACCGCTACAATGCAACCGCAATGTCCTATGCCGACGGCCTCGCTGCCAACAATTCGATCCTCCTCGGCAGTGTTACCACAACCGTCCAGCCGTCAGGCACGCTCACAGCTAATGTTGATCGTCATGGTGCCGCGATGTTCAGGCTTAGAGCCATTCCTACTGCTGTAAGAAAGCGAGATGAGCTGTGATGGTGTAGTCATATCGATTATATACACGAAAGAAACATGTTGAGATATTAAATGCACCTAAAAGCCTCGTTGTACGGCTAGTGATGGGAATGCTCACCTTGATAGTTGACTAGTTTTATTTCACTTTGGATAGCCAGTTGGCTTTGCTTCTCTGTGCAAACCTCTTAGCCATAAATACCGCGCGTGGTGGCGAGATTCGCCACCGTTTTGGGGAGACGGGTTGTCGGGGGAGCCGTCGTGATGTTGTATTGATCTTCGAATGAGGAAGTCGTGGCCGGCACGAATTTGATCTCCAAAAATCGAACAGAAGATAAAATCACCACAAACCCCCCTCCCCCCTTCCAACTATTGCATGGCCTTCTCTCTTCTCTCTTCTATCTTTTGATATCGCTCTGTTGCAGACGCGCACGCTTTGCCTCACTCCTTAGCTGCCGCTTTTATACTCGCTACAGTGCAGTGCAGTACCTGACTTGATTGCAGCAACAACGTGGCTGGCTTTTCAGCCTCACCGCAACTGTCTATGTCGAGCTTCTTTTTGGACACTCACCAGATTCCTCCCTCTTCTTCGACCGTGTTGGTCTTCTTGTTACCGTGGATTTTTGGCCGCGCTGTCCCCTTCACGATGACATCAAAGTTGATGTCCATATTGCCGATCCATGGTCCAACTGCTCGCCAGGGGAAAGGGGCAGATGAAACTGTTTGCAAGCATATTGTTTTCCGGCTTCGTTTTGCGTATTTCTGTCGCAACTTCTTCCAGTGCTGTTGCGGCCGTGTTTCGCGAGCTTGATTGTTAGCAATCTTTTGCGTACAGGTCTCTCGTATGCCGTGGTTGTCGTTACTAGGAAGTGTCCTTACGTACCTCCAAGCTGTTTGTCGTCACGAACGAGAGCCAACAAGGAGTGTTGTCGTATCAGGCAGCCCATCGCAGAGTCTTTGCAACGCTTGCTTCCCTTCGTTCTGATGTCTTTCTCACGACATCTGCTTGATCGTTCATTCCCATCTCACATAAGATTGTCGTACCTGGGCTTTGATCGCGTTAGTCATTTGTCAACATGTTCAAATTGAGGCAGAAATCCAACATTGATCAGAGGTCTTGCGTATTGGATCACTTCACCCCATGGAACTTGGCAATGCCTGGCGTCATTTGGTCGAAGAAGCATCGGGAAGCATTGATCAATCTACAAGTTGGACGTCAATGCATTGTGATGGACAGCTGGTATTGAATCCTTCGAGATTACCTCCGGAATTCGGACGCTTTTGTTTGCGCCGATGAGAGCCCACCCCTAAAGTCTCACTTCGTGCCGAATTACGGGCATACGTGTTGTCAGCACGGAGATTTTCTATTATTGACGAGTCTTCTGAGGATTGAGATGATGGGAGCAGACGTGACTACACATTCTGTGTAATCTTTTAAAATATCTCACTCATTGCATCTCTCATCAGGCGCCACCTTATTTTTGTGGTGCACTTTTTCACTTGATGATTGTACAACCAACCTTTGCAAATGGGGTCCGTCCTAACGAGCAATTATTGGTTCTCGGCGCGAATCCGACGCCATGATTGGTGTTGTATGAAAATGGGATTGCACCCTGGTTAACTTTTACACAACAAGGATCCCGAGCTCGAAATGTACGTGTACGGCGTATGGACAATTTTCGAGCAAAGTTCAATAGCGATGCTGATGACCCGAATAATTGCATTGAATATCTTTGCTATAGATACTTTCACTTTTCTAGTCAAAGTAAGCAAGCTCTGAGCTTTTGCTATAATGAAGAATTTTGGCGTTATATTCTTTGCAAATTGCAAAAAAGAGGACAATGTCAATTTCGAAGCCGATTTTTGTTTGCATTCCTGGAGTATCACATCCCCCAATTATATATGATCCCCTCAAAGCGTCGCTGTCGCTCCATGGATACACGGCCATCCTCGTCTCATTACCTTCTATAGGAGCAAGTCAACCAGTATACGACTTTACCGACGATGTTCTCGCTATACGACTAGCTATTTCTCGACTTGTTGACGCCGGTACAGATGTTATCGTGGTCATACATGGCTGGAGTGGCGTTGTAGGAGGTGAAGCAGTGCAAGGAATGAGCAAAGCAGAAAGAGCGCGAAGAGGATTGAGAGGGGGTGTTGTTAGGTTGGTGTTTATCATGGCATGGATAGTGAAGGAGGGATTCCAAGGTGCTCCACGGGGTGATGTCTCCAGTATGCTGCCATATCTTCAAGCGGACACTTTGGTAAGCCATCAATCTTGTTCTATCCGATAGCCCCACCTGCCGCAGCTTCTAGAGTGGAAGGGATTTCTGTCCCCGGCAGGAGCTTGCCCAGAGACTTCTTTTTCTCTTCTACGATGTTGTTCTGCAATCAAATAGGGCTCTTGAAAAATATTCTCCCAGCATACCGGAAGAGGTTTCCCGGAAGAGCAAGAATGGCCCACGCTACTGGTATACTGGCCGAGCACGATGGAACTAGACAGCAGATCGTCCCCAAGTGCAGAAACCAGCACCGCTAAACTTTGTTTTTCGCAAAGCGATTCAAGTCTGTTAGATTACTTACTAACTATCTAGCAGAGCCAGACTGCCGTACCCATTCCATCTCTCGCCGTGCAATGCTTGTTCAATGATATGGCTCCTCAGCAGGCCAACTTTTGGACATCACAACTTCTTCCACAGAGCCTCGGTGTGTTCTGGAGCAAGACGACCTTCGCAGCATGGCGGCATATTCCAACTACGTACGTACTCTGCGGACAGGACCAGAATGTGACGGTCGAGTATGCAGAGATGATGATTCAAGCGGCGAAAGACTCAGGGGCACATATGATTGACCGTATAGAAAGGTGCGAAGAAGCGGGCCATGAGGTGTTTCTGAGCAGGGTTTCGGTATGTAGATTATTTCTACTCATCTCTATGCTCCTCCCTGCCACGTCAAGTGACCTCGTCCCATTCGAGAGTCGAACCCCCTTTTTACGAACGCCAAGAGTTATCGCTTAGTTCTTGTGGTTTTGATGAAAACCACTTCTCCATAGGTTCCACACAACCAGAATATTGGCTAAAATTTAATCTCACTACTAGTGGACAGTAGACGTGCTCCGACGAGCAGCAGGAGAACGTACTTAGTTGTAAATACACTGGATTGGCTTTAATAAGGAGGGCGACGAATGAAGCAGTGTTATGGCAACTACTATCGCACGGAATAAATGAAATACTTTGACTTGAGAAGTTCAGAAGTCCCACCCTCTCACGACGTGATGAATCCCTGCATCACGATGTGCGCCACTCTGTGAGCAATTTTCAATATCGCCAGTAGACCATTCCTTCTTTACAAAGTCACTTTGCTACCGTTTTTGAAGGATTGAAGGAGCTGACGTAAGGGCAGAGCTGATGCAGATACTAGCCCGCCGTCTAGTATTAGCAACCGAAAACCCGCAAGACCTTGATGTTGAATAATCCTGTTTTGTGAGAATGTGAGAATACAACGACCTACACGCGCTCTATCCTACTTCTTAGGTCAGCCAGCGCATGACTAAGGTATGACAAGCAAACTGGAGGGAACATCAGTCAGATATGCTTACACTTATTGATGAGCGATAAAAGGTTATACTATTTTAGCAATAGATAAGCAAGAGAATTAGTGGGACGATTAGGAAGAAACTTGGGGAAATAGCGGCCGGGTCGTCTAGCTGTTTAGGGTGTTATTCTGCGAGCAGAAGGATTCGAGGATGCGAGAATATGGAACCATTTCGCGAATATTTAGCGTTGTTCGAGACCTGCCGCCCATGCGGATCAAAAAGCTCTAGATGTTGATCAGCTATGCTCCCGTGCCAACAGAGGATCAAGGGCTGGTGGGTTTACAATATAAGTAGGTATATCGCACTGCATACGCTCTACTGAATTCAACGTTCTGTTGGCCCTATGCTGCCGACCACTCAGTCACAAATAGCTGAAGTGGCTTGTCAACAACTGCAAGTGTTCCTCCTGTTATGTACTACCAGCCCCAACCATGCTTCTCATGTTCACACTAGAGCTCGATTTTATTAAGGGGTAAAGAAGTAGCCCATGATGAATTGGAATGGATTCCTGATTTTTGGTACTCTGTTCTATTAAACCATCCCACCTACCCGTTACGCCAATTCTCTCTCATAACGCTCTTCAATGACAAACCGCGCCTCGCTGTGATTCCCCTGATGAACTGTTCTCAAAAACCAACGCTAAATGTTGTAAACCCTATCCTCACCGGACACAATATCGCAGCGCCAACAATGGCGTAGCTATCAGCATCGCGTCATTTTGACACACTGAGCCAATAATCTTTATACCGAAAGTGAAACGCCAATGGACTCGAGAATATATCCTTTATCTTCTTGTCTATTTCTACCGTAACCTGAAGTATCGGGCCCGGCTAGATATATGCACGCAACCATGGCCGAGGAATTTTATCGTACATTGCAACAGTCGAGTAATGAATAGTACAAATTTGGCTGCGTATCGCTGGTGGAATTCTGCGAGACAGCCTGGATTTGATTCAAGTGAATGGAACATAGATAGTTCACAATGAGGGCGGTTGAGAGGCTCAGCGGTCATTCCACCAAGACAGAAGATAAGAATCAACAATATCCCAGTGATTGTCATATGGCCGCACTCTTATTTTGCGTGTTTTCGGAAGCCTAGCAGATCTGCCAAACTTGACAAAGCACACCCATGCTTGAGGAAATCGTGTTGCAGGAGCTCGTTAGCAGAAGCTCGACTCCTGATATCCACACAAAGGCAGACAGACAAGAACGCCTTTAGCTCCTTACTAAGCTTCTCGGGCTTCTTCAAACGGGGGGTGCCATTGGTTGCAATCAAATAAAGGGCCTTCAGCGGCTCTTCATTTAGATATGGTGGCTCGGACTCAATCATCTCGATAGCCATGATACCTAATGACCAGATATCGACCTTGGGTCCGTATTCCTTTTGCTTTACAACCTCAGGAGCCATCCAATAAGGAGTTCCCACCATCGTCGCACGCTTCGATTTTGACTCGGTCAGCTTGGCACAGAAACCAAAATCGGCTGTTGAAATGTTAGCTAATGAGAAGAGGAAGATGCATCGGGCTACTGACTAATTTTTACGTTCCCACGAGCATCGAGAAGAACGTTATCACTCTTGATATCGCGATGAATGATACTCTGTTGATGCAGATGCTCAAGTCCACGACATGTCTAGACGAAGTTAGGGTTATTCCATAAATCAGAGTGAATTAGCATACCTCGAGACAAATGGTCGATATTTGGTCCTCAGTGATGGTGGGGTTGTTGTCAATAACATCAGTAAGAGCACCACCTTCCATGTATTCCATCACAACCCACAGTTCCGAAAAGTTGTTGCGCAGGAAAGCGTCGAGGAAATTAACAATATTACGGTGCTTGCTATCCTTCATTACCATAATCTCATTGACAATTAGTTCTTTCCTTGGCTGATGAGCCAAATCCATCTGTTTAATAGCGACCTGAGCTTTGCTTCCTTGCTGTCGAATTACCTCTCGCGCGATAGGGGATAGAGGATTTTCCTTCACTTTAGCAACGTAAACAGAGCCAGATGCACCCTGACCGATCTTCTTCTGTTTCGAGTATGACATGTTTGGGTCATCTTTCGAGACTGCTTCCTTCAACTTGGCCATAACTTCACTCTCAGACATGGTGGACATTCGCACGTCCTTCTGACGTTCTGCCGCAGGGGGTTTAGCCGTAAGAGCTGCCTCAGCTGCCTTTACCGCATCGCTCGACTGGCCATTGTTCAAGGGCTTCGCGACATTGAGAGGTTTAACCTGCTGTACTGGAGCAGGAAGGCGTGATGGGGGTTGGTTCTGGCTCTGTGGTGGCCTACCCTGGGCTTGCTGTTGAGATGGGCCATTTTGATACCGCGGCTCTTGTTGCTGAGGCCGCTGTTGATCTGTTCTTGCCGGCGAACGAGTACCTCCGTTCTGATCCCGTTGAGCCGCGATCTGCTGGTTTGAAGAAGGCTGAATCCGGGGTTGATTACTAGGAGTAGGTGCTGAGGGAGCCTGTCTTTGCGTCCTCAATGAGGATGGTGCTTGCGCTTGCTGGCGGGGCGCAGGGGGTGCTGCTCTTGATGGGTTATACCTGTCCTGAGTGGGAGCTGCTCCGTAACCCCCTCCGATTTCCTGCTGCGCCATGGGAACTCGAGTCTTTGGTAGAGAGGCATTATAAGCTTCCATGTCGCGTCTGTTTTGCTCCTCAATCTCCCTCTCACGCTGTTGACGCTGAGCCTCGAGTTGCTTTTGACGCTGGTCCTCACGTGTTTGAGGATCAACGTAATTGGAGGCCATTTGTTGCATCTGTTGGCGCTGCTGCTGGCTTTCTGGCGGAGTTGGTCGTCGGGGCGTTGGTGAAGATGACGTGGGAGGATTTCCATAACTAGGGTTTCGTTGATTGTTTTGAATCGGTCGAGGGGGGGCTACATTTACACCACCGCTCATACCATAACCTAACTGCTTATTCTGGTTGCTTGAAACTGGTGGGGTAGGCGTTAGACTTGAAAATTGTTGGGGGTTGTCATTGCGCTTGGTAATGTCGGAGTAGAACTCCAAAACCTCGAACACGGCTTGTGGGTTGCGTTCATAATCCTCTTTGGTGATGGCCGAAGAGTTGAGGAGTTTTGACCACTCTGGAGGAAGGCCTACGAATTCTCCAGTCTGGGGATCGAATCCAACATGGACAGAATGATTAAAGTTGGTGGGGTTACTGACACCCCCCATTCCGGGACAGCGCGCATAAACAAAGTCTATCCATTCATACAAATCCTCGTCGCTTTTGACTCTGATTTGTAACGTCTTCGAGATACCATCGTCCTCTCCCGGATTTGTAGAACTGCCACCAAGAGCTCTCTTGATTTCGAAGATCGTGCCAGCCGCTTCGACACGCGAAACACCGAGGACATCCTTCAGAACTATTTGATAGGATAGTTTGCCCCCTTCGGTCTTGTGAAAGTCCAAGGCTTCCTTGCGTAATATCAACCATTTCTGCTTCCACGGGCTAATGAAATTCTTGCCCTCCTTAACGGAAGCCCAGCCTTCCTTAATAACCGCAACACCCCCTTGTCCATCCATATTGGATTGCTGCCGGGCGAGCGGGAGGGAAACCGTCGATCCCGTATATGTAGACGTTGCCGTTCGAGTGATGGGTGAGTTGATGTTCATTTGGGACATCATGTTGCCTGGCAGGTTTGCCGTAGATGGGGTAAGATTTAATCGAGGTCTGTCAGTAGGAGGCCGTGGTGCCGGACCCGGGTTCATAAACTGGCCAGGCGTGTAAATGCTAAAGGGGGGGCAACGATTAACAATAGTAAGAGAGAGATGGTCGCAGTGAATATGAGATTTTAAACGGAGTCTTTGAATGGGAAGCGATCGCATCTAACAAGGTGAATGTGGTTCAGACCAGCCATGCATACGTGGATCGCGAATCCACTCGAATTCCCCTGTGTTTGAACTGACTGTAACGGAGAGTGATCTGTGCGGAAGATGGAAATGACAACATACCTCTGTTGCTGTGCCATTGTGAAAGACGGTATTCGGATAGAACCGCTGGAAAAAACTGTCGTGTTATGGATGTCATGAAATGGAAAAGGGGCAGATGGAGTGACCGCGGGGTATCGAGAATGAAATCGTCGCTCGTTCTGCAGCGCCCATAGGGTCAGGTCAGTATGTTGGTAATGGAAAGAGGCGCATCAGCAGCCACGACCCAAGAATGCAGCAGCACGTACAAAGAAATATCAAAATGGTCGTAAAGAACGTAGATCGAGTTGTCAAGGCGAGGCCTTGGTCTGGGAATACCTTCAGGTTCTCCTCGTTGATCGAGGTCCAGTCGCACTGGATGGAGGGTGAGAAACACTTCCAAGGTTTGTAGATCCGCAGCGCACCAGCGTGGGACGGCGTCAAAGGAAGCTGGTGTGTTCGAGTCGCGAGTGCCTTTCGAGTGTCGATACCGATCGATTCTCGGTGTTTGATATCTGGCTCGAGGTTTTCGTAGTTGAGCACGACGGCTGCGTGGGAGAGGAGGAGGTCGTGTTGGTCGAGTCAAAGCTGCTGGTGAGGCGCGGTGGTGGGAGTTCGAGTTCGAGGTTGATAGATCGCTACGTTAGCGCCGAACGGGGTCTGAAAGACGGAAAGGGGAAAAGGGGAAAAGCGGCAACAGAAAGGATTCTGTCGCAACGTTCCCGAAGTTCAGATGGTCTGGACACTTCTGAAAGGGCGGACAATGAGAGCTGTGAGAACGGTGACTGCGATGAATGGCAGAATACATATGACATAAAACCAACGTTATGGATGAGGATGGGTATGGAACGAAAACCCATTTCGGCACAACATAGCTACCTACCTGAGGTACCTAGGTAAGTATTCCTTAGATCATGTAAGCTAGCTCAGGTAGACTGTTATGTGTATTTTACCTCGTATACTTACTTACCTACCTGACTACCTAGGTACCTAGGTACTCACTCACCATCGCCCCATTTACTAGACCAGCCCTACCAACCCAAACCTACTGTTGACTGGTCAAACAACTGCTCCGACTTTTCATGATCTTGATACACTGATGCTAGCCCCCATTTCATGATTCATCCTCGGCACTAGCTGGAGGTCGGTGGCATCCTTTAGGATGCAGGCATGAAGTGTACCTACCCAGATTTAGGCGTGGTACTCGCACTACCATACAGATACCTCCAGCCATCTCAAGTGAGTTGCACCGTCTGGCTCAAAAGTTTCAAGAACAGGTCTGCAGGTTGATTGAGTAGAAAGGCGTCCTTGAAAGCAGGCACAAGATATCTTTCAAGCTCACGGGGCATTCAAACCCAAAATCTATTCTTGTTCCTTCCAATCCTTCCAGTCGGTGGTGCAGGCTCCCTCAAAAGCTCGCGAGACTCGAGAGCTGGCGCGAGCCGCTCAGGGCGGCGGTTGGCGGTTGCGGTTGCGGTTCACGAAGCCTGAAACGACGCTGGTATGTTTCTAATCTGGATGCAGCCAGTAGTGTCTGTTCCATCGTTCCAGAAGGTCAAACAATCCTTGGTGTTTCCATCAGACTTGAAGTTGGATTCTGCGAACGCGTACAAGCACCACATACGTCCGTTTCCGTCTAGAGCTCCCCGACGCGCCTACCCAAGACATTTGTTCCAATCACGTGACACTTTTGATCAGTGACACTAACCTTGCGGTGGATCGAAGCATGCTGGACACAACACCCTATGTTTTACCTATTGTTTTTCAAGAAACAATACATTCTTAGCACTGTGCACTAGGGACCGGCATATCAACCTTTAATCACATATGATAAAATCGTTGGAAGATCCAAGAATTACTGTCGCATAGTCCATCACAAGCTAACGAATGGACGAGGCCCTTAGGCGCGGGGGCAATGAATTTTTCTTTATGGCGTGGCATGGCACAAAGTATGCGATCCGTGTATATCACCATGTCGCGTGTGGAGCTCCACTGTAGTATTTGGCACGTTCTCCAAGCAAAAGAAAAGACAACAACAATAAACGGGCCACGGAAATCATTTAAATAGCACAGCTGAAACCATGGCAAGTACAAATAGCAAACATACACAGTTAGTTGAAAGACATCTAAAACTACCCTAGTCTAAGGAATAACCACCGTACCCGTCAACATAAACATACAGTTCATTAGCGGACAGGAAGTTCTGCTTCAAGATCCTGGCCCTCAAAGACAGGTAGTTCCTTTTCAATGTCGGCCCATACTTTACTGCCATCAACCAAGGATCTAATTGCGGCAAATATGGAGTCTTCGTCGGCACGAACTTGCTTGGTTGAGTCGCGGTCTCTGAGGGTGAAGGTTTTGTCTTTCACACTTTGGAAATCAATCGTAATACCAAGAGGAGTGCCCAGTTCGTCATTACGGCTGTACCGCTTGCCAATAGATGCGGATGAATCGTCTACTCTACTTGAGATGCCAAGTGCGCGGAGCTTGAGAGACATGTCTTTGACCAAAGGCTTGAAGCTCTCATTAGACGATAGGGGTACGAGCAGGACTTTAGTGGGCGCAACTGTAGGAGGGAACGAAAGAACCTGTTGGTGTCAGTGAAGCGCCAAGAACATTCAGAAGGACGACGTACCCCACGAGCTTCGTCGCCGCCATCGCTACCACGAGTCCAGTAGTTATGCTCAAACAGACAATATAGGATCCGACCAATACCAAATGAAGGCTCAATCACATTCGGGGTATATTCCCGCGTGTTTTCCGTCCGCGTCCTCCGCTCAATGGCGATCAAGTCTTTGCTGACCTCTACTTTGCCGTTTCCTACACCTTCAACATCGACAGTTATCTTGCCGTCTGCCTTCAGATCTTGGGCAAGTGCTTCACGCTTTTCCTGGGATAGGGCTTCGATAGCCGTTTCAATGGTTTTTCCATCTTTCTTGAAGAAAGGACCAAATTTCTTCTTGTCAAGGTCAATTTGCCACTCCTCGATAGTGATAGGCTTATCCAGACGTTCTCGAACAAACAGCGGTGCACCAGTCTTTTTCGCGTGAACGGTAAGATCGTAAGCACTTCTATCAGCACAACCAACACACTCAATCCAGCCGTAGCTTGTCTGCAATTCGGCATCCCAGCAGTCGGCGGCGTAGTGAGCCATCTCATTTGCCATGTGCTGCCTAAATCTTATCTTCGACTGGTCGACGCCAATCTTCTTAAGGAAAAGATGTATACGAGCCAAGAAATAGCCAAGAGTCTCATTGTCGACCGTACCATCAGCAACGGCTTTCCCAATTGTGACTTTGTCCAGGTCTGTCTTGCCGGAGAGTTGGGTGTGCTTGTTCAACAGCACAAGCTCAATGTCCGCGACCTCGTGGAACCGTGGGTGCTTCTTTCCACCTTCTGGGTCAACAAAATGCTCAATCTCGGCCATCAAAAACTCTCGAACACGCAGAAGACCAGATCGCGGAGAGATCTCGTTTCTAAAAGACTTCCCAATTGAGGCCGATGCAAATGGCATCTGTTGCTGATTGAATTCCAGCAGTTTTGCGAAGTTGACAAACTGTCCCTGAGCAGTTTCTGGGCGCAAGTATCCGGGTGCATTACTACTTGGACCAATGGCAGTCTGGAACATAAGGTTGAATGCGACAGGAGGTTCAGGTTGGACATCAGTTGCTGGGTTTTTTAGCTCATACTTCTTGATAAGCTCGCCCAATTCTTCGCCATTATAGTTGTCGATCTGCTAAAGTCAGCTAGCAATCAACTGCTCGACAGGCTTCTCTTACTTTTGCTAAGACTTCTTCGTACTCTTTGACCACCGCATCCTCCAACTTCACAGCTTCCGCAATACCCTTGGTCTTCTTCTTCTTTTTCTTTGGGTCTTCCTCCTTTGCAGCGACTGTGACACCCCTAGCAGCCTTGTCTCCCTTGAGGCGCGATTCTAAGATCTCTTCCACAAAATGGTCGGCCCGGATGATGTCGCCGTTTTTGGGGTCTTTGCACATCCAATCTGCAAATTTGTCGACATGGCCACTAGTCTTCAATATCTCAGCGGGAGTCAGAGCGGTGCAGTCGACCTCCAACATGTCTTCTTCCAAAACGAAATGCTTCCGCCACAAATCGATTATGTTTGCTTGTAGGGCACATCCCGGGGGGCCATAATCGTACAGACCAGCTGTACCGTTGTAAATCTCAAAGGAAGGGGTGTAGAACAAGCGCCGTCGAAGCATAGAGTCTAGGACTTGACGATCGAAGGGCGTCCCCTTGAGAGTTGTGGTGGCCATCTCTGCCTGTTGTTGGATTTTGAATACGATTGGGGTGTATTTACGATATCGTGCGGTTTCCGTAAAGCGTCGAGTTGTCAACTGTGGTCTGAATTTTTGCGTGCGTCTACAGATCCAGAAAAGAGTGTGGAGGGATCGCATTCGCCTAAGGTTTCCGGACCAGAGACTAATGGCTCAATTGCAACGTGGGATTTGGAAAAGAGTATTGTGAAATTTGTTTCCGGATCAATGACTCCTCGCACCCAACCCAAGAATGTCAGAGCCTCGTCGGAACGGAAAAATGCGGGGATGTGATAATTGTTGTGGATTATTATTGTTCCGTCGCTGAAATATTTGTTTCGAGACGGGGAAACAACATCTAATTCTTGCATAATCGCAAATACTCCACCATGGGGTCCAAACGACTAAAGCCCTCCCCAAAGGCTTCACTACCGTTCAAAACTGGCAACAAATTCCGCAGACAAGATTTGCATGTTAAGCAAAAGAAAGCCCGCGACAGTCTTCGGCGAGACGAACGGTTCAAGCGCAAACGAGAGGAAGACAAGGATCCAGAATTACGAAGAGAAAGATTGGAAAAGAATGTCCCACACACAATTGATAAGAAGCGAGTCTGGGACGAAGTCGAAGGCGATGGCTTAAATGTCAGTGTGGATGTGGAACAACTGAAGAGGCGGCGAATCGAACAAGCAGAAGCTGCTGAACAAGAAATATCGGGAGATGTCGAGGGTTTAGTGGAGGACGACGTGGATAGCATGCTAGATACAGACTCGGAATCTGAAGCTGGGGAGGATGAGGACGGAACATCTACCAAGGAATCTCGACGACGACCTCGGGCAGCTTCGAATGCACCCTCTCTTGCGCCATCTACCACAAGTACCAATTTGGATCTGACGCCCGACTCTCTTGCCCTCAAGTTCCCTACGCTCTTCTCTGACGAACCTCCACCAGCACCTAAGATTCTCCTCACAACTTCAATCAATTCGACTCTCCATCACGAGGCCGAACTGCTGTGCACCCTATTCCCCCACAGCACATACATCCGGCGGTCTTCACATCGCTACGGGCATAAGTTTTCTCTGAGGGAAATCTCAAAGTTTGCCTCAAATCGGAATTACACTTCTGTAATACTTCTCAAAGAAGACGCCAAAACCCCTACAGGTCTTACTATTGTACATTTACCATCCGGGCCAACCTGTCATTTTTCGATTGCGAATTGGGTAGAGGGTAAAAAGCTTCCTGGGCATGGAAACCCTACAAATCATTATCCGGAGCTGATCTTGAATAACTTTCGTACACCGCTAGGTCTGTTGTCAGCCAGATTATTCCTCACTCTCTTCCCTCCACAGCCAGAGTTGCAGGGTCGGCAAGTGGTTACATTGCACAATCAGCGTGATTACATATTCCTTCGACGTCACCGTTACGTATTTCGTGACAAGAGAGAAACCGAGAAGAGTGTTGTCGGTCCAGACGGCAAGGTTGTTGAGGGCGTGGAAGGTATTCGAGCAGGATTACAAGAATTAGGACCAAGATTTACACTAAAGTTACGGAGAGTGGATAAAGGCATTGGACGGGCAGGCAGTGAGGGTGATGATGCAGTACAGTGGCAGTGGAAGGCACATATGGAGAAACAGCGGACCAGGTTCAACCTCTAAGGTGTGTTTCGTATTTCAGGATGGTCTTGTAATGATACCCAAGAACAAATTATCTCCAAAACAACGATACGACTCTATGCTATGCTAAAGACAATCGTTTCTCCTAAGTTACGTTAGCATGTACTCACCGATGATCATAAAGGTCGGAAAGTTGAAAGAGGATCGTGAATCTGGTTCCTCCGACACTACGTGAATCCGAGAGTGACATCAAAGAGGAACAACATGAAGATTCAGCTTAGGGATTAAAAAGTCTGTCTTCTATCAAGGCTGTCGGACGCTAGTTGGGGGGCTGTATAAAATCCTTCTTTACGGTGCCGCGTAAGATCAGAGGGACAAGTGCGACATGGTTCTACACCGAAGATATTCTCATATCCAGCTTTCCATCCAAACACGGTCATATCCACAGGTGCGTTTACAATGCGCGCCATTCAGAACTTAGCCTTCGTCCGTCAGAGAATGGAAAAAGCTAGTGCTCCTGATTTTGTCTTTCTTGGTGTAGCCTACCTCTAGACAATGATGTGCATGCTCTTCAAAAGTCAAGAGTTAAGATTTCAAGAAGCGACATTATACCAATAAATGATCGACCTCACATGGAATATGGAACAAGCTTGTGGTGGGGAAATATGCGAGTTCAGGTATAATGTGTAGCCTATAAGCCTCATTACATTATACTCATCTGTTTCCATAGCTGATTTTAAACAATTTCTTTTTGAGGCTCTGTGTTCTATTTCCTTACAAACTCTGAACGACTGGTGGACAACATTGGAACTCTTGGTACTGAGCTCGGATTTTGTGATAGGTATTCAGGTGAGACTAAAAAAAAAAAAAAAAATTGCTCAGAAGTACACTAATAAGTCTATTATCAAGTGCAAACCGCTTGGAAGCGACTGCTGGTATCTCTCGCTATAATCCATATATATATACAAAAATGGCTGGTGTAAAGTCTTCAGAATGCCAAAGATGTAATGCCTAAACGCCGTTCGCTCCCTAATAATGCAGATCATGCAACCGTGAATTCCTCAGGATGTATGTATATATCATAATTTGTAATTAGCCCGAGAAGGCTCTTTGCAGTAATCGTAACTCGAGTATTTGTTCTTGTTGATCCACTCTGTATGCCGGTCTACGGTGAGAGGCGTAATGTCTCTATTCGCCTTCATAAATACTGTTTCAAAAGGATGGACACTGATTCCGTAGTACTCGTTCTCCCATAGTAAATCTCCACTCTCAGGCTCGCATTCCGCGGGATAGTCGTTCATGCTGTGGAACGCGCTCATCATGACATCGACTTTGAAGCCTGCCTTTTGCAGCAAACGAGTCGTCGAAACTTCTGCATTTACAGCTGATTCCCAGGTGTGAAAGCAGCCATTGATTCCAGGGGATTGCCATGGGAGAGGGTCGCTAGGACGAAGATTCGGCGGTGGATCAGCTTCGTATATATCGAGAACTTCTTGAGATGGGTGCAGAAGTGTCTCGATGCCAATAATATCGGTAGCGAGGACCATGGACTGGACATGAAAAAAAGGTTTGCAATTGGCTGTCAGACCAACAAGCTATCGACTTGTTAGTTCAGAAACACAAGCAAATCTTTGTTGGATCGCGTAACCTACCTTGACCTTTTCGGTCAGCCTCCCAAGAAACATATCCGTCCAACATCTAAATTCTGTCAGCGCCGTGCCACACTGGGCGAGCAGTTCACGACCTACTCTCTAGTCCAGTGAGGTAACATCGGCCCTCTCACACTTGCATTCATCAATATAAACCGCTTGTACCTCTTATAGTTGTCGTCCGCCTGAAGTACTTCCGCATGAGCACCCATATCATAGCAATCATTGGCCCGCTGCACTATTCGAATGTTCGGCTCGTTCGGTATTAAACTCTTCGCTGTGGTTTCTCCATTTAGGATGAACACGAAATCGGCGGCACCGTGTAACCCATGCGCCAGGAAGAATTCAAGATTCTTTCGCGCATTATCCGTCTTTCCATCGGCGTATGCGTATTGTATTAAGGGGCGGTCGCTCACAACCTCGACGGTATCAACAATTGGCGAGGTGGAAGAGCCTTTCGGAGAGTCGCCCTTTACAGCTGACGAGACAGGATATTTCTTATGAAGCGTTAGTATGACGGGAATATAGCTGGCGCAAGTCTCTTGAAGCGGGAAGTTTCTCAAGAACTTTGTGCGACATGTAGGACTTACAAGGCGAGAAGAGCTCATAGTGGCATAGAGCGACCATACTACGAACAAAGCGGTAATAGCACCAAGCCACGGCAGCCGAGAATTCGGCGCCATCATAGAAGACATGTTCATCCTACAGAAAAAGGGCAGACAAAGAAAAGGCAAAAGGATACGAAGCAGCGAAGGCGCTCATCAGCGCGCCGCGATAGGATAATAACTACATTTCAAGTGAGAGAAGTGGATATCGGCATGCTCACTGCTCTGCGCGGCCCTGCCCCAATGCCCCAGCACTTCTACGTATATTCCCAGGATCAACCATTAGGTTAGTCAAGTTCAGAGACCCTCTCTACCCTTGTACGCTTGGTTATTGTTCCGTGAGCATATCTGCAACCACAAGAAGTTAGAGATTTTGCTAAAAGTCGTACCTCTAGACTCGCGGGCTTCATGTCCATAGTCAGATAGATTGATAGTAATGTCCTTGAATAACTTCACGCCTCAAGACCATAGCCTTCCCTGGTTTGGTTTAGCTCGATTACACCTCACCGGAGGTCGTGGGTACAAACTTCAACGCTCAGAACGTCGATTTTGGTCCAGATCGGATCGTCTCAACATGCCAACGTTGTAATCGAGTACGCTGATATGATAGGCAGTACCGTATGTCTGAATGCTTAACTTAGAATCTCACTACGATGCGGCGAAGTTCCGTGATTTCCACTAAGCAAAGTGAAGACGATGCGTTGAAACTTGAAACACTCCAAGTCAAATGAGTGTAAACTGTCGGCGAAACTGCATACCAGAACATTGTAACGTATCATCATGCCACGATGGGCTGTGTTCGTAAAAGCGTACTTTCGTATTTGCGTTGATATTACCGTTTAATTCAAAATTCAAATGCTTCACGATCTGAAGCTCTTGATAGGCTTCGCTTCTACGAGTTGGGATTGTCCCGATTCTTCAGGGGTCCCCCTATCTATTACTAGACCCCTTTTCGCCTTTTCGGGCGAGACTGGTGGGGTCAAACGGCTACCTAGGTAGGATCAATGTTTTGCGGGCATTGCGTTTCTTCGTCATCTTCTCAAATTTCGAGACCGTCAAATTGTTTCAACGGCGATCGTGCTGATTACCGGAACTCTATACACACATCGGTTCGATATGTGAAACGTCTATCGCTTGCCTAGTTTGGTAGTCGTAATGAAGTCGTCAGCAAGCCGCTAGATCCTCTGCCACGTAACGAACGTATTCAGATAAGCGAGTCAGTCAGCATGGTTTTCGGCCCAATTACCTACCACATCTCGATCACGTATGCTTCCAACACAAAGAAGCTTTTGAATCTTTTTACTGCGAGTAGTCTTTGGACGTCTATGCATATTCGACGCCTTTTGCTTGAGTTTTTAAATCTCAACGCTGTATGGATTAGCAACTTATTGTTAAGTCATGGCTTTTTCGCGTAATCCTCCTAGTGTCCTACGATGGATGAGGTGTGCTACCACTTGCCTCATACCCAGGTAAATGACTAAGGTCGTTTGTACTGGGACAGAAAGAAAAGTGTAGTTGTTGTTCTAATTTAACCTCTTGTAGTCGACTATATATTCTTACCGTATACAGACAGCTATGTTCCATGTTTCTAATAGGCCGCAGCACACATCACGAATATGCTACCAACCTGGATTGCCCATAGCACCTGCAGAGTTCTTATCAATATACGTCTTCTCTTCCAAGTAATAACAGCAATACGACTTCACTTCATTTCTTGGCAGCCATTATGGTTGATCAGATGGGCACTGGAAGCAAAGTGCTGACGCGTCAGACCGTTCACTGCATGCATTTTGACATAATCATTGTTCGGCTTACCAGAAACTTATACTCTGAAACTCACGGTGCTTACACGAAGTGGTGGATGAGAAATAGGCCGCCACGATTACTTCATTTCCTTCCTGATATAGATATGCGAGAGACTCGCTTGCATCCTTCGCGAAGGCTCCCGTGAATAGTGACATTCTTCATACGTCTTTTGCATATGGAGCCCTCTGCTTTTGGCAACAGTCAAGTGATACTCTTGCCCATAAGAGGAAGATGATTAAGAGGCGGTTTCAAACCCAGTAGCTACTGCAGTTCATCCCGGCCAAATGTCCAAGTTCATGGATACTCGATGACTGGTCAACGTGAATCGTACCATACTACGTAAACGCAGGCAGACTCAAGAGTCAGCATATCTGAGAAGGATGGAAACTATTGATACCATATATTTGCCTACCTTCATTATGATTGTGAGCTTGAGGTCTTAGCAGAATTAATCCCCTAGCTCACCTATGATGTAAGTGGAATTCTTGAGCGCCTTATGGAATACTACGCAAAGATGAATACGATGATCCACTGGAGTGTGATTGAATATTCGCAGCAAGCACTCAAAAGACACATGAGTTGTTTATTTAAACAGGACGTTTCTGTCTGGTCTGGAAGATTTGGTCACCAATTTACCATATTTTAAACTCAACTGTGAGTATTTTGCCTTGAGCTTGTGACCTTTGTGAACTGTGGTTTTGTAAGATTAACTGTTGTCAACTTAATAAAGTTGGTTCGCTCAGACTATTTTCAACTAAAAGTAATCTGTCATCATTGAGAGGAAGCAATTCTGACAACTTTCCTCTAGCTTCCGCTTCATATCAAAGCTTACTGTAGCTGGTGAACTCAAGAGTAACGTCGGTCCTCTTCGAGTCATAGTGTCTTCGCAATTCCCATCCACTTGGTGATTTAGCCAACCCTCGCACGTAGATGTCTTTCCTGAGGTGCAGAATTGAAGAACCTTAACCATTGAAATTGTGATGTATGGTTTAAGGGTATATTCCAACCTACTCAGAGGCAGTTACGCTAGAATTGTCCTTGAGGTCAAGCGTACAAGGCACCAGAGAAGGAATATCTTCGTGAGGTATCACTTCTCATCAACTACTTGAAACTTCAAGTCTCAAGTTGTTGCTGCAACCATGCCCAAATGAGAATTTGTCACAAGCTCTGCCAAGATCGAAAGGTGACGGTGAGTATCCTCATCCAGTCTAGGTAAGTGTCATGGTAGACATGCGAAAATAGTCGGGAGTTTCTCTCTTTGCTGACTCAAAGCAGCTAGCAGTCACTATCGGTTCAACAATGATATGTAGAGCTCACTTCCAACAAGGAAAAGCACGATGAAATTCATCACAGGCTCTCGCTTAGCATTTGCTGCATTTCGAAGGGCAAGTTCATACAACACATGTACGGAAATTTATAGCCCCAAAGTATCAAGGTGAATTGAATCATTAACTTATTTCCTACTCACCTCGTCAACTAAAGAGTCAAGATCGGTTCCGTAGCACACGATCTTGCGGACGATATAAAAGGCCAAGTCCCCGAGTAATTAGCTAAAAATGTCTTCCTCTTTGCACAACCAGAACAACACAACCAGAACAACCATTGCAAACACCAAATCTCAAAATTAGAATATCTTCATTAATAAGATATTATCTTGTTCCTCGACTGGAATATATGATGCGCTTGCAAACATTCGGGAGAAATATATCCAACGAAATACCTGTCGCGAAACCAGAAAATAACATTACCTGGAACTCTACACATAAGCGTAAGTAGAGAAACCATCTCTTACGTATGAAATTCGCATACCTTGAGCCCTTCAATCACCAAAAAATCATTTTGCGTAAAAGCAAGTGTGCTGACACCTCATTTAGAAAATCTCAGCCGTATTTGGCCTTGCTCTATAAAGTTTGTCTTTCACCATCAAGTCAAGCATCCATCGAACATACAGCATCAGTACCGGAGCACGTTCATAATGTGTCGCGAAATCCACGTGGTATACAAAGGATGTTCCTGTCGCACTACATACTACAGAATCTGCAGCCGTGTCCTCGAGCAAAGCGCAAACTTCCAGTCGGCGGCGGTAGATAACGGGATGAGGAAGTGGCAGAATAAATGCATGAACAGATCTGGCAAAAGGGTAGTGAGAAGGATGAACGAGAATTGTGATGGGAAATGCTGCGTGCATAGCACGATCGTACCGAGCACAAGGACGAGAATCCAGGATGGGTATTTGGTGTGTTTCCCGGTGAATGTCCAAAGCGATATACAAGTCTAAGTTTCCTGACTAAACGAGTAGATGGCGAGACTCTAATTTTGAGAATACCAAAGTGCAACTTACGGAGCCGGAGCCTATTGTTTTCACTATTTCAATACAGTATGGCTTGTCACGACACCATGATTGAAGAGGCGCCGGAGGATGTCAGGTTTATTTTTGACGTATTCAGGAATTGTACATAAACAATGTAATCAGAAATGCCTTAAAATTGGAGTTTTTTCAACCCGTGGGGGGACACAATGAGGGCGGTTATGAGTTCCGATATTAGGCGGACGGTCGTGTCCGAACGAATGCTTAATCGTACTGCTGGAACTGTTAGATCTTAGGCCAACGAAACCATTGCGTTCATCACTGAGAAACGCCCTAATCAACGACTTCACATTGGACTGCTACCAGACAAAATAAGTCTCTAGACCCCCGCTTGTAATTAGTGACGGCAAGATATTGAGCACAAACATCGAAAACACCAGAGACAACTTTCCTTTTCGGATATAAGATAAAAATGTTATACAATAATTTTTTTGCAAAGTGTTGAAAGATACTCCAGCAGGTCTACGGTGGTAGACCAAGAATTACGATACATAATCAAATCCAAGAAAGGAAGTTCGAAAAGCCATGGAGCTTCGCTGGGAACATGCACGTACAGTTGAATCGGGAAACGTCTACGTTTGTCTTTCCCAACCGCCACGTTGACTTTTGTGGTAACTTGGTTGTTCCCGCCAGACGTGATGCAACACGTTCTTCACTCGTATGGTTTGTGCATTTAGGTCAGGGTTATTGCAGCGGTCAGCCCGGAATATGTCAAACCCCTTGTAATAAAGGGGGGTATTACCGCAGTTTGAACAATTCGGTATCCAGAAGTCTTCCAACGTGCTTCTACGGCACGATAGAAGAATCGGAAAGTCTGAGCATCTTCAGGCCGATATTTGCCTGTTGTGTCTTCGCCTTGAGAGGCAGAGACATCGTTGATGTGATTTGGAATCATCATACCGAAAGAGAACAACAATGCGTGAGATCATTACTCCTTGAGCGATTCGTCCAGTGCTTGACGTTTCACACAATACGGTATTGGTGTACGAGAAACATATCCAGCAGCCTGGGGAGGCAGATCTCCCCGAGCCCGAGGACGTGGACCTGGTATCGGTGTAAGAGGGATGACAGGTGAGATTCTCCACCATTGAGGTCTTCGCCTTTTCGTGTCTTGGTGAGATTTCCCAACAACCAAGAGTGCGGTACGCGTTCGGCTCGGGTGTTGGTGTCGAGTCGAGAGGAACGCAGAGTCGGGACCCGCCAATTTACCGGTGGTGTCTGGTCTAATAAAGCTCGCCCCAATTCGGAATACGGAGTACGATATACGTTCTGCTGAATCATTTTGTGCCTAAGAGTTCGATATATCAGCTCAGAGGGAACTTACCATGAACACCAGCTGTTCAAGTGCGGTTCGAGGCCATCTTTGGCGAGCAATTCGGTAGAAGCCTTTTCATCAACAGCGGCCTTCTTGCTGGGCATTATTTGAGCTCTAGTCTTCGCAAACTTGAAGTTCTGACCGAATTCCAGAACTCGACCGGCGTGGGATATTTCCCCCGGGTAATAATGATTAACTGCCAGAGTAAAAAGATATCACTACCGCCCTTTGGATCCTCGTGCGACGGCACCACTGCAGGACGATATTGGTGTATTGGAAAGCTGTCCCAAGGGAAGGAAACGGTCGGCGCATGCAGGAAACTCTGCCGCTGCAGTTCGTCGCCGGGGCTTCGAGAAGATAATTATCTGCGTGACCGCATGCGGTGACTCTGCCATGGCTGATTCTGACTGCCCGTCCATCCTGGTTGATTGTGTTTTCTATGCAGCGAAGTTGCTGCGGCTGGATTCCGGTTCATCTCCCATTTGCCAGAAGGTGCAGTAAGGGGCGTGAGCAGTTCTTTGTATTCTATGCTCACCTCGAGAAGCATGCCCACAGGCCAATGGCAACGTCTGCTGTCAAAGTCGGTTCCAGAGAACAGCGTCTTGGGTTTTCTCGACCGGATTCTGCTTGGTCGAATATTTGCGAGATTCGAGAATTATGCCCTCCTTCCGGCGCGGAGCCCGTCCCCCCATTGCTCCGTTCTGATGCAGTGTTCATGTGCCAAAGCCACGGAATCAGTTGTAAGGTGTTGTGCATGTTCCGCCGTGACCAGCGCACATTCCGTCGCAGCGGAGGTTCGATGAGGCTGGCGTGCGATGCGATGGACCCAGAGCAAGCGCAATAATGTTCGCGGTGGCATAGCAGTAAGACGCAAAGAAAGAAAGTATCATCATGGCCAGAGCATGGCTTTTCAATTCAGCAGTGCCTGGTCGTACCGTCGTACTCACTGCTACGGCCTCCCCCTCACTTTGCTTTCCCCTCTGGTCGAGGCCACTCCCGGAGCCGTCTTCACCTGTGCCGTTGTCACTCAGCCGGGGGCATGGCACTGGAATTTTCCTGGGATGATGGACCCAGAACCGAGCTGGTGGGGGGCGACGGGGTGGTGGTCGTGGCTCGATCGAGCTTGGTGTTGTTCGAGTTGGCGCACTGTGATACGGTGAAGCTGCGTTCTCTGCTTTCTCCGGGCGTCCAAGCGGCTTAGGCACATTTCCAGCAGGCTGGGATGGGTTGCGGGACCACTTCCATTCCAGGACAGTATTATTGCCCTGCACGACTTGTGCGGAGTTCGTGCTGATTCTGTATCGTCGCGTTTCGGTTCGGAAGACAATTTAGATGTAAATGTTGAATGTCGTGTGGGTAAAGTATGGATCTGGATGTTCTTGTGCTTTAGCATGTATTGATTTTGGTTGTACAGTATTGTAAAGTATTGTAAGCCTCGAGATTCATGGTGTTCCTCGTATCGACCAGCCAGTGGAACCAGTTGTCGGCGAACCTCGACTGCCATCTCGCCCCCGGAACCAGCATCGACCCATCGCTCACTGGGCCACGGCCCACTGGCGAAGAGAGCCCTGTGCAGCCTGTGGTCCCCATCTGGTCCTGGGTCCCGGTCCCTGTCGCTCTTCCTCCTGCAAGCAGGTGCAGGGCAAGCAGCAAGCGGTGCTCGCTCGCTCGACCGTCCAGACAGGGCCCGGCGAATTCAATGGCTCCGGCGCAAGACGAATATTAATAATTCTTCCCTTCTCCTCTCCCTCACGATGCCGACCTCCACCTCCACCTCCACCCTCCGTCTCGCTGCGCTTGCTTGCTTGGTTCTTCACACAGCTCCTATTTTTTCTTTCGCTTGCCCATTTTCCTTCACTCTTCACAACCATCCTGAATCCTCTTTCCGTGCTTCATTCATGGGGTTTGTTCGTGCTTAGGAGGATTGCATGCAACGGCTTGGATACATGGCTCTCCACTTTGAGTGACATTCGAACCCCATGACCCCGGATGATCGAACCATCTATCCCGATCTCGAGTCCTGTCATGACCATCTCATTGTCCCCCAAAAGATTACAAGACGAGGGTAGCAGAGACCGTATACGTTGGGCGAAACACGGTAGCTTCCAGAAGCTGGGTGGGTTGATGGTTCAGGAGCAGGAAATAGAGATGCCAACGGGGAAGCAAGACCTGGCCGAACTCAGCTGCTCCTCGGAAGGCTCCTCAATTCGCGACACATCGGATTTACCGACCCTGGAGGTGGACGATGAAATGGGGAATGTGCAAAGTAACATGTCGGATGGCGGTGATCGAGAAGAGAGAGAGGAAAGAGTGTACGGCGATTTTGAGGGAGGAGGGGCTGCAGCAAGAACCGTCTACCACCAACCGCTGGGTGACCAAGACACTGTGTAAGCCCGAGAAGGAGCTGCTTCTCTCTTCAACACTAATATCGATTCCAGAAATTCCACGCAATCTCTTTATGATTCTGATATCACCTATTTCATGATCCACGGCCGAAGATATTGCAAAGATTATTACATGCCAAATGATCAAGAGGAGCAGGACCGCACAGAAATCTTGCACACCGTCTACTTGTATCTCTTTGATCAACAGCTGACGACGGTGCGACTCCAAAACCCAACGAAAATATTAGATGTCGGTACTGGAACGGGTGAATGGGCCATGGCGATGGGTGACGAGTACCCAGACGCGGAAATCATTGGCACCGATATTGCCAAAATCCAGCCAAGCGCCGTTCCGCTCAACGTATTCTTCGAGATTGATGATGCAGAAGAAGAAGGAGGTTGGACCTGGCCAGAGGATGAGTTTGACTTGATTCATTTCCGGACGATGACGGGTGCTTTCAGATCTTGGGAAGAGATGTACAAATTATCCTTCAAGCATCTGAAACCAGGGGGTTGGATTGAGGTCATTGATTTCGACGATCACGGACAGCTGCTCTCCTACTTTGGTCCCGACAATACCATTGCAGAGTGGTTTCGCGCTATTGCTGAGGCGACTCGACTATCAGGACGACCACGAACGAGTAGCCATCTGGAGCCAGAAGTCCTCGAAAGATTGGGTTACGTAGACGTCAAACAGACGACCCACATGATACCGTTTGGCAACTGGCCTACCGATCCGGAAGCTCAATCTATAGGAAAGCATTTCCTGATTACACAACTGTGTGGTGTTGAAGCGATATGTCTTAGACCTTTGACTGAGGGTCTGGGATGGGATCCCAAGAAAGTAAGGAAAATCTGTCAAACGATTGTGGATAAGACTCGTGTGGTTGCATTGGATCCAACCAAAGCCAGCGGTATGGGCTTTCATGTGAAGTGTCTTACCGGTAGGAAACCGGGCGGTCCGCCTATAGAAGCTATGGAAAACGGCAGTGCTTGAATAACGACCACCTGAAGATGAAGATATGATGTACTAGAGCGCTAAGAATGATGACGACTTACGACTCATTCTATGGATACCAAAAGAGGTGGCTGGTCTTGCGACCAAATTGGAGTTTGGTGGCATATCGTTATTTTCTTCACTTTGTATTTGAGCCTGTTAGCTGCTGGCTGCTGTTCTTCGCCTCTCAACCCGCCCACTTCTTACGATGTTACGATTACGACCTGGAGGTTTCTCCTGCATTATTAAACGCCCTCGATGGCGTTGAGTTTCTGTCGTATTTCTATATTCTTATCTGGGGATGGATTGCATGTAGATACCCATTTATACGTTACAGCATGATGTTTCATAAAATGTTAAAATGAAATATAATTCCGAGATTTCTGAACAACTTACTCTTTCGTGCTTCCTTGTCACAATCTGTTGACCAGTGGTTTACCTGTATATTGTGCAAATAAGAGTAGCAAAGAAAATATGAAGAAAATGCGCGCCTAGAAATAAGGAAGCTGGCGCTTTACAGATAAATACAATGGTTCATCAGCATCGAAACAGGTCGTATCAATACCATCATAAACACATATCTCATGAACTATATATTATCATATTACATAAATAGTAAGAACATTCCACCTCCCCATCTATCGTCAATCATCAGGTCAAATATCACATCTCATCAAAATACAACCAAAATGTTCCCCACCAAAAGAGTCAATGGGTCGTTCAACCGCTCAAAACTCTCACATACCCGCCAGGGAAAAGTCCTTTCTTCCCCAGATATGTACCAAACCACCATTCCCCATTAACATCCCTAGCCTCTCCCACAATAGCACCTTTCGGAAAGCCCAACTCATCATCGGCACTATCGTCTGGATACCGACTCCACCGCGCCAAACAAGTCATGCCCGTCCCACCCTCCGCTGGAAACCCAGCGGCCTGGACGAATTCCTCAAAATTCGAAGGCGGGGTGTTCATTACATTGTTCGTGACGAGTTTGGAGTGCTGGTCTGTTTCACCCCAGCTCCATTTCGACAAATCGGGGTAGGAAGCGTGAGGGAACGGTTCACATTTTAGAAGATGGCCGCCTATGAGGTCGGATATGATGACCCGGCGTTGTCCTGAGTAACTCTTTTCGAACCCGATTATAATCATACGATGGCCTTCTAAGCAGCGACGCCAACCATCACCGCCATTTTCTGGGCTGATTCGGCGGGATGTCACGAGACGTGGGTAGCAGGTTGCGCAGATATCGTAGTCACCAGGTTGAGTGTTGGGGACTTTGGAGGTGCACTGTGGACAGTGAAAGCGATGTGATGTTGGAGAGATGCTACGGTGACATATATCGCAATTCGTAGAAAATGTCAGAGGCTGAAAGTGGCCAATACTTGCAACGTCCGGACCAGTAAGAATTGTAGCAGATGGTGGCATAGAATTGCCACGAGATGAGAGATTGGTTTCCGGCGTATCTAGCTCAGGAGGTCTATATGTCAACGGTAAAAGTGCGTGTGTGCACGATTTGCTTTGGTTAACACAATTGTTGCAGAATCCCCAATCACCTTCATTGCACGATTCGCAACGCCAATAGCATTCATTTGCCCACGCAAGACAATTCGCACAAAAGACACCGCTCTGAAGTCGTTTCATAGGATCTTGTGTTGTGAGTGTCTTGCGCCCTTCCGCCCCGCCTGGTGTTGTACTAGGTGGAATATATCGACTTGGGTATAGCATATGCGGCCGCTCTGTTGATGATGGAATTTCGCCGGATTGTATAAGGCTCTCCCACTTTGTCCATGCAAAACTACCAAATCCAAACCAGTGAAGACATCCTGCGCCAGATCTGAAACATGATAAACAGATATTGTAGTTTCCTCCATGACATTTAACACAGTTGTAGTGAAGTTCGTATTCGATGTGGGTTTTCAGACACCGCGCGCAATCTATGGACGGCTCCGGAAAGAGTGGCGCCCTGTTTCTATGAGTAGCTGAAGAAGATGAAGTCGGCCTTGTACTACTGGAGAGAGCGGTCGCTCTGTCAGAGAGCGAGGGATGGGGGGAATGCTTGGGCGATCGGTTTGGAGACCTATTTGGAGAGTGGGCAGGAGAAAGCGGAGCTGGCATCAACGTCTGGTCAACTGGAGAAGTAACGACAGCTAGAGAATTGTCGTTATTAGGAGCGATTATGACCGTCTCAACAGGGGGCGAGTGTTCTTGCGCGAGTGGACTTGGGTTGGTATGATCCTCTATCCGAGCAGCAGTGGATGTTCTTGGACTCGTATCAAGTCGATTCCGGGTTGGTTGTGAGCTTAACTGAGTGATTGGATCTGTTGATTGTTGTATGCTAGGATCTGTGGCACTTCTTGACGTCGTTGGAGGACGGCGATTACTGACGTCTACAGATTGTCTTGAGTTGCTTAAGTCTGTCGAGGACCTTGCTGCGGGTCTTGCTAAGGCTTCTGTCACTGGAGTGGGAGCGGTAGAGCTTCGACTGCTGCTTGTAGTCCTTCTCCTGCGTCGTCCTTCGTCGCCAGAACGAACGTCTAGGCGATTCGGCTGCGACGCACTCATGGATGGTGGTGGCCGACTCTGATAGTCACTTTGACTAACAGAGCTGGTTGTTCTAGAATGCACTCTTCCCGGATTCCTGCCCTCATCACCCGAGGCCTCTCTTGAATTGTTAGCCGAGCTCCTGGCCTGACGTCTGCGGTCACTCGACCTCTTCCTGTCTCTTTCCTCCTCGGCTTTCTCTTCTTGTCTCCTCCTGAATGCTTCCGCTATCCTCTCACTAATCTGGTCTTCTTGGTTGACATCAATGTTTTCTAGATCAATTCCATCCAGCAAACCCTCCTCTCTTATTTGACGAAGAATCTCTTCTTCCATTTCGTGAGAATCCACGTCAGATGAACTAAGAAGTGATCGTAGTGATGATTGATGCTCGATTTGTCTCGCTGCCGATCTCCGTGTATCTTCATTTCTTCTGCTTGCTTCACCGTTGCTAGGTCTTCGTCTTCGCTCCTCGATACGATCAGACTCTGGTCTCAAAGCACTACCGTCCGGATCTCTCCTTCGTTCCGAGTCTGCTTCCCGCCGTCTTCTCCTTTCTCGATCCTCGCCGCCTCTGCCGTCCCGACTTCTGTTATCTCTACTCTGCTCTCGCCCTGGCTGAGGCCTCGAGCTGTGCGATCTCGACTCATCCGCTCGTCTTCTTTCCCGTCTGTCAGTTGACCCTTCGCTCACACCACCAACACCCGCCTCCCTCAAGCTGAGGCCTCTCACTTCCTCCATCAATCTTCTGTCCTCATCTTCAACTCTCCTCTCTCTGAGACTCTTCTCCTTAGCCTCTAATTTGGGCAATATTTCATCCCCTACGGTATATTTCTTGGCCAGTTCCGCTATTTCCTCCTTCGTCCTACCCTTACTTGGGTCTTTCGTCAACACCATGTCTACCAATGTTGTCACCGTCGCATTGTGCTTCGTGTCTCGTACATGCTCGCGGCATGATGGGCATGTGTACGGGGTTATACCTGCTGGAAGAGGATTTGACGAGTTGCGCGAGCTGTTGAGTTGGAAGCCAAACCACTCCTTGAGGCATGAGCCACAGAAAGTATGCAGGCAATCAAGGAGTGTGAGGGGTTGGTAGAGGATCTCCGTGCATATCTAGAACCAAAAAAGACGTATTAGCATGAGTCGAGTAGGTCTAGAGTCGAGGGAGCATGTGCGCGAAGCAGGCGCAAAACGCATTCCGCACGATGCGATATAGTCAAGGAAGAATTCCTTGGCCGGGATGATAACTCCGCAACATATCGCCGGGAGCGACTTACTGAGCAGGTCAGTTCCTTCTCCAAATCCATCTCCCAAGTTTGATTTTGTGATTACCAGCTCCTGTATCCCGATCGTGCGAAGGGTTCGGACGGAATACTTGTACGAGGTGCGACTAGAGGAGAAGTTCTTGGGTGGTCCCGTATAAGGCTGGGCATCAGTGGCGGTTCCGTGCTTCTGCATGCGAATGCAGCGCTGACGAGAGAAGCTAATCTGACAGCACATAGAATTGGTTTTACGAGAACATTCGGTGTAGGGGCGATCTACAATGGAGAGGCGAGTCTGCAGTTTGTGATTGTTTGCTGGAGTTGCTGATTGTTGATCAACCTTGGTGGGGGCGTTCTACCCGAGGCTCGTGTTCCTTTCCTTGAATGCTTCCCAGGCTCGCGGTGGACAAAATAAGTGGCAGTCAAAACACGGTATTTCTTCGATTAAGTTGACGAAATCTCGTTATTTAGTGGATTAATTTGGGACAATATGAGATATTTCGTGTATTATTTTGAGTAAATAAAGCTTCTTACGCTCTGTTCGAACTCGACTTGTGTAGTCCAAGTTTATTACGTAGGTGATTGACACTTAATTTGTCCTCCGCGAGCCAGGTTGGTTCACGGACAGGATATTTGATGTATATTACGAAAGGATTCACTAAGAGGTGATAAAATTATAATTTGCAGGCTTGTCTCATATTCCGTTACTAATCGCACGGATATTGGCGTGCATTAGATACGAAACTCCACTACCCAACTTCCCCTGTTGTATAATAGTAGTTTCCTCGTACCCAGCATGTGGGCTGTACTTGTAGTTGTCCGGCTAGGCGTCTCTAGCAGGACTTCTAAAAGACGCTGCCTAGCATTGGTTTCGCTAATCCTCGCCAGCGTAACACAGGTGTGCTCCCTACGAACAACTCCCTCGGCCTGGCTGACATCCAGTTCCGCAGTAAGCTGCCGTTGACCCGCAGAAACTATATTGGCTACAGCCTATAGAAATAGTTTAGCATATGGTTTGATAATTGCCCCTAGAGCTAACAGCCGTGTGTAAGGAACCCAATGTTCCGTGACAACTGGCGGTTGGTTCTTGAAAGAAAGAAGGTTACTCACAGTTACCAAACGTTGAGCCTTTACATGTAACTGTGTTTGAACACGATCCGTCCGTACTAATTGCTTGTGTTGGTGCGGTCGAGGTCGGCTTCGTTGTAGATGTGGAAGTCTTGGTCGACGATGTTGAGGTCTTGCGAGTATATCAGTTCAATGCTCAGTAACAAGAAGAACATGTGGCTTTGGGAAATACAGTAAACCGAAAGGGACAGAGAAATGACTGTGGTCAAAAATCGCAATTTGGCCTACCTTTGTTGTGCTTGCAGAGCCACCACTACAAGTTCCGAATAAGGATTGACACTAGAGCAAATTAGTATTCCTCTTTCTTGTTGGCTTTAGAGCCAGGAGCCGTGTCTGAGGATCGAACTTAAACACCAAAGACAAGAGTTCAAAAGGGAGTAGAAAGGGAAAGGTTTTCATACCCCGGTACCGCAGTAGCCTGAAGTGCTTCCACAATATCCGTATTGGGAACAACAGCTGTGCAAGTTAGCAATTGTGCTTCACGTTAACTCTAAAGCGATAATAGCAGCTTGAAAGGTAGACCATAGGTAGGGATTACATACTTTCCAAAACTTGATCCCTGGCAGGTGATAGTTCCACCGCAATTGCCTTCAACGCTTACCGTTTTTCCAGTGGCTGTAGGAGTAGAGGCAGTGCTAGTCGTGGTGCCTGTCGGAACAGCCGAACCTGCTGCACGATACCAGTTTGCTTGTGGATCCGCGAGGCAGTCCCCAACCGTGACAGCTCGGTACCCACGTGATGACAGAGAAGCCAAAATATAATCTGTAAGGTTGTACACCGTCTGGTACTGGATATCATGTTCTATCTGAAGGAAGTTGTCGACCGCCTTGTTGCTAGGGTTGATCGCACTGTCCCATATGTTTTTGGATGTTTGAATTTGGTCCGGGGTAGAGTAGATATAGCCAGCAGTATCCAAGTCAAAGTCTGAAGGTTATATCAGTGAGAAGTCATATATATGATGAAGGGGGTGGCGACGTACATGTGACGTGGTACCCAAGGGTCGCAAGTTTTGCACCACAGGTTGCGTTGCACTCAGAATAAGGAGGTCTATAATTTTCTTAGCGAGTTCTTTGTAATTACCGCTAAAAACCAACTACCTCATGTATGTTGGGAAATATCCAAGAATGTTTCTGAAAGCCATTTCATTGTATACGATTTGGTTCTGGAAAGTGGTTGGGTCCAGAGAGGTGAGGTTCTGGTGTGACCACGTGTGAGATGCAACTTGGTGGCCCTCTGTGATCATACGCTTTGAATGTTCTTTAGCTTAGATGATTAGGTCGGGTATGAGGACGCCTACCTTGATTAGATTTGACCAAGAAGCTGTGGTATCAATTGCTCCTTTTCCAAGATTATTGCCAGCTACTTTGATTAGTCGGTTGCCCCATTCCCCTGAACTGTAAGCATACTTATGAAAAAGGTAGCCTTAGCATTGTACACCTTGAGCTTGTCAAGTAAATCCGACGTATATAGGTAGGGTCCATCGTCGAAAGTCAAGGCGATGTCTGCAGTCACCTTTGGTGAGTCTCTGCGAAGATGAGGACATTGATCAAACATACCTCCAGCAACACTACAGTCATAGATTCCCGCCCCTCCATAAGGCACACTCCCAACTTTCGTTCGAGCGATGCTCGATGTCGAAGTGCCGGCTGGGATCTTGTTTCCATCGCATCCCGGGCCATATGCTAGTTTACAGTCTGGAGCGTTGCAATACTCTGATGTTGTACCGCAGTAACTAACACCGCCTGTTAGTACGCGCGATATGTCCGCACGATTGACTTCGCCAATTCATAGGAACAGAAAATACCCAGAATCCGAACAGCAGCCCGTTGTGCACTTTCCAAACCCAGGACCGCATCGACCGTTTGAATCTTGTCTCTCCTCCACCATTCGTTCCTCAGGAACCACTACAGAAGCTGCTTGAGGCAATGCATTTCGTGCCGCTAACTCTGATAAAAAGTGTCTCCCGCCTAGAAGCTGAGGGACAACTGCATTAACGTCACCAGCAGCTGAATGAGCACCCACGGTGGACGCCAGGCCGCCCACAAGAATGGCTGAGTATCTCATGGTGGAAATAATTATGTATTATTATTCGAACCACTGTTCGATTGACGCGCAGATAAACGAAGGACTGCGACTATCCGATCAGGCTGTTCAGCAAAGAAGGGAGTCGTTCGACTAGTGGTGCAGGGCAGAAAGGAAGAAAGCGAAAGCGAAAGCAGCCAGTTCGTGAATCACAACCCTCCTCTTGTACCATCGGGAAATAAACAACTAGCATGCACTGCACAGACAACGCACATCGAAGAAAAATAAATACGAATCCTGGGGTGCATCATAAACTATCAGTGTGGTCATACAGCCTACTCTTTGGCCACTCGCAAAGCCAAGAGCAGGATGTGGACCCATGTTGAGCGAACTGACAGAGACATAGCTAGCCTGGGCCTGGGTACTCGTACATATCTATATATTGGTGGATGTCCAGGGAGAATCCCTCACCTACGACGCAGGGCTGATCACTGGACCGCATGCGTCTGGTAGATAATGTAGTGCCCAGCACGACCGAAAATCGATGATTTTATGCGTGCCGACATGTTGGTCCCCTCGTCCTACGGAAGAAGAGTTCGACATGCAGGAGAGCTGCAGCGGAGAACTCGTAAGTTCATTTGAGGCGCTCCATATTTAGAATCTTGGAAGTCCCAGCGAGCAGACCAGCGAGCCTCAGTAATCGACTGGTCCACTCCGAAGAACTCGCCAAAAAGAGCAGATCTTCGTCCGAAATGTCATCGGAAAGGGGCGATGAAATGAACGTTTATGCCACGCTATTTCTCGAGTTAGCGTTATTCTGCTCGGACAGCATTACAATACTGACAGGAACTGACCGCTCTGGAAACGACTTTATTGCTTCCTTTGAGATACTTGCTCCGAGTCGAAGATATACTTGAGTGGCTACGAGGCAATAACTTCGTACCAAATAGCATGGGCTCAGGTGGTGGATAGGTTTCTTGGAGATTGTGTCGTGACTCGTGAGTTGCAGTGTCACAAACGCAGGTCAAATGGAGTGGCCCTTGGCAGCCTAAATCCTCGCTTGCGACGACCAAAGACTCCAAGACCGAAAGCCCCTTAATTCTCAGGAACACTGATTACAGCATGGCCTCTGTTGAACACTTAATAACTTGAAAAAGAATCGTATACAATGGCCAACTCGGGTTACAAATATCTACTCTTGCAAGAAGTCAAACATATACTCGGTTTGCATCTTGAATAAATACTAATGGCTTACAGAAGATGCTGCCATGTAAGAATTAAAAAGAGAGCGTTAGGGTGTTTTTAACGTTCCCAATTATTAAAGAAAACAGGAAGTTATCTCAAGATAAAACAAACTACCTACACCATCACGACCTCGCGAACCATTGCTTCGACACGGTAACAATCATCGCCTGTCGCAACTACCGAGTAACCTTACACGAGACAAAAACTCGAACAAACTTCACTTAATTAATTAAAAATGTAGATTCAAGGGGACTGATTAACTAGAACAATAAACCAAACCTGATCTCGATATCGATGATGGACAGAGGAACTCAGAGCTTTGCACAATAAATGTCTTCCTATTCTCTACTGTTTCTTATTGCTAATGTAAGGACAGGCAATTGCGCAACTCAATTATATTATGTATATCATTCATTGGAGCCAAGAAAAACAACGGCAAGCAGCCGAAAGTAATAGAGTGCAACGGAATGTATTGTTGTACCATTTCTCGTCTACGAAAACCCAATTATCGTATTGCAGCATAATCTCAGGCCTGGCTACACTGGTTGGTCGGCTCGAGATTATGCAGTATCTAACCGTAGTTCTGGAAGATACTCCCTTAACCTCCCGGAGTATGTGTAACAGTGTTGACGGATAACCTGTCGGCAGCCGAGTAGAGACATCACTTGTATGCAAATGGACTCGACGGGACCCTTTACTCGGGAAGCTCGAGGGAACAAAAGTAGTACCTTGATAAAAACGTTAGGATGTCATGTGCTCGTAACTTTCCTGGATCTATTCCATGTGTGTGAAAGCTCAGGCTGGAGGGGGATTCAGGCAGCTCGCAGTGGACAAAATAATAAATGTCAGTCACCTGCCCAATGATCTCAAGACTAAACAGGTTGATTTCTCATAGAGCCCAAGGAGATGTCATTTACTCATTAGTCGGATTCTGTAATATTGTGCCAAGTTGATTCACTCAATATACGATATTTGCTCAATTGTTTTAAGAAAATATCTTGTTTCGACTGCCACTTATCTTGCCCTCCGCGAGGGCAGTAAGCGGTTCAGGCGAAACACATCCTTTCCCCCCTTGGCTTATTCAATATTCTATATTGTGTCTTAGTAATAAGGAATAGGTCTAATTGGCCATGATTTACACATGTTCAGACTGCAAACGAGAGAATCTTGTCTTACCCGTTCCGACGAACCTCGGGCTTTGGACTCAACAGCTGTGTCTCGCTTACCAGCCACGAGGAAGATGAGCAAACGGCTACTTTTACACACGTTCATCAGTGAGTCACACCAACATCGCTACCTTCTTTCACGTATCTGTAGAACCTTGCTTTTGTCATATCTCGCCAACTCTTCCCCCATGTAACGACAGCGAGGAAGGTTGTGACCTGAGCCAGCCCAGCAAACGCTGCTAGAATGAAGGCGTTCTGATATCCCATGTTTGTCACCCATGGTGTAACACCGTAGCCAATAGCGAAGGACATCGTATTTCGGATTATGATGACAGTGACCATGGCTTCACCACTCAAATCTTTGTAGCTGTCAATGCAATAACTGACTGACAGTTGAATACCGATGGAGTTGGACGCGGCAATGACACCCATGGCAAATACCAGACCAAACCAGTGTATATGATGGGCAGCACCAACTCCCCATAGAATCAAAGATCCTGGAATGAGGATCAATGATAGCGAGAAGAGCCATAGACGATGTTCTGGTTCGAGAATCCCCTTGTTGCGACGAGCAAGCCAAAGCACGACTCTATCGCCAATAACTCCCGAGTAAAATGAACCGACAGCGACTCCAATCAAAGGAGAAAGGTATGTCAAGCCAACCATGGAGCTGGAGAAGTTGTAGGGAGCACCTCCGAGAATGAGAGAAGCAGTGCCGTTTAGCACGTTGAACCATATCAGGTTGCTCCCGTAGGAAAAGCCCGCATACACCACCGAAGGCAGCGAGAAGAAGAGGAGCGGTCTGACCATCATGCGAAAAAGATGAAAGTCTCGCTTCTTATCCAACAGAGCGAGCTTTTGGAAATATGTTTTTGGCTTGTCATCAATCGTTCCTGCCAGGGTTTCGGTAATGGGTTCTGGGCTACCCAAAGCACTAGTCTTCTCAGGATCGCTTGAAGATTGAAACTCTCCCTCAGGAGTTGATATTCCTGGGCTGGGCTCAGAGGTCTCAACTGTCTCTATAGGCGCTCGATCATAGTTCGTTTCCTCCATGAATAGAAAGCAGAAAACGAATCCAATGGCGAGAAAAATAGCACACCAATACATGACCCATTGCCAGCCTACAACGGTCAACCACGATCACCTGCCATAGAGTTGGGACTTTTCACTGACCTTGACCGTCGTTGATGAAACCAGCAAGCACAGGCGCAAGAAAATTGCTACCTGCTAAGGTGAACGCATATAATCCCATAAATTTTCCTCTTTCATGTGTGTAATAAATGTCTGCGATACTTATTTCAACAAGAGACTCGATTGGCGCACCAACGAAGCCCTGAAGTATCTTGCTTCCTGAAAAATGTTAGTATTGCCAAAACAATGTTCGTTTCTAGCCCTCTAACCTATCCATGCACCATTGCTTGTTGCATGAGGGACCCATATCATGATTCCCTTGTTTTGGTTAGACAGCCTCCCGGGTTGGGGATGAGTATGACTTACTAATGTTGCTAGCATCGAGAACAGATACACGGGTCGTTTTCCGTATTGAAGCGCAAGGGCTTGCCAAAAGAGGCAACCCCATCCCTAGATCCGTAAGATAAAGTAATGTTGAGTTTTAAACATCACTTACGAAAAGCAAAAACATATAGCCAGTACCGGCATTGAGGTCTGCCAGAGTGAGCCCAGTGTCCTCCGATATTGGTACGAGCACACTATATATTGCTGCTGATGCAATTCCAACCATCAAGGTATAGACACTCTGGGAGACAGTTGACAGCCACTTTCGTTTGGGGGACCAGTTTAAAGGATCGTCTGGGTCTGAACTAGGCGCTGGTACGAGTACCACATCTTTGAGCTGCGATGTTGCTGCATGCTTTCCTTTAATGACTCCCTCGAGATCGACCAGATGGACAGTGCCGGGAATTGCAGATTCATCAAGATGTCCGTATTGTGTCTCTGGAGCTGTCATGTTTAAGCGACTTATGATGCAACAGTGAAGTCAAAATATGAAGGAGAGAAGTGACAATCAAGGGCGCCGCGCATGTTATAACCAGACAATGAGATACTCTTCCATAAGTCAAAATGGGACTTATCTATGGTCTAGCGATAAGAGAATTTCCAAACATATCTGGTGGATAGCACACGCGCAACGACCAAGACTAGCTCGGTATTTGAGGTTAATGTACAGTGATGTACTTTTCTACATGCAGTATGGGCAATGCATGAAGAGACGAGGGGTAGACAGTGGTGTTGTGATAGAGAAATCACTATCCAATAATGGCAGGTAAATCAGCGCCGCCTCTACCTGTAAGTTGCTCCTTGCTCGGGCCGTTGAATTGATAACCATGGTTGGTGAACGATTAACATCACTTGGTTGTAATCTTCGTAAATAGCTGTAATATTGAAAGACATGACCGGTGCTAGAGTCATAAACAAGAAATATAAGATATTTTCAAGAGAAAAAAGAGTAAGAAGCGACAGACCGAGAAGAGCAATGGAAGAAAAGACTGCCGAAGATAGGGAATTGCCGGATCAGCATGTAGTTTCAAGGAAAGATCAGCACTTGCAGGGCGAAGGCATCCAGAGTTTCAAAGGAAAGGTTTAGGGTTGGCCGTTAGACGAAAAGTGTAGTGACCATGTATGGGTGTCAAAAGTGGGAGACTACTTGACATTGACCGGACTCGCCAGATAAGAATTGGACGATTCCTGCAGTGACTCCGGATAAGTACCCAGGCGAAGGCCGGAGACTATCCACGGTAGTATTAAGACTTCTCCGAGCAGGAATAACTAGAAACATCTCTAGCTAACATGTCGACTAGGGCATATCTAAAATATGATGCTTCTTCACCCAAATCGATTTTGAACCAGACCCTCCAGGCTATGATTCATTGAATTATCACACAGAACGTCGAGTCAACTGAAGGGATCAAATATCGTCATCGACAGCCAGCTTCCATGTCTAACGGAAGACTGAGACGCTCTCCAGTTGGGAAGACGTGGGTCAAACGAATGTGTTCATTATAAGAACCGATTGCATGTTTAAGAATGGTCAAACTCCATGATTCCAAGTCGACTGGCATGAATCGGCCCAAATCTCTTTCAATACCGGTTCATTGTTTCAACACGTCCAATATCCCAAAACACTTACACAGCTCAAACCCTTTTGAATCAAAGTTTGCCATGGATGCGCTGACAACATGGTGGGGTTCCATGTTCAGAGCCCAAAGTCTCTTTCCAGACCAGTGTATTCAAAATCTCCAAGTCCGTTTTGAAAATTGATGTTACCAAAAACATCTGAATGGTCCGGGTATGTTTGGCTGTCCCATAGATCCTGCACGTAATTAGCTAACTCGAACAGCCCAATGGAACATCAACTTTCTTACCCAGTCAAGCCCGTCAACAAGCTCTTGGTTCGTCTGAAAGTCTTCGTAATGTGTCGAGCTGCCGGTGTTGAGATATGTTGAACTCTGACTGGTAACAAACGGTGGAGTTTGTTGTGGCGATTGTGTCAAAAAAGCAGAATTCATCCCATTCTTTAGCTTGGGATCTCCTCCGAACACATTCCTCTTCTCCAGCTTTTCAAGCACAACACGTAAAACATGCGCACCGCTTCTCGCCTCTCTCGAATTTTCGGCCAACAGATTCCAAACCGTCAGTGCCTTTCTCATTCGCGAAATGACCTTTCCCAGCCCTTCTTGATTATCAAACTGCCCAGCACAAGCTTCTTGTACCGGCCCGTCAACAAGCAGTTGATTCATATCCAGGCACAGTATTGTCGTTCCAACTAGGAAATCGTGGTTGGTCAAGGAAGACTGCATCCACATACATCCGTGAAGTTGGCCCCCAGGCCGCATTTCCTCTCCGCATAAGTATTGGTTTTCTAACAAACGCATAGCGGACTCGATACAAACATGACGCGAGTACTTATAGCGGGGATCCGTACGCGCGATATCACAGTAGCTTCGATGTAGAGTACAACGAGCGGCGTGGAAGAAGACGTCCAAAAATATCCGGTACAGGACAAGATCTGAATCATCTGTGACGCTTTCTCGCATTGGTCTCCATTTGAAAGAAACTGGCAGCTTATCACGAGTCTTGTGGAGCAGCGAGTCTAAACGCATGATTTCTTTGTATGGAGTGTGCTTAGTATTGGCGGTGAGGTCCACGATCTCTGAGTAGATGACGCCTAAGCGATTTCGGACTACAACTCGAAGCATGGCGGTGACGTCCGTATCAGGTCGCGAAGGTGGTAGTTCCTCAACATCTTCGGAAAAATCATCATCTGTCAAGTTTCGTGGTTCTGCAGTATCAGACATTCCCGGCCGGATCATTCTTGGTAAGCCATTTTGATGAGAAACAGCCAAGTCGAGTTGAACGAGCTTGGCCCATAATCGACGCCGCATCTCTCCTTGAAAAGACGAGAGTTCTGGGTAATGAGACGCATCTCTGTGATACCCAGCTCGTATTGCAACACGGAGTATGATTCCTTGAAGGATCCAGCACCCGGGTTCAGTGTCACGATAGCGGAAATGTTCGATAACGAAATACAACGCGAGTGTTTGGATAGTGTATGGCACACATGTCGTATAGTTGCCCAGAACTAGGCACTGGACTACCTTCTCCCGATATGTATCCTTTGTACTATTAGTGAAATAGGGGATAGCGAACGTGCTTGGTTGGGCCTCTTGCAAGAAATAAGCCAGATATATCATTGCATATAGCATTCCGATCCACATAACATGCATATTCATCGGGCTTTCCCAGAAGGATTCGTACTAATAGTCATTACTTAGATGAGGAGTTACACATGTCCGAAAAGTACTCACCTCTGCGAGGAAAGTTCTACGATGTAGTATTACTATCCTTATGTCACTTTAATGTTTCATGAAGTGGATGGTTTAAGGAGAAATACCTGCTCCCATATCGAAAAGGTTGAAGAACTTGGATACAAGTCTATCAACCATGTCTCTCGGAGGCATCGCGCTGACAATCTCGGTTTTGGTTGAGTGATTTGTTGAACCGAACAATAGTTGAGGGCAAGGATGTTCATATTCTGGTGCTTCTATGAATTCGTTTGCCGGATCTGCATCATCATCTAGCTGATCTTTGAGCTCAGAGATCTTAAAGGCAGTTAGTGTACATCGTAGTTTGAGCTGCCGTAGGAGCTTCGATGCTTTTACCTACTCCCTGAAGAATTGCAGTCCAGTGCGCAGAATCAACATACTTTGTAGCCGCATCCTCAACTGTCATCCTACCGAAGCTCACAGCTAAGTTCGCATCTTCGGTATCCTTAGCGGTCGTAGGCCGAACTGACACCTGTTCCTTGTAGATTGCTGTGGTCGGGACCAATGAAGCTGGGGCGAATTGTTTCAATTCGGACTTATTGGAGCCATTCAGAGCGCCCATCAATGAAACAACAAGCTCTTCCAGCTGATTTACTTTATTCTGTATATTGCTGTTGTTACCACGAGATGGATTCTGTTCACCCAATTCTCGGACTTGCGAGTTAAGCCCTGTATGAACATAAGTGCAAGAGCGTGCTAGACCACGACCTACGCATGAGCGACAGGGCTGGACTCTGTCACACTTCAATCTGATAGCGTTAGCCGTAGAGTAAGTAGAGTGGTTTGAGAGGCATACTTTTTACTCCTACATAATGTGCAAGAGAATTGGATTCTTTCCCGCCGTCGAACTGATTTTACTTCTGGATGCTCTGATGGCAAAGGTGGTTGCTGATGTGTATTGAAAACACCGCTGGTTGATATATTCGCCATTATTTGGTCTTAGTAGGGGAACCTTTAAAGGCAACGAAACTTAAGCTTGTGATATTTTGCTTGATCTCATAGATCAATGCTTGTAAAAATCTCTTGAACTGTAGAACATATTTGAAGTTCGTGGATTGTACAAAAAGTACGTACACTGCAATAAGCGGAACAGGGTAGCTCACATGACCTAAATCCGAAGGTCCGCCAATGAGCAGGCATGGGTTATACTCGAGTCCTTTTTCACAGGCTCGCGGTAGACAAATTAAGTGGCAGTCGAAGCACGATATTTCTTCGATTAAGTTGACGAAATATCGGTATTTAGTGGATTAACTTGGAACAATATGACTTATTTCGTCAATTATTTTATGTAAATACGACTTCTTAAGCTCTGTTCGAAGTCGAATTACTGAGCTTCAAAATTAGTAGGCAGGTAACTGACACTTATTTTGTCCTCCGCGAGACAGGTACCTATACAAACTCAGCATTCCAACATCCAAAGTCGCCTATATACACGAGCAAAATCTGAACAGGAAGTATAAAGAAGAAGGAGAGAGAATTTCAGCTCAAGGTTTAACCTTTCCTTCGCATTGGCAAATCAGTTTCTGCAGTTTATAAAACAAAAAGATGCCTAGATATTCTTCCAGACGCCTGACACCTGGTAATAATGCCATATCCCATCTAGCTCCATGCTTACAGCGGGTAAACAGTCCCTATACGTACAATGAAATACAAAACCCCCGTCCGTCCTAGAATCCGTGAATTCGACTCGAATTATTCGAGTCGCGGCTTGTTCTTACCCGCCTCGCATTCGATGATTTTCCGTAGCTAGCTTTAATATCTCCATACCAGTCAGTATACGGCTCACTTTGGTGTTGCCTTGGCTGTGCTGCCACTTGCGATGATGTCTCCTTTTTTATTGTCTCCCTCGCATCTCTCACGCTCCAATTTCATCGGCATAATAATTGCCAGTTCCGGGCAATAATCAAAGTTCTTTTTCCGCTTGATAGGATCTTTCCACACATCGTCAGATAGATGATCGCTTCCATCTCGAGCATGGTAGCCCATCGGTTTCTCGTGATATACGTCTTCGACGGCAAAATGATCTTCTTGTGCACCTGTTGCTACTTTCGCACCTGGCATAACAGTCAAGCGTTTTCCGAACCACTCGTCCTCCGGCTCGGTATCGTTATGTCGCTTTTGAAATTTAAGAACTCTCTTGACCGCGGAAACACGACGAAGTGATAGCCCTCCATTCCCGGCAAATCTGTCATTGGCATGTCTGGTCGTGTCAGTACCCATTTTTCATCTCCGAGGACAAGAAGACTGAATAGAACGGGGTGCCTACCTTGGGGCGCCAGCCCAGTCAAACTCGAGCCAATCCTCCAATGAATCACTTGATCTTCCACACATGATACTGTCAGATTCGTACTTGAGCATCCACTCTACACCAGGAAGGAATTCGTCGTAGAAACGCATATCCGTCATGAGTCTGTAAACATCCTCCTTGCTTTCGAGCTTCCAGGGTTTCGGCAGGACAATCATATCTAGCTTCCCGTTTGCTTCCTGGAATTGCGTCGCAAAACTCCTGGAGACGCTGATGACGCTTTTGTTGGTTCCGATGAAGACGAATCGCCAATCTGTAGGGACTACGGATATCATATGTAGGATCTGAGGAACGAGGTGAGGAATAGGGCGACCTTCGATAAGAAGGGCGACTTTCGAGGCATTGAACTGTGTCTTCGGATCGTATGCTGGATGCCAATCGACTTTGACCGCAGGAAGATGCTCTATAGCATCATTCACTTTATCTTTGGCATAACCCGTCACGGTTTCTTTGTATCGCGGAATGAGATGTGCGAGGGTCCAACTAGATTCGAACTGCACGTCAGCATCTGCGCTCCCCCACGGCAGGTTCTGCGGACTCACGTAAATATCAGCGATACAACGATGTATATCCTCGCCCTGTTTATCACGAATATGCCATTCCCCAACGCACTGGGCGCATCATATGAGTTTGCCGTCGAGGTCATCGTCGTTTGGGCCGCCGAGGGTGCTCGGGAGTCAAGACCTGACGACAATGCTGCCAGGTTGTGAACAGGTGTACGCAGCACGACGTCGTCGCGTGTGGACGAGAGACGAGTGCTTGAAGAATTGATTATATTATGTTGGCGTGGCTTCCAGATTCGGTGGGATTGGCCTGTTGTTCAAAGAGCATGATAGATCTGATATCGCGGATGCACATGCGCGGCGTTCTGACCAGGCTCGCCTGAACCTACCTAGGTAGATCTTGGGTTCGCTTGGTACGAAGGAGCTGACAAAGAGGGATGGATATATTCGGATTACGGTAATGGAAGGGGAAGGTACTCTCTCGTAAACCGCAGGCGATTCGCGGACACGAAGTACCAATGTTGCTGCCTAGGTTCCTTTTTCAAAAAAGAAGTTTGATGGTTGGATACAAAAGTAATACGAAGCAATACCACGACAGCACCCCTGATCTCTGCATCGGGCCATGGGGTGCTAGGGAAAATCCCAACTCGCTTTGAACAGCCGGGCGACCCCCACAACGATCATCCAAAATTGATAAATTCACCCCTTGGCCTGCTTGTCTCAGCTTCAAGCGGGCTGATGGTTTCCAGCTGAAGGCAATGAGACTATTGATGTTAGTTTTCGGCAAACCAAACCTATCGAGTCTCAGCTTAGAGTTTCAGTGGCGGTTTGTTCTAGACTTCAGGGACAAAACGTGGTTTTTCATAGCTGCAACGAAATTTATACCACTAGTAAGCTCACTATGCACAAGCTCGCAGGTTGACAAACCAAGTGGTAGTCGAAACACGATATTTCTTCGATTAAGTTGACGAAATATCGTATTTAGCGGATTAACTTAGACAAATGTTACATTTCGACAATTGTTTTGAGTAACAGTTGCCAATATCTTAAGTAAATAAGACTTCTGAAGCTCTATTCAAAGTCGACCTATACAGTACAAGATTAGTGGACAGGTGATGATACTTATTTTGTCCTCCGCGAGAATAGGAAGTAGCTGAAACACGATACTTTATTGTGTATTTCCTCTACACTTTTCTTCTACTTCTCAAAGTATAGTTGCAATGAATCAGGACTAAAATGAACAGTCGGGGCTTAACTGTCAACTGTGCCCTACTAACAAATTATAATCCCTAGGACACCCAACCCTGGACTTCTAATCCTATCGACATATTCCTTTCCTCGATGTTTCCCTCATCAACATGCCCACGACCCCCTGTTATTCCTCCCTTCCTCGACATCTCCCTCTTCGCGGTCTTCTTTGAACGACATTCCAGTGATGTTCCCCTCTCGACAACCTTGTTCGAATGAGACAACAAAAGACTACTCTTGGGATGGCTCTCGCTTGGATGAAATAGAATGGTTTCATAAGTACATCTAAATTACAGCTGGTAAGTACGCTACATAAGTCTATGCAAAATGGTATTGCCCCGCGCCCCCCAAAAAAACTCCTGACAATGCCTGTCGCCCTGAACTCCAACGCTCGAAATAAAATGCTCAGTAGCTATTTGGGAGGGTCCTTGGGAGGAGGGTCAATTGTAGGGTCTTCTCTACACAGCTTGTATTCTGGACACCACTCTTCCAAGGGGGCCAATTGCTTTTCCTCCCATTTATGCACCTGGCGCACACCTAGTGGATGAGGGTAGTCGATCGCTTCTACGCTGAAGGTCCGCGCAACCTCTATCGAAGGAAGATTGATAATTCCAGCATCGTTCGGACTGATGCCTGCCACAGTCTGCCTTTCTTGTAGCATCTTCATCCTAATCACCAAGAATTAGCTAATAGCCCCACAAAGGCGTAGAGGGTGGTGCATACTTATTGAGATACCACCGATCCTCGAAACGATCTTCATCAGTCTTTGTTTCTTTCCAATCCCACTCCTCCAATATCCGCAGCACTGTCGATCTTTTTCTCAGACTCAATCCACTATTGTATCCCTTGCCAGCTTCTGGTTTGATGGGCGCGCCAATCAAATCATATTCGAAGAAGTCATCCACGGAGCGCGCTGCGTTCGAGCAGAGCATGCTATCGCTCTGGAATGTAAGGATATGTTCCGCAGGCGCCAAATCTTCCCATATCCACTTATCGGTCATAAATTTGCTCACAGAATCCGAGTTTGTGAAGAAGACGGTTTGTGGTAAGGTTCGGATTTGAATGGTTTTCGACTTAACATAGTGGGCCAGTGCCGCTGATGTCGAGAATTCGCCCAACGATTCTGGAGCCGTATAAACTAATTCTCAATGAGATATGAATGATATGAGAAGATTAGGGGGGGGTTCGTACTTATAATCGGCCAAGAATACCCAAGGACACTACTGAAATGCAGAATGAGAGGAATGATGTTTGTCCGGAAGCGTGTCTCAATTATGACAGCAGCCTTGTTTGTAATGGTTCCATTGAATACATCCGTCGACAGTGCTTGCGGATTCGCAGGTCTCGTTTTCCACTTGCCAGACCTACTCGCGCCATTCTCTTTCACCTGATTTTCTGCAGGCTCCGGCGTTGTTGAGGTCAACTCGTGCCCCCCATGGGCGGGAAAGAACGAGAATTGCGGATGGGAAAGTTTGAATATCCACAAGATGACAAGAACCACAAAAGCCGTGAGTAGGATACTCCTTGACTTTCGCCGCTTGTCGTCCATCGATCCAGAAATCGTCATCACGGCGACGTTCGGTATGTGCTCGCAAACGCTCGAAGTCGTAGGGTGAGTTAATGGGAATGGTTGAAGAATATCGAAATCATGTCTGAACTTGCCCAGATCCTCTTTTGTTGAAGAAGAGGAAAAGGGCCCAACATGTGCCGACCGGCACGAAATTGTACAAACAGCCCATGTCCGAAAGAAATGCTGACGGGCTTGAAAGAGAAGATTTGATAGTACGTGGGAGCTAAATGGCGTAAGGCGCAAAGAAACATTGGCAGATAACAGAGACCAGGCCCCCCTGGAACGTGGGCGAGAGGCTCAGCTGGGAAGAAAGCAGCTTGGAAGCTCAGGGGTGGTGGTGAGGGGCAGCCGCTAAAACCGACGATAAGACCATTGGGAATGATATTGACTTGCGTTCCAGAATGGGGTTGCAATAGATGGCTGTAGAGAGACAACTTCCAGAGCGTTGTTCTGAGGTTTTGCTAAATTGCTGGGTGAAGCTACAGTACAGCGTCCAAACCAGCGCTTATTCTCAAGAGATTGCTCTTGTCCCACCCCGTGGGTGCGCATACTCTGTGCGAATAGCCCTCATGTGGGAAGCGGCTGACTGGTCTCACCTGTGTCGTTTGCATGATAATACGGGAGATCATTGTGAGTGTCGCATCGACAAATGCTCAGCACTGGACACAAATAGTTCACTACAACCCCATATGACATCCGCATAGTATAATGTACAGGATATCATGAATACAAGATATCATGAACAGATCTTCACCATCAGTGTTCTTCTCCTCGCAGACTGATCAGCGCTTCATTCCTTCTGTTGCACTCCTCCTGGTACCTTGCATCCATCCATATTCGAGAGACCTGGGTTTTGGTGGAGATTGAGTTCTTTCCAAGCCTTGATAGTGCCACCCTGCAGTATGCTAACCACTTGACCGTCGGGTATCTAAGAAATGAAGAAACCATATCTTAGAAGTAGCAGTAAGATTTCTCCGTCAGATTTCCGAGTAAGGGAATTGCCTGCTCGCCCTTGGATCGAATGAGAGGCTTAGAAGTGTCCAGAGATGCAGAAACGGCTCGCTTTGTTAGAGTATTTACTGTACCAAAACGATACGGGTATCAAGCAGTCGGACTTTCACGTACTAACTGCTGGTGAGCGCCTTGTAATGATTAGTAGATAATGTAGTTGGAAGACGAATAAGCTTTTAACCTTATTAGTTGTGATTTACCCCCCAAAATATCTGGTTCGCTTTGGACTCTCGGTCGTGCCAAGTCTGATCGCCTCTCAGCCTCACCAATCCAGGAAAGGTTAACACTGATCTAAACGAACACATCCAAACGAGACAAGGAACGATTATTTGTCCACTACTGTACTTTGAAGGCTATTATTACCAGACCGCATCACCCAAGTATTGGCATTGGTAGACTCGACCCGCATTCTGTCTCAGATGAATCTCTAGTCGCTAAGCTCGCCGTCGTCCGTATGGTTTTCGCAACGTTCTCCTGATACGAGCACCGTCCTGGAAACACACATTTACCCCGACGAGCATTCGTCCACTCTGCGAAGCGATCCGCCGATGAGGATAGTCTGTGGAATAGCATACACTTGAACGCGCCTTTCGAACAACAATGGTTTCCGCAGCGAGCGAGTCGAGCATTGATGATGCATGGGAATATATGAAGGGCACAGCACTGGCTGGATGGTCAAGGACCACGCGGCGGATGCGTGCCGCGGGCATAGTCCTCATATTCTTGTACGGCTATCCTCTGATCGCTGCCTTTATTCTGCATGCTAACAAATCTATCCAGTATCTTGTCAATTGTGCTTCTTCGACCTTCACTACCAGATACACCCGCCTTCCCTCAGGTACCTTCATTATCTCTTGATTATGGTACTGCCCCGGCCTCCCCTTTCAACGAGACAAAAGTCGCACTACTCATCGAAAACCGGGTGAATCCGATCCTGGCGCCCTTGTTATTACATTTCATGGCAGTAGTCCCGCCAGATTGGCGATTCAGATTTATGGGCTCTGAGGAGAGCGTGGAATTCGTAAACAGCAGTCGCGCGATTCGGAACCATGTAGCGAGCGGAAAGCTGGACCTAACATATATCCCATCGAATATGACGACCGGATCTCAAGAAGAAATCAGCCGTTTTTTGACGACCCTCTGGCTCTACGAGTCGGTTCTCCAGCCGGCAGAATGGTTGCTGGTCTTCCAAACAGATAGCATGCTGTGCGCAAACAGTAGACAAAGTCTTAATAATTGGTTAGATTACGATTGGGTAGGCGCACCTTGGAATCCTAAAGCTCGTTTCGGAGGAAATGGAGGTTTGTCGCTCCGACGTGTTAGCAAAATTGTGGACGTCCTTCGCAATCAGAAGCGTCTACCAAACAGCGAGCCAGAAGACGTGTGGCTTACGGATCGTTTGGGCCATCGCCCAGGAGCAAATCTTGCAAATGGAACAGCAAGTTTGACATTTTCTGGAGAAATGTTCTCGGGTGAGACCGAACACGTAGATGGGAAGAAAAAGGGCAAAGGCAAACAAGACCCTACGAAGGCAGGAGAGCTCATCAAAGGCCTCGACGATTGGCGAGATGGCTTTTACGAGCCTATGGGTTATCACACCGGTGGATCTGGAGAGACATTGCACGGTGGGATCTGGGGAACCCCAGAGATGCGAAAGCACATCTGGGGCTACTGCCCCGAGGTGAAAATGATGTTGAAAATGGATGCTGCAAAATTCGTCCCTGGAGAGTGTCACGGAAACTGGAAACGCATGGAGGAAGGCTGGGATGGGATATATGGTCCACACATGGACGCAAAACTCGAGGAGAGGACGGAAGTGATTGACGGTGTTGAATATCCGATGCTACCTGAAGGATTGATGCCTTGGTAACACTGCTTTACTTGTTTCTCTGTTCATTCTTTTACCTTGCTTAAGATTTCGAGCTCAAGAAGATGCTTCTCTTTTTGCATATACCTTTGGGATCGGGCGTTATGGAAAATTCATGTTTCAAGATTCATTCACTCGGCATGGGAATGTGCTACATGATGTTTTAACTAGATGTATGTAAATCATAAGTGGCATTGTAGGCGGATGGGCTATGCATTTGAAGGATCGATATAAACTACAATGGAAATGTACCGTTACGAAAGATGGGTACCTAGCAATGCCGAGCTAGTTACTCTGTGTTGTTACTTTCTAGTCTACGATGACGATGTCACAAGTCGGAATTTAATTCATCGAAATTGATAGATTCCACTTGAGGGATGGTGTCATAGTCCAATAACGAGCAACCACGTCAATCAAAATACCACTTAAGCTGGTAACAAGTATGAAGTGATATACCAAATGTAGTAATTGTACAGGTACAAACGCTATTCAAGATTTAATGTATGAACCTAGCGCCCCCCCAAACAATGCCCAAACCCCGATCAAAACCGTCCGCTGTAACTTGAAGGTTCCGCTGGAATCTTGTTAAGATTCTGCCTCTCCACAAGCTCCAAAATTCCCAAACCTTTCGAACGCCTTATCAATGATGAGTCCCTTTGTAACCCATATGCAACTATAAAAAAGTACAAGAAAGTAAAAAAGCTGTAAACGTCGCTAGTCTAAACTCCCATAATACTGTTGACGGCCCGAAGTAGATGACGCGTTCGCTTGGGAAAGTGAAACTCCGTAACGAGGTTCTAGGCCAAAGAAACGTCACCTAGCGTCGGACAACGACGATAAAATGACAAGTGGAAAGATCTATTTTCCACCCTGTGCTTTGTGCTTAAGCATTACCACGGAGTATCTATTTGAAAGGTCAGCAATTGCATTGAGAATCGCGAGATTGATGATACTCAGATAGCAGCTCAAAGCATGACGAATGATGGACACAGTAAGACTTACGTGATGATTCCGCCGACTGCAACAAAGACGCCAAGTACCGACTTATCTCCAACTGCACGCCCAGACATCATCCAACCAAGTGCTACAATAGTGCAAGTCTTGACGTGGCCAACGACAGTGCTCGATACTGGACCAGTCTGCGCAATGATGAAAAACTGTGACATGTTGATAACGCAGGCGAATAGACCCGACTGCAGGAGCTGTTAGCTGGAACATGCCTTAAATGTTACCGAATAAGCTTACCATCATAATCATAACCCATCTGTTTATCGGAACCTCCGTCCATGTGGGGAAGGTGTCGACAAAGGGGATAACGTAGAGAAGCATGAATGCTGCCAATGGAGCTTGGTTGAACAACAACTGCATGCTGTTCATTTGGAGCTTCTTGTGATAGCTAGCAATCCACACTGTGTATAGCGAACTGGCGAAGATCCCTGAAAATGCGAAAATAACGCCCAACGTGCTCGTCGTTTTAATGTTGGCATCAGCGCTTGGAAGGGAGTCATAGTATGAGACCATTCCAACACCTACACAAGCGGGAATCAAGGCCAGAACCGCACCCCTCGGAAGCGTTGACCTGTAGAGCACAAAGTTCATAAGTGCTACTGTTGGCGTAAGTAGAATGCGCGCTACTTGATAAAAGGTGACGGTCGAAAAGGCGAGCGATAGGTTAGGAAGGATAACGTTCAAAGCCATTGTAATTGCTAGAGGGATGATTTCCTTGACCGCAACCCTTCTTGGGGTGAACATGCCAAACCGCGGACGAGAGAGTGTGAAAAGCGTAAGCCATGTTATGAAGAAGTGGAATGCCGCAAAGGTCAGTTGCGCCAGCTTCAAGGACGGGTCGGAGAAGATAGCTTTGTTCGTGAAAACCTAATCAGGAGCAATGTCAGCCACTTGCGCGAGCATGCAGAGATTGATGGGATTATTTACAATGCCAATTGTTGCCAGTGTGTTCACCACCATCCATATAATTGCAGTCCTTGTTGAGTTGTCTTTTGACGTTGGCGCCGCTGGTTTCTCCTCTTCATGGTCTTCTGGGAGTAATTCTGCCCTTTCCACATCATCGCCGGCTTCACTCCGTTCTCCAGCTTTCAGCTTTACGAAGCTTCCGTCTGAGGAATTCTTCTTTTCATCGGGTCCCTCTGTGATCGAGGAACTGACGGAGGGAGTGCGATCTGTTGCGGCCATGGTTGAGTTCGGTGGATTGAGAAGTGTGCCAAAGAAATCGAGATCCGTAGAGATGCTAAGTATGTGGCAATGGTAAAATGGAAATGATGAGTCGCAGGACGAATATCGATAATCTGCACCAAATTTGGCGGCGTTGGAAATGCAGTGAGAAGAAGCAAGGTGTCTGGGGAGATGTGATGGATAACGTGCAAACCAGAGGGCTAATCAGGAGGAGCAGGCACAGCAGGGCAGCCCTGGAGGTCCCTGCCCGAGCCCGGTTCGGTGGTGCGTTAGCGCATTTAGGGGCTGACCACTAGGTCGGCTTCAGCCCTGGGACTCAGAACTACTGGTGTCGGGTTACGAAAAGCAATAAAGTAAAGTACTCCGTACAGTACGGAGAATACAACAAATAATATCCTGCTCAAAGGAGAACAAACTTCATGATTACAGGCCTACTTGTTTGAGAAGTCACGAGAAGACAGACTCAGTAAAGCCTGTGGAGTGTGCGTGGTAGTGTGTGATGAAAACTGGGGTATTCTAGCACAAACGATGAAAGTCAGAAAGACTACGTAGAAATATGCAGCAGTAGTCAAGATTAATACTTTCTTAATTTGGTATTCCTATAACTTAGAATTCCTTCGCAGCAATCCATAAATGGCGGTTAAGAAACTGTCGTGGCGCTTGTCGCTTAGAGATTGACAGGGGGCTCCATAATATCGTAGCTTACACGAATTGACGAACGACGAAAGTCACATTGAAATTCTGTTGCAATTGCGGAAGAGCACCTCAATTCGCAACATCGCCACGATGCGGATCTCCTCCTCCTCTCCCTACACCTGCCAGAGGTGTCTCTCCGCTATTTCGCAGTCGACGCGCACTTCACAATACCCTGTACGAAGCCGGGTCGCCTGGACCCAAAGGTGTTTCTCTTCGACTCCGCGTCATGCCTCAAGCCTCCCAGTTACTCCAGTTACTGCCCAGGCCGCAGCACGCAGAAAAGTAAAGTCGACAGAGAAAAGGGCTGCTTCTTCGGTGTCCGCCCAGCCAAAGACTGATTCCTTAACTTTCCAAGGTTCTGGCCAGCCAAATGCCCCTCCAACAAACACAGAACGACCTCTGTTGATGCCGAATAACCTCTTCCACAAATTCTCCGAGTCGCCGTCACCAGAAATTAGGCGCCGCGCTGCTTTCATCAAGCAGAATGCTCTCTGTCCTCATCCCGACCATCGCCAGTCCCGATTGCCTATGAACCCCGACGATCCAGAAGCGAAGAAATCGGCAAGTGGTGGATTACCACCGGCCCATGTGGATTTCGAATGTCCAGATTGCGGGATCCCAATCTCATGTTCTGAGGAGCACTGGGCTGATGATTATGAATCACATTTGGAAATTTGCGATACTCTACGAGAAATAAACGAGGATGACCATGACCTGCGATCCGGCCGCTTCTTCCCAGAATTTGAATATCCGCCGGATCAAATCGAGGAGGCCATGGTAAACATGACCAATTGGGATACTTTTTTGTTCTCCAGAGAATTCAAAGCTATTAATGACGAGAGGAGTCTGAGACAAGCAACGAGGCTATTGACTTATCCGGTGACCATCGCCAGTGTACTGCACGAGCTGAGTCCGTACAACATTAAGAAAGATGGACGTCTCACTGTAGAAGGATTAAAGAGTCTGAGTGGTATATCACACTATTAATACATGCCCAAATCTCGCTAACTGTTCTCAGCACTGCGTTACACTCTTCACCCACCGCGAACTGGTGGTGGCCCAGATGTTAAAGGACTTCGGCCTGCTCCACCTCCAATGAGGATCTTTATTTTGGGTGCTCGCGCGGAGTCATCGCTGCCGCGAGAGGTATGGGTGCAATTGACACATCTATTTCCCCGAGTCGCTTTTCACCTAATCTTCATCGGTCCCGAGAGTATGACCAACCGAGAGGCTGAATTTCCGCTACCCGAGAGGACGCCCGCCAACCCATTCGGAGCTGTTGTCGAAGATCGTCTTACAAGTTACCTGAAAATTAGCACCTTCGTAGAGTACTACCACACTCTCCACCAAGCAGGGCATTTCTACCCATATGATCCCTACTTTGACTGCTTCATGCTTTTCCATCCTGGTTTGGGCCATCCCGCGAGCTCACATGAGTGGCAAGAAACGATACCCCAGTTGCTCGAAACAAAAGTTCCCATCTTAGTCACTGGATATACAGAGTATGATATGAAACGTGATATCGACTGGGTGAAAGAAACGGTTGGAGGCGAGATGGACATGCTCATGGAGCCTGGAGAAAACCGTTTCAGAAGTCTGAGGTGGGATATCAACGATCTAGATCCCCAGGATGTCAGTTGTGGAAATTGGGGAGTTTGGGCATTCCGAGGCAAGAGGTATGTTAACTTCTTAATTATAGACGTCCGCCAACTGACGTAACCCAGATATGAAACTACGAGAAAGGATCCCGAGTAGGCACCTTTATTGCAAGACGGGAATACAGCCCAAGGAAGACCTCGGGAAGTGAAGCGAGCAAAACTAACATCTCAGACAGTGTTCTGTTGTATATATGTGATGTCCTGGTAAACAAGGGCTCTTGACAGGACTCAGAGACGCTGCCTGTGTAAACAATTGTACAAATACTGCGTACGCTAGAAACAAAATGTATTAAAACATATTTGAGAAATTTGGCGATATGTTTTACCAAACTATCGACATCAGTGTGCACATCTACGTCATCTGTCCATGTTTTTAAATCCCAATCCGCCTCAGCCTCCCATTCCTCAAACATCGTAGCACTCACGTATGTATAACTGTTGTTAAAGGACACACATGATCAGCAGTAAATGAACATGAACGCCTATAAATGTATCCACCATAATCTTGCGTCCATTCTCATCTGAATTGCGTTTCTTCTCCCACTCATTCACTAGGCCGAGGCTCGCCGCATCTACCCCTCCACCGAAAACTTGCATAGAAAAAAAAGTATACAGGCATACACATCCAACAATGTCTCTCGAAGTAATATATGTAACTCGGCATGGAGTAAGTGTCCCCCATTCGAGGTTCCAACTAAAGACATAACTAACAGACTCTTAGTTCCGAAGTAATTGGGTAGTCGAACCCAAAACCGGCACCTATTCAACATCCATTCCATCCCCTACCGGCATTGCATCCGACCCAGCCCTTGCAGGATACGGCGTCGAACAATCTCATGAACTTTCCACCCACCTGCAGACCCTCTCTCCCCCAATCGAGCGATTCTACACGAGCCCCTTCTACCGCTGTATACAAACCATCTCGCCGGCCGTCGAAGCAATTGCGAAGACGGCCTCGGATCCCGAGACATGCAAGATACGAGGAGAGAATGGGGTGGGCGAATGGTACGGCATGGCGCGATTCGACCATCCATCTCCAGCTACACCTGGTGTTCTGAAGAAGTTGTTCGAGCGTTATGACGAGAGTTACGAGGCAGAGATCAAACCTAGCGTAAACGGAGAGACGATAGATGAATTGCATGATCGCACGGCATACGCGTTGCACAGATTAATAGAGAAGAGTGATAGAGAGGGTGTGAAGGCTATTCTGATATGCACGCATGCTGCAACGCTTATAGCGATTGGTAGGGCGCTGACGGGACGAATGCCAGAGGATACTGCGGAAGAGGACTTTAGACCGTTTACGTGTGGAGTCAGTACTTTTGTAAGGAAGAATAAGGAGGCTAAGGTTGAGGTCCCAGCGTGGGAAGGACCTGAGACGAAGATTCCTCATGTCGAGTGGAGGGGAGGGAATGGTGTTGGTGGTGGGTGGGAAATTACGAAGAGTGGTGATTGTTCGTTTTTGAGTGGAGGTGAAGAGAGAGGGTGGTAAGTGGCAATCCATTTAAGCTGTTTCAGCACCTGCTCACAATCACTAGGAGATTTTCTGGAGACGAATCATTCGTGGCTAAAGCTGGCGAAGGACCTGCTTTGGATGCTGGCTCTGGACTTGGTGTGGTCATCGAAGGTAACAAGAGTTCTTCAAATCCATCAAGACTGTAGCACTACATGACTAGAAAAGCATAACTTTTTTGGACAACATTAGATTAGACGTAGAAATATCAACATCTGCTGGCAGCAATTCTGAACATAACAAGCAGCCAGCGTTGATTAAAAAACTCCATTCATGATTTGCCCCTTCATAACTGCTGATTAAGCTGTGAAGTGACTGTAGAACTCAGTGTGGAGACGAAGAGACCGACATATGCAGTATAGAGTAACGGACTTATAATAATGCAAAACATAAATGTTCTTTACTTATGTTTCCCTCTAAATATCGTATGGAATTAAGAAGGTAGATTCAAAACCTGAAGTAGGTCTCCCTCTTTGCGGCGGGAGGATTACAGAACAAAAAGCAGAGGAAGGCGATACTTAATTTGATCATCGAGACAGGGAATCTCATTTTTCCTCCTTCATTATTGTCCTCATACAGACACCACAAACGCCTACATCAAATATCAACCAATGCGAAACTTGATAGGCCAGTCAGAAGGGGTTGCTACCACTAATTGTGTCCACTGCAAGGCTATCGAAAAGTTGTAGAGTAAATATGTGTTGTTTTTCATTATTATCTTCATGAGCCTTTACTTCAATCCCCGCCATTGCTGCTGCACGTTATTAGATACAATTCCTGGACCAAAATATCCTGACCCGCCAGCTCCTCTACTCCGTCAATCGAATGTCCCGCAGTAACATTATCTATTTTGATGTTTTTATCTGACCAAGACGCCTGACGAAACGTCGATGCCTCACGGCACATAATTTTTACATGGAGTTATTAAACATGTCATAAGCAGCTGTACACGTTCAACTGAGTGTAGGAGGCACAGTGCTAGTTGGTGATACGCTCGAATCGTGGGTACCATTCGTCAAATTAATGGCAGTGTCCGAGACAGATTCCCGCGGTGGACTCCCCCCATTCACGGACTTTGTTCTTATCGAGCTAGGTGGTGTAATGCCATTTACTTCTTCATGAAGGGAGATGTGTCCGTTCGGCTGTACGGTAGAAGGTGATTGTTCGGATGACGGAGAAACTTGATTCTCTTGAATGAGATGCGTAAGTCCCTGCTTCCTACATAACATTTCATAATCCGAATCCGAAGGGTATACGGTCACAAGTTCTCTTCGAGGGGCCCACCGCTCATTGGACGGCGGCTCTCGTGTAATCTTGGTCAGAGGCGCATCTTGCTGCTTTACTAGTTGCCCGCTGATGTACAGTTTTGGCTGAGGTGTGAATTTCTGGTTGGGGTCAACGTCCGGGTCTTGTTTCCATTTGGGCGGTGGTGGAGGCATTTTGCAAGTGATATCCAGCTCTTTATAATTCACGAGCATTTCCACATTTCGCAAATGAGGGAAGTTTGGTACGATGAACATGAACTCGGACACCTACAAATATTAGAATGACACCTTGTAAGAGGGCTGGGTCATGTTACCTTAACAAAGAAAAGATCGAGGCCGAGAAAGAGTGACCTGTTGGCCGTCATGACCTCGTCGACCGATATCCCAGGCTCGAGCAATTGTTTGCGGAAAACAGCAAGACTGGGCTCACGAAGGGTGTATGCACCATTGTTTGCTCGCCACACAGCTTTCTTTGCTTCTATCGTAAGAGGAACGCGCTCCCAAGCCGTGTCTGTGTGCGGGTTAATTGTGAACTAAAACATGGATATTACAACTTACATCGCGTTAGGTGAAGATCTTTCTCCCCTAGAAGTATGGCAGCATTGATGTTGAGCATCCACTGTTCCCTACCACTGGGAAGTCCGGTGGCCTCAGACCGAATTGTGTCGAATCGGTAACCATCAACCCAGCGGAATAGGCTTGCGACGTCACGATTCTTAGGATTCTCGAGGAGATCGAACCATCTAAGGAGGAGTGGAAGCCTCGAAAGCCGCTGCACCCGTTCCTCCTCTGCAATTCTAGCGCGCTCCGCTCGCTGCTGCTCCACCTGAAGGGCCCTACGACGCTCCTGCTCTTCATGCTTGAGCTTCTGCTGTTCAACATATAATATCCGTTGTCTCTCTGTCTCACGAGCGGCCGCTTCTGCATCTTGAATGCGCTGAGTCTCCTTTCTCTCAGCCTCTTCAGCTTGGCGTTTGGCATCTTCCTCTCGGGCTGCTTCTTCTCTAGCTACTCGAGCTATGTTAGCTTTCTCGACGCGTTCGAGTTCAAGCGCTTCTTTAAGCTTCTTCTGTCGCGCAATCTCCCGTTCCTTCTCACGCAGGGCCTCCGCCTCCGCTTCACGAGCCCGTTCCTCTTCTCGCTTAGCCTCTGCCTCGCGAGCTGCTGCTTCTTCTTTACGTTTTGTTGCCCTCTGTTTCTCCTTTTCCCGTTCCTTCTCGCGCTCAGACTCGCGGTCACTTCGATTCGACTGGTCTTCCACGCCTGGTTTTACTTTCTTGCTTTCAAGCTCTTGGCTAACAGTTGGTCGATGACTAGATGGCTTTGAAGACCGATTGGTTGTAGAAGTTTCGCTTTTTGACGCTTTCGTAGTTTCCTCTGATGTTGAGTGAGTTTTAACTGCCTGCGGTTGTTTAATCTTTGAGTGTAAAGACCTCCTTTCATTGCCATCGTCGTGCCCTGGTAAAGGACTCCTGGCGGTAGATGTACGAACGTCCGGAGACGAAGCAGGAGTGCTATCTGATCTAGTGTCATTTGCAGCCTCGCCTTCCAGTTTGCGCCTCTTGAGTGGACCGCCACTTGCACTATATCCTGTCGCCGCGTCTTGCGTGGCAGAACGTGGTGGTGTCTCGCTTTTTCGATGCCTTTTGACAGGGCTTTCACTACGGATGGCGGTCAAGCGATCCTTCGACTCGTCCCTCATAATTGATCGAGCTCGGTCTTTATCTGATGGGTGTTTTTCTACGATGTCAGGATCGATTTGCCCAGAAGTGACCTTTTTTACAAGACGCGATAGGCCAGGGCTAAGACGCTCATCAAGTTTTTCGCCTTTGTTGTCAGCTAAAACTCTTTTTTCCTTTACAGAAGCGCTGGAAGCATTCGAAGCAACGCTGGTTCGTCGCTGTTTTTCAAGCTCGCGCTCTCCCCGCAATTCTTTACCAGACACAAGTTTCCTGCGAGGTTTTGCAGCGGCTTCGGTGTCAGACATAATGCCAGCTTCAGAATCCGAGCGTTTCACTAGAGCTTTTGGTTTAGGCGGACCAAGAGGGAGTGATTCCGGATCCGAAGTGACAGCAGGTGCTGAAGACTCTTCCTTTCGAGGACGCCCAGGCCCTCGTCGCACCTGTCCATCTTTGCTTTGCTTATTCAATCCGCTGTTGCGTACCGATGACTTGGAATCATACTCCTTAGTCTTTGGGCTTGACATACTTCGTTTGTGAGATCGTGCTGTCTGCGACTCATCAACCTTGTGTGCTTTACGAGCATCTCGAACGATATCTCTTCCATCGCGACGAAGGCCGGGAGATCTCGGCTTCCTAGGTGAAGACTTGTGTGTTTTCTCATATCTCTCGTACGCTTCCTTGAACAGCTTCTCCTCTTCTTGCCACTTTGGTCCTGCACGCTCCTTGGCGATTTCAAAGTAGGTTTGCCCTTTAATTCGACGGGTTGGATTGAAATTATCTTGGCCGAGGATTAGTTCTATAACTTTGAGATGTGCATCGCGGCCAATAGCAGCTAGCATAGGTGTTGCCTGCTCCAGTGATACACCTTCAGCCAAAGGCGGATCCGGATCGAATCCGCCCATAGCGAAAAGAATGTTAAGCACGTCTAGATGCCCCCCTTTAGCAGCTAATGTGAGAGATTTTGGATCGTTGAGGTTAGTATGAACTTCTAAGACGCGCGCTGCAGCACTAGCATCACCTTCTTTCGCTGCTTTCTGCAGTTCCGTTGCAGTAAGTGGCTGGTATAAGAGATGGTCACTAGTTTTTTGGGATCGTGCCGTACCAACGCGCCGTCCCGTAGCATTAAGAGTATGCGAATCATAGGTCGGAACAGAAGGACTTTGACGAGCACCGTCTCTGAGATTTGACAGCTCATCTTCGGACACGCGTCTAACATCTCGATTATTTTGTTTCGCCTCCAAAATAGCGGCTCTTATTTCAGATGCTTCTGACTCATCATAAGCACCGCTTTCTTCTTTTTCATTCACAAGGTCAAGAGGTTCGTCACCATGTCGGTTGGGTTTATTTGGGTCGGCTCCTGCCTCAAACAGAAGTTTAACGACCTCGACGTGGCCATTCTCAATCGCATCGTGGAGTGGCGTATCCTTTTGGTCGTTTACTACATCGACTATGCAGTTTTTATCCAACAGAAACTTGACCACATCTTCGTACCCATTTATGCTGGCCACGTGTAGAGGTGTATTGAGAGCATGGTCTGGCTCGTTGAGGTCCTGTGGTCGCTCTTCATATCTTTGTTTGGCGACTTCAAGCTTGCCGCTCAGACAAGCTCTGGCTAGGAAAGTTTGTCCAGATGAATTGACATGCTTTTTGTGAGGGGCTATTTTCACAGGCGACATCGTGGAGCCGCCTGTTACGGGAGCTGCTAGACTCCGTAGACGTGAACTCCGTGGGTGTGAACGATCACTTGCCGATGAATCATCGGAATGATATTCAGTGGATTGAAGGGGAGCTGGGACGCGCTTCTTCTTGTGGCTTAAGCCATGGGAAGATTTGGTCGCTACCTGGGTCGAGGCACTGCGCCTGTGGATTCGAGAAGGTGGAGAAATTGAACGTGTGCGCTTTCTTGAATGGCCATCCGGTCGAAATTTGGAAGACGAACGGTTGTCTCGATGATATCTGGTTTCCGTACCAGAGCTTCGCTGTCTGACAAAACGTGCGCGTTCAGTATCTTCATCGTCTCCAGAATGTTCTCCAGACTGTGAAGCAAAAGTCCGCCGCGAGTAGGCTCGGTCCGTGGATTTGATTTCAACGCGGGTTGTTGAGCGGGCGCGGGGTGAGGGGGATCTAGAAACGTCCGAATCCGAAGCAGCTGGCTTCGATAACGAGGAACGCGTCGTCGCAACAGGCGACGTCGGTACTGAACTTAGACCGCTCGAGTTACCAAGGTGCGCAGGATCGTCTTTCACGTTAGCGGTCTTCTGTCGCTTTCTTTTGCCTAGTGACGATGTGGAAGTTGCGACTGTGCTGGTTTCACCCAACTGCGATCGTGATTGTGGTACCAACTCTCGTCCAATTTTCGTCTGAATGCTGCCCATGTTAGGAGCATTTTTCGCATCCTCATCGTCGCTTTTGTCTTCGTGTTTGATCATTTTACGAACTTTGGATGGGGAATGGCCATCCTTTCCGGGAAGTACAATCGTTTCCGCCTCCGAGTCGCTCTTGTTTCCAGCATCCACGTTATCATTCGCTTCGTTGAGTATATCCGTATCGATGTCCATTGTTTCCGGGCGACTGATGACAGGAGGGGAGGACCTGATGCCGATGGGTGTATCCGTCTCTCCACTTCTCATGCTGACAACATCCTTAGGAAGACCAACTGGCGACGCCGAGGTCCGCCCAGCGACAACCTTCGACACATCCTGCGTGTCCATCGATTCTACCCCGAGTGTCGCCTTGTCCAGTACATCTTCAGTCCGTTTGCTAGGAGACACTTTGGAAATATCGAGGCGGAGGGACAAGGAGGATCATCCGTGTCCTACTCCTGCAATTATTGCAAATAAGCGCGGCACCGGGTTGGACACTCGTCGAGGGAGAATTAGTGGTTATACTCAGTTGAAAGAGAGGCGCTGAATGCGCGTGGAGGTGTTTTTTGTCGTGAGGCTTTCGTGGGTCGATGTTTGTTGAGAAGAGGCAATCGTGAATCTGCGCATTTGGACTTCGAGGTCTAGGCGGAGAGACGCTCATTGGATTCGCTAAAGGCTTACCTCGTGATCGGGATCGCTGCCCCCAAAAGCCCAGTCTCTGCTCACTGCATCGGAAAGGGGTATTTTAAAGTAGCTTGACAACTTGCCGTCATTGTATTATGAGGCAGAAGTATTTGGGACAATTTCATCGAGCTTCTCCAGGTGTATTCCTGGTCAGCCAAAATATCTTCTAGATGCATCGCTGGGATACGGAAATTGCATGGTTCTCTTACCCCACCAACGTGAATTGATCGGGACCGTGACTTTACCACATTTTGTGAACACGGCCAGAGGACAAGAACCGTTCTTACTCGAATTCGGAACTAACAGAATCCTCCTCTACTTCAGGGAAGAACAGGCGTGAATGTTGAACTACTTTGAAATAGAACTCTATCATCCAGAATTAGAGCCATCTAGTTCCACCCAGTTTCCAGCGCGAGTCTTGACACTAGGGCGAGGCGAGAACCTGCCAACCAGACTTTCTTTGTTCAACCACCAGACATTTGAACGACGAACAAAGACATCGAGAAGCGGTTGTGTCAACTCTGCCCAAGGACGTTCCGATTTTTTGTGTCTCGGATTCGTCATATGTCTTTCAATTCCTGTCTTTGACGTACGCGGCGTTCTTCCGTTCTTAAAATGGGAGCATCCAGGAATTCAACAGCATGTTTGGAAGATTATAGAATCAGCAACCTTGGTGATGCTTTTTATATTGCGGATTTCATAACTCCCCATGAGGAAAAATCGATTCTGGAAAAGGTCTACCTTTTACCTCTGGATGCTGTGACTCTCGCCACTGACTTGGAATAGATTCGAGCCGCGCCCAAACCTCGGTGGAAAGTACTCAGTCATCGGCGTCTGCAAACTTGGCCATCAGAATTGACGAGGAACAACACATTGCTAGAGTCAGATCTGCCCGATTGGCTCTTACAGCCAATTGTCTCGCGTCTTCTCGCGCTTCCTCTAAATCGAGAGTCCACCAACCACATATTCTCGGACAGTCCTCATGGTGGTCCAAACCATGTACTTATCAATGAGTGTAAGTACCGGGGATTAGACGATAATTCATTTATCATGTTGCCACGGAAGTTCTCCCGACTAAACAGTGGTCCAGATCAGTCTTGCCTTTCAGGCATTTCCTGGTCCTTCCCATTTTGTTTTCTGATTTCGATATCTAGAACTCCCACTGAGACGTATTAGATCTACCAGGACAAGGCATCATGCCTCACAAAGATGGTTCGGCGTATCACCCGGTTGTTTGTACCGTGAGCTTAGGTTCCAGCTTGATGCTTGACATATTTTCTACCAAGAGTGACGGAACCCGAGAGGTCGAGCCAAGATACCGAGTTTTGCAAGAACCTCGAAGTCTTCTGATTACGGCTGGAGAGATTTATACAGATTATATGCATGGGATTGCTGAAGTCCATGAATACAGAGATCTCAGTCGAACAACCGTTGCGAATTGGGACCTTCTCCACGATCCGGAGGCTATTCGAGATGGGGAATTACAACGCTCTACTAGAACGAGCCTTACTTATCGAGACGTGATCAAAGTCTCCAAGCTGGGTGCCAAGTTTGGGAGTCTAGGTAAATTCAAATAGACGCTATAGAAAGTGACCCTGGTACCCTCAATAGATGAATGGCATAATCCTCGACCGGCTTTCCACGTTCTCGGCACCAAACTTCTGTATGTACCACTTTCTAGTCAAGTTGGCTGTAACACTTAGATTCGAGACGACAAATATGAATCCGGAGAAGATGGTCTTGTTGAATACCTGACCAGACGGTGCCCCTCCAATAGCCAAGGCGAGATAAATGAGACACTCGCTTGTGTAATGTGGGCATATTATAAATTGAAAAAATGGATGATTCGGCAGAGTGTACTTTTTAAGGCTAGCGAGATGCCTGTGAGAAACATGCTGTGTGACAGATGCGCCGAAGAAGATGCATATGGCAAATAGCGACTTAGCAGATGGCCATGCTGTGAGCAGCACCTCAGATGATTGCCAAGTGCTCAGTGAAGCTGCTTGTTGTTAATTTTGCTTGACAGCACGTTCAAAAAGTCTCTCACCTATACCCTCGATCCAAACACCAATACCCGTAAACAGATAATAAGCAATGCCACTAATTCACGCTGTCAGTCAAATCATACGAATACTTTGGCACGACACATACATCACCCAGAGTCCGATCCACATTTTTGCTTGCGAAGGCTTCGTGAAGACGATGGATTCGTATAGCCTTCTCAATCCTTGGAGAGCCATCAGAAACCAAAGGAGTAGAGCCTGCTCCGCAGACATAGCTTTGGAAACATCTTTTGATGAATGCGCGGCGAGAAACTGAAATGCAGCACCTCGCTCAAAGATTTGGTATCCCCAGAAGGCGGAAGAGGCCACTGAGAATACATAAAAGTACGTGAACCAAGAATGCGGTACTTGAACAGAAGCAACAAAATCTCCGATGATTTTGGAATTACTCTTGGCGCCCTTTCCAGGACTCGTCTCTAGTCGTCGAGAGCCATAGGGCATGATCTCTTGTTTGAACCATGGGAAGAGTAGGCCACCTAGATCTACGACGATTCCTAGCGCGAAGAATGATTGACAAAGGAGCCGAGGATTCATCTTGGAACTTTTCGACACGCCGCGTGATATCTGCTTTGTGATGGTTTGCGTTTGACTAACTGTGACGTGCGGGACTTATCTATTCAAAAGAGCCAGCGCAGTAGGAAAATTATTTTCACGATGAAGGATAACCTGCTGTCGGGTATGTAAGACTTGATGGCACGACAGCGCACAGACCACTACCCATTCTCTTCTAAGGACTCAATAGAGGTTGTTTCGGCAGAGTTGAACGAGATAGGGATTTTGCAATCGAAATGGTGAAATGTGTTTTATTGCGTAGCAACCACTGTTCGACATAAATGACAGAACTTTATTATGATTTTCTCTTAACATCAACTTAAAGTGTAGAGAGAGCATGTGAGTAAGTTCAGTTATTGCTACTTTCTTTTAAGTAGAGTCTAAGAGATCTAATTACTGGTAATGATAGACGAGATACCAGCATTTCGTCTATTCATTCGAAGAAATGTCGTGTTTCGACAGCCACCTGTTTGCTCCATCACGAGGGCTCGGGTAGACACAACCACGCTCGTTGTGAACAGAATGAATGGCAGAACCTCCTTACTATTCTGTAAACTTATTATATATATTAGAGCTGGCAAGCAGCTTAAATTGAAGTCTATGTTAAGTAGAGTTGAGAAGAGCACATTTATTCAAAACAATCAACGAACTATCGTATATTTCGTCAATGCAAACACCTGCCACGAGCCTGGAATCGATGGTGGTGGCGCACAGACCATATAAATGTTTTTGTGGGGCGGCGAAGTCCCCTCCAAGAATTGTAGAATCGACGTCAACAATTTTGACAACCTCACGAATACTACTCATCGCGACCAGCTACACTCCCACATACCTGGATTGTCTGTAGAGAAAATCTGCAATCATGGCGACCACCGTAGATAAGGTTTGTACCCGGGGTTTACTGTGCCGAACGAATATACTGACACCCCGCCACAGATCAAGGATATTGAGGCCGAGGTTTGCAGCTACCACCCTCAAGAGATAATATATACTGATTTTCTGCGTTAATAAGATGTCGAAGACACAGAAAAATAAAGAAATTGTTCCCCTCTGATACAGGAGAGCGAGTAGTAACAGATGTTCTAGGCGACCAGTTTTCATCTCGGTCAATTGAAGGCGAAGCTAGCGAAGTTGAAGCGCGAACTTCTCACCCCAACAAGCAGCGGCGGTGGAGGGGGATCTGGATTCGATGTTGCAAGAACTGGTGTGGCCAGCGTGGGGTTCATTGGGTTCCCTTCTGTGGGCAAAAGTACTCTTATGAGTAGACTCACTGGACAACATTCCGAAGCAGCGGCATACGAGTTTACAACTTTGACAACGGTTCCAGGCCAGGTTCTTGTCAACGGGGCGAAGATACAAATGCTTGATTTGCCAGGTATTATTCAGGGAGCGAAGGATGGTAAAGGAAGAGGTCGCCAGGTCATTGCTGTCGCGAAAACGTGCCATTTAATATTCATTGTTCTTGACGTCAACAAGCCTCTCACCGATAAAAAGGTCATAGAGGCAGAGTTAGAAGGTTTTGGTATTCGAATCAACAAATCACCACCAAATATCGTGTTTAAGAAAAAAGACAAAGGAGGAATCAGCATCACCAATACGGTACCCCTTACACATATTGACCACGACGAAATCAAGGCTGTTATGGGCGAATACAAGATATCATCAGCAGATATCGCGATCCGGTGCGATGCTACTATTGATGATCTCATCGATATTTTGGAGGCAAAGAGCAGAAGTTACATTCCGGTTATATACGCGCTTAACAAGATCGATGCGATATCAATCGAGGAGCTCGATCTGCTTTACCGAATCCCTAATGCATGTCCGATTTCTTCTGAGCATGGATGGAACATTGATGAGTTACTTGAACAGATGTAAGTGTGTCTCTGCATCAGAAATTCCATCTCAATGTGCCCTGTTGGTTGTACTGCAATTCTAGTCGTTCTTCGGAACTTCTACCGCGATTTTATATTGTGGCGCTACTCGGTGTGCTATGATCGCTAATACAAAGTCAGGTGGGAGAAATTGAATCTTGTGAGAGTTTACACAAAGCCCAAAGGGAAACTTCCCGATTATACATCGCCGGTTGTGTTACGATCCACGAAATGCACTGTAGAAGATTTTGTAAGTTTAATATATTTTGCCGAAATCTCATAGGAAAACATATTCGCTAACGTCTCTCTTAATGCAGTGTAATGCTATCCACAAAACCATAGTGGATGATTTTCGACAAGCGGTTGTCTATGGAAAGTCTGTCAAACATCAACCACAACGTGTTGGGTTAAGTCATGAGCTTGCAGACGAAGACATCAGTAAGATTTTTAACAGAGTCATATTTTGTCTACATTCCACTAACTGCCTGGTAGTTACCATCATCAAGCGATAGAATTCTTTTGAGGTAATAAAGAGAGTAAACCATGGCAACGTGTTATTCTTCGTGATCACTCTTCCGAGTATCAGCCATCGCGCAAACAGATCAGGGAAATCTCCCCACACTGCTGAGCCGTGGGCAAGGTGAGTCTTGATGAGTGTTTACAGTTCTCAATACACAAAGGGACGAGCAAGCAGAAGGATGGTTTGGTGAGCAGAAGAATGTGCTCCCACAAGCTCGCGTATATCGGCCTACGTTTGGATGGCTGCCCAGTGGGCAGAAACTGAATTCAATAGAGCCTATGAATCAAATTTAAGCTAAATCGAAAACAATAGTGCCGATCTTCAAGCATAGAGAAGCACGACGGTTCGACACGATGACCGTGGTCAACGTCAACAGCTATCCAATCGGTTGATATTTGATTATTATCTCATGACAGCTATGCTCAAAATGCGACTAGTTCTACACGAAAGCATACGCTTGACTCTCAAAATTTCCTCATTCTCTTGTGTTATTTGACTTCATTAGATTTACACTTGTTTTTCCACACGGTACATGCTTCACACGACGTCACCCCTCGATTGGCTGCAAGCGAGGAACAATCCGTCCAAACTTCATCCCTCCACTTGTTTACAACTGCCATGAAACGATAATCTGAAGGATCCAGTGCGCACAGACATCCATGGATCTCGGCGAGATTTGATGACAGGTTCAACATCGGAATTTCGGACATCTTCTCGCGCTTATGGGGGTCGAAAAGCAGCGACGGATATTCTGCAAGGGTTTTCAGCCTATTAACGGCCAGCGGGCACGAAAAAGCGGAAAAGTCGCAATTTTCTCAGCCAGTCGTTTCGTTGAACCTGGGGCCAGGCATGACCAAATATTTGATTGAAATTGAGTCTTCTCATCTCGATCCATTTACTATCTTCCCCTCTTTACCGCCGAAGGCTTAGGTTCAGGATTGCCTGGTTAAAGTTGCCGGATGAAAAAACCAATTCAACATCAGTGAAAGGCGATTTGATAGTTCTATGGTCTACATGCTATGCGCTTGCTAGTCAAGTTTACAGGCTCGCCTATTGTATCGATCCATACACAACATGAAGTCATTCGTGTGATGAAGTAGGAATGATGCATGTGCTGTTGTATTTCACAAATTGTCGGTTGGAAGAAGCGACTACACATCTGGTTCTCGTCTCATGGCAATCTAGTGCAAGACTTGGGAACCGAGTGATAACAAGGTATGTATCGACCGTTTGTGTCTGATAACGCTGCGTCCCAAAGAAACTGCTCAACACTGTTATTGCCAGAACCCGGCTCGAAATGCTCAATTCCATCTATATCATGCAAATTGACAGCCAGGAGAGCCATCCGCAAGTTGTCCTTCTCACAGTCATGTTTTGGATCCACTCCACAAACTCTTTTGTCCAAGAGCTTGCTAGTGTTTGAGGAATCTGCCTACGCCGGACTTTTCAGCCCGCGTTGGCTTTGAGACCGGGAATTTGGGTTGGAGTAAAAGATACAAGAGAATATTGAAATTCGTTTGTGTCTGGAAAGACCAGTCGATTATATATGCTTCTACAAAGTGCCTTCGAATCATAGGGAAGCCGGGTCGAATACGTTTCGTTGTTCCCTCACTACTCAAGACTCATTGCCTACGAAACGTTCGCTGAAGACAGCAACACCATTTGCACTTATAGTTAAACACGAAATTAGGAAATCAATTCGGTTTGACTCAGTGGTGTGGGGGTATAGTCAACAGCGCTGGCCTCTCTTAGCAGCCATCATCAGGGATTTTAATGTCAACCATTATTTCTAGTGAAGTATCTGGGTTCACCAACCTGAGAAATATTCGGTAGCGGTTTCGGCACCATCACTAGACAGTTGGCATACGGGGAGTGAACGAGAACAGCTCTTCTTTGGACACACCATAACGTTTTTCTTCAAAGGCTCATATGATGGCCTTATCCAATCAATGACCTAGGTCATAGTGCAACCCTACCCAACATCCCTTTGTGACACCAACAGCCTCCATGAACCAGCCGACCAGGACGGGAAAGCTACACTCTATCGACCAGTTGAAGGCAAGCAAGCCTCACTTCGGCAAGGCAAAGGAAGAAACCCATTGAGGGGGAAGGCGGCCTACGCCTCGCTAAACTCTCTAACATTCTGCAGCGAAGAATAGTCGGTTCCGAGTGGCTGTCTAATCTGAATGAAGTGCACGACATGAGAAGTGAAGGCATAACAGTTGGTTGGAGGCACTGGACGCCGAAGATCTTGTTAGTAATCGACCATTGAACGATTGAAGGCCAGGCACGAGACTTGGCCGAGCCCACGAAACATGCGCATAAGGATAATACAAGAAATCCCAGGCACTGATTGGGAGCTGTTCTCTTGATGGAAGCCTTTTGGGGAGGTACTTGGGGCCGTATTGGCCTCGCTGAACAGATTTGAGGTCATGCTCTGGTCCCAAATTGCCTAGTTGGGAATATCAGAAACATCGCATAGCCTCCGTACGACGCCACACACAAGTAACAACATCATGGACAGCAGTTCTCTGTAACTCTCAAACATCAACAGAGATAGCAGGACGCCAGCCACGGCCAGAGCTCCGGGGCCGGGCTGTCAGGCAAATGTGGTAGTGATATCCTGCGATGATGATAATAGCGGCGTGGAGTGCCACGCCCTACGCTGCTTGCGGCAATCACAATAAGGATTGTTTTAATGCAGCAGCTAGAATGAGACTAGCATGTCTTCGCTCCCGCGGCGGCTTTTCCCTAGACGCGTCCTTGTTGGTCGACGGTCCCGGGAGACGTGCTAGAATCGGCCATAAGAGATCGCGGTGTTCTTCGTCTCGACGGTCAACGGCTCGGCTCGACCAACGACATGCGCCAGAGGCACGAAAACATGGCAACGAGAAGGACATTATTATCGCCCAGCGAACAGACCGCCATGCTACCAAATCAATATCATCTCTCTTTTCGCGCGCGGTGATTTGATCAGTGTCGATTGATGGAAACATTGGAAAGTCCGTCAATAATACGAAGTACTATTGTACCGATTCGTACGGACGATGATTGTTAGGCGAGACGTGAGCCAGTCAGTCCTCTCCCCCAGCGGTTGCAGGGGCCGTTGTCGTATGGGCTTCTGCGCACGTCCTTGATCCGCCGCTATCGCCGTGCTTCGAGCAGCTGCAGCAGCACCAGGCCATCCCATCCCAGCTATCAGGCCAGCTCGAAAGGTGGTGAGGTTGTGCAGTCCACGGGGGAAGACTCGAGAAGGTGCATCTGGAGAGTGGAAGGCACCTTCAGTTGAGATGTCTTCGCTTCGTAGGGAGTAGGGAGGAGGGAGTAGCGAGAATCTCAGGCTTCGCTGTCTAGGAGGATAGGTAAGTGACTGCGTGCTTGATCCATCCGGCCCATCCTCTCGACCAGGTCGTCTTCGACTCTTCGACTCTTCGTGCTCTCAGCCTTTTTCGTCCAGGCCTGTCCTTTCTGTCCGTCCTGTCACTGTCCCCTCGTCTTCCCCTGACGACCCTGCCACTGAGGCCCCCATGTCCCAGCCCTCTCAGGGTCAGCAGTGCCGCTGCCACAGCTTCTCCGCATAGAACTATCGCATATGTAGTCCTGGCTCCCCCCGTCCCTCGTGCTGGGGCGCTTCACCTGTTGTTTCTCGAGCGACACAGACAGACCGACCGACTGAGCAGAAGCACTGAGAGACCGGTCCACACACTGCCCCGTACGCTCTCCCACCCACATCTGCACGACCTCCACCGCCCACCACCCTCGACCACCTCCACCACTGCTACCCACACCACATCTGTACCTCCTCAGTACCTCCAACCCTCCGACCCTCCAACCTACGTACGCGCTCGCTCAGATATCCTCCCCTCCGTCCCAGGCCTCCGTCTCTTTCGCCCCCTCTCTCGTGGACTGCGCCTGTTTCATGTGTTGCAATAATTGTTGATCGCGAACTCCTTCTCATCTGCCTTTCGCGCCTGCCCCAGTGCTCCAGCCGGTACTTGTTGGACGACTCTCCTGCGGCCCAGAACGTCGTTGCAGCGCTCCAGTCCCGCGAAGCCTCTCTCATATCGACGCAGGAACCGCTGCTTACCATGCATGTCGTCTGCCGTGAAGACTGCAGACTTCCTTAGCCAGGAAGCAGCACCATTATTATCTTCGACCACACGCACTGTGCGTGGGCCGAAGGATAACACTCATTGATCGCCAGTGCACTCAACGTTGCGGTATATATTGGTACCGAGTCGGGCTTGGTTTTTAGGAAATGCACGATTCCATGATGGCGCAAATCGGCATCGACCACGAGAACCACATGGCGGGCAATGAGAACTATGGAGGAAGCGACGGGTGGGTAGATCTCAGTCACGGCTACAATTCTTCGCAACATCAATCACCAATATACGAACATGCAGGCTTTCAGTTCATGCAACAACCAGCTCAATCGCAAGGCCCGTTGGAGCCTTCGTTTGCGACCCAGAGGATGCCACAACCTTCACCACCAAACGCACTTCCTTCTCATCAACAACTATTGCCTCTTATAATGCCTAGTCATCCAACCTGGCCTAGTATGTTGACGAATCCAGCGAATTACTCCGCACCACCAGTCGCCATTCCTCCCGCGAATGCTCAGCAAACCAAGACGAACAACGGAAAATCTTCTGGCGGTCACCCAGCTCCAACTCCACGTAAAACACTAACAGACAGTGATCGGAGAAGAATGTGCCAGTACCATGAGGACCATCCATCTACGAAGCAAACTGATATCGGAGGTAATGAAATTCTTCCTCTGTATGGTTACACTGCTAACCTGATTTAGCGATGTTTGGAGTTGAACGAAGGTAAAATCAATGAGAACTAGATCTTTTTCGCCTACTAATGTTTTGCCATAGCACTGTATCCAAAGTTCTGCGTCAGAAGGAGAAGTATCTTTTTCCCGAGGACCGTAGTCTTTCTCCAGTCAAACGAGCTAAAGGAAAGTTTCCGGATATCGAGAGAGCACTTTCCAACTGGGTCAGAAACACGCAGAAGCAGGGCATTCCCTTGACGGATGAGACAATTCGAGAAAAGGCTCGTTTCTTTGCAACGACGGTTGGTAACGATGAAAGCCATTCGAAGACCAACAGTACGAGCTGGCTTGAAAAATTCAAGCAGAAGAATGGAATAGGGTCTGGAAGATTGTCTCGACGAGCATCGGAAACGAACATCTCTGACACGGGATCACTAATTCCAGAATCTGGCCAAGCTTCCTCAAGCCAGACGCCAAATGGGATTTCTCCCACCTCGCCAAACGGCCTACCCTCGCCTTCACCGCTATCTGCAACGAAGAGCAACGACGATGACCTGAAATCTGAATCATTGAATAGCTCCTTGAACAGTTACCTCGAGTTTGGCCAACGACATGGCAGCTATCATTCAAACTCTCAGAGCACCACTTCGCTGTCGAGTTTCACCGAGCCTCAACACTCATATTCTGGAGCGACCAGCCCTACCACTCCATTTGCCTTCTCACCAGACAACAATGGAAATTCGTGGCTGCCTTCCCAACAAGCTCGTCTCCCACCACCTGGTAATAATTTCCAGCGTCCTCGAAGCCAGACATTTCCTATGCTGGGTATTGATCCTTCTTTTGCGGCACAGGTCTCAGAGCCATTAACTCCAAAGTATATGCCAGGTACGGCTCCCTCCTCGGCATTGGATTCTCCTATCCACGAGATCCCTTCACAATTCGGCATTGATTCGCACGTCTCCTCGCCACCTTTGCACCACAGCAGCAGTAACGGATCCATGGCACCGCCATCTTCGGGCACACCCGTCACCAATATTCAATCTCCAATTGGCTCGTCCGCGCCAAGTTCTCCTACACAGGATGATGCTCGACGCGCGCTCGATACGTTGCTCAACTTCTTCCAGCAAGCCCCCAGTGGTCTAGTAGATCAAAACGACTACTTGTCAATCATCAAATTGACGGACAAGCTACGCCTACATAGTCACCTAGCACTTCCCGGAGGCCTTCATCGAATCGAAGAAACCGAGCCCCTAGCTCCAAAATTGGAGCAATCGATGAGTGCAGGCTGCTAAGTCATTTAAATCACACCAGCCCTCACGAATCCTGTATATCGAAACGCTTTCCTTCAGCCCTGTCCTTACCAGCAAACTCTGCACTTGAACGGCGTTACACCATTTTTATATGTACAGCGATCGCATTTCCCAGGCAACATATCAGCAGCACATTTCTTCTTCGCCTTGTCTTTTATACCACTTTTTACCACATCTACAACTCGATCTCCCCGGTTCCGGTGTAGGGTCTTACGTCCAAGGAGCTCTAAAATTCACCCCAAGCCTCTATATACCCCCGATACAACTATCCCGCTCACGCGGTATTTTCGCCAAATTTTCGTTTCTTCTGCACGTATTTCGCAAGAGATCACGTAGCATGTACCTTTTTTCAACAGCTCTCTTCACAAGCGGTATTGCGATTTCAGCTTTCATTCTATTCACCATCGGCCACGGTCGAGCCTAGAAGTCGATAATTCCCAGACCTCGAATCTACGTTCCATTTCCGGCTTTTCATTTTCATTCATACTATACACGTTATTGGTTTTTCTTTCACGTTCCCACCTGTTTGTACGTGGCATACATGCGAAACGCGGATGCCGGGCTTTTAACGTTGGAGATGTCCTACCGCAAGGTACACACATTTTTCTGGTTGGTTGGTTGGTTGTTGCGAGAGGGGAGCACAGAAAAGAAAAAAGAAGAAGATGGAAAGAAACTTCACAGTTTTCAAGTAACGTGGCAAAGGACCATCCCCTTATTTGTTTCGCTTCTACCAAGTCTAATTTCTTTTGGGGGGAGGCGATGGGAGGGAAGGGAATGAGGAGGAATGGGACATTTAGCATTTCGAATTCTACATGGGAGGCCCCATCTGGATTTTGTTCTTTAGGAGGCCCCGATTGAAAGTCAAAAGATAAACTTCACATATACGCTTGCTCATGTTATCTGTCTCTTTGTGATAGAACGCGGGTATCAGAATGTCAATGCTAACTAGCTAAGCCTCTCCTCGAGCAAGGCCGCTACGCCCTTCTCCCCCAACTCTGGCATAAGCCTTACGATGATCAGCTCCACAATTCCGTACAAGAGATGCTTATTACAATAGCTATCACCGAAACAGTCCAACACATCCTCGACCTCCTTGATGCGCTTCTCAACACCCGGACCAAAGTAGATACCTTGTACCTTTTCCGGGATTAATGACAAGATAGTCTCAGCGCATTTCCTGCGGAGAAGCAGAGACTCAGCAGGTGTAGGGATCTCACGTGGGGGCGCGAGGGTGTTGGCGGGGAAGATGGCGGCGCGGACGGTGCGAAGGAGGAAAGGGAGTCTAGAGGGGTCGAGGACATGCGTTTGGATTGCGTGAGAGAGGATTCTAGATGAATTAGCCAATGGAGGAGGAAAGAGAAAGCAAATCGTTCGAGGGGTGCATGAATAGTGGCTGAGAAAATGGCAGTCTAGTATATCTGAGAAAGTGAAGATCAAGGACAGGACAAAGCGAAACAATAATGGACGCGGTATTCTCGCAAAACCCCATATCGGATATCGAGTGAGGTCAGTATGAGTACGTAGTATTGGTCAAAGCTTCGGAAGGCTCGCAGGATGAGGACAGTAGCATGCAGGGTCCGAATGAGCATGAGGCGGAAGCGAACACCAGTGGATGAGAATCAACGGGCATGTGCGGGAGGAAGGGCGGTACGATGCGAAGCATAGGCAGCCGGATAAGCAGCCCATGTCCTTTCAATAACGCCGGGCGCGTAAAAAAGGCTACCCTAAGGCTCGACTCGTTTTGTTGGTCCAACCCTGGCGGTGAGGATTATCGTAGAGTCTAGAATCCATGGAGAAGTGGTATGGGATGACAAGTATTGGAATAATGTGGTCATGAGTTGACTTCGAGCCAACAACCCGTGGGAACTACGCCAAGCCCAAGACGCAGAAGCAGGTCAAAAAGGCAACGCGAGAAGGATGACGGGAACTTTCTTAGAGCGATCGCGCGATGAACCGATGAACCGGATGAAATGATTCAATAGGTGACATCGCTCTTGTAGCGTCCGTCTGGATGAGGGTGTGGAGTGGCTTGCTAGGGAGTTCAGGAAAACACTCGTTTCCGAAACATAACTGGAAGGATCCAGGTCAAGTGACCGCGAATACATGCGGGGTGATGGGAACTCGCACACTCGATGATGGAATGCCGAAAGCAGAGACCTGATGAAGAAAGTGAAAAACTTACTTGTCGATTCTTCCGTCCGTATTCCCTAGCTGTCCTGGCCCCGTGAGGGCTCCCCACTGAAGAAATGACAACGTTGCCGCAAGCCAGGGCATGCGGAAATCAAAGTCCAGTAAGCGAGCAGCAGCAGACCATATTCTCATCTCCACGATAGGTGTCTTGCTTGGAATAGCTTTGGTGGCGATTGGCTCAGCATCTATCCCGTCTTGACTCGAGTGACCCTCTAGAACCGCTGAGCTGCTGATCTTCGGGGAGGTAATGCGAGAAGGAAGTGATGAAGATTGAGCAAGCGTCAATATCAAAAACCTCGCCGCCGTAAAGGCAACAAAGGCGTATTGCAGGACTAGCCAGAAAGTCTTCTGAATGGACCATTGAATATTCCATTTCTTCTTTGACGAGAACAATTCGGCTGGCGCGACGTAGGGGCCCAATTCTGAATTCGACCTAGCAAGTCGGACATTGGCTTGCGATCTTGGTAGTTGGGCCTGGACAATCTCCGCAATTTTCGTGATACCTTCCCAGAGCAACCACGGTTCCGAAGCCTTTCCACCAATACCATTTCCAATGATCATTTCAGAGAATATCTGTCCAACCAATGTTGTCAGACAGTCATTTTCGAGATCCTCCGTGGGTAACAAGACAGCTAGGACACCTTGGACCAACATCTGTCGGTAGACGGCTTCATTATTTATTTGCTGTTGGGCGAGTGGGCCACCAGACCCATCTGGGACTGGAGAAAGAGCGGGCATAGGCCATAAGGAATGATAGATCTCGCGAGGATTTGTTTCGAGCGGAGACGGATTGAGAGGCTTGTGAGATGTCCGATACGCTAGCCAATATCAGCAAGTTACTAAAATCAATAATGCCCATCCTACCTTGAACGTGGACGTCTAGCAGATCCGGTAGCTCATCTAACACCAGACTTTCTATGTCTACATTCCTTATCCTCTGCTCTAAAGCTCTGGTGCAATGTGCAATGATCTGGACAACCTCTTCCACAAACACCGAGTCCGGAGTGATTTTGGTATACCAAGTATGGACGAATTCCCGTATAATGATAGCAATAAATGCGTATAATTGTAGATCCACCTCATTACTGCTCGTCAGAGGGGGCAAGATTTCGTCGATAGGCGCTGGGGTATTTCGACCCTTTTCCGCAAGATTTGGACATAATGTCCTTCGAATTAGGAACAACGTTGACCGATCCGAGGCGGGGTCGCTGGAAGCTTGCCGAGGAGCAGAGCGAGTTTTGGGCCCTCCTACTTTGGGGGCAGCATCTTGGATGGTTTGCGCAGAGCCCGTAGAAGCGTTCGCAGAAGCTGATTGGGAGGAGATGTTTGACGTGGAAACAGCCTTTGCGCGAGGTTGAAGCCGCGACATTAGAGTATTCCCACTACATTGATTGTTTGAATTGCCCGACCCTCACTGCCACAATTTTGAAGGCTAGATAGATCGGCTGCTATAGTTCGTGCGCCAACTGCGCGTGGTGGTGTTGCAACGTCGTTCCGTCGGACAGCCTAATGATTGAAGGTTGTTGCGCTTCACGATCCATCGACAGGCCTCGGGAGGAACCTAAATCAATCCCCACCATCATCACGTGAGGAGTCAGTCCGTGAGTAGAAAGACTTGCACAGTCGACAAACTCGATATGTTATCGTATATTTATCGTATATTTAGGTGATTTTGTTGTGTGACTAGTTGATCTTGAAGTCCCGATCGCACTTTTTTATAAGCATAAGCCCTATTATAGCATTAAAAATAAAAATATAATTAACTTGGTGCAAATTACTGACATCCATCTTCTCCGTGTCAGTTAACTTAGTGATTAAAACTTTGTTTATAGGTATACTATTTCACAATAGAGCTCCTGAGTGACAAAATACTGGACAAAATGTACGCTATTGTATGAAGCTGGTCAAACCTCATGTTTGGGACTGACCTACTTTGATCAATAGGCGAGCAAGAGGATCTCACATTCTCGGGCTATTTCAAGTAAGCGCAGAGATAGTATTAGCGCTTGATATTTCAAGTTAATTATTTAAGTACAAAGGCGTTGCAATCATGACTCTTTTCCCAAAAATGCCTCCCCTGTTACTGGTTCCTGCCGTGGACTCCCGCTTAACTCCTAATTCCAGTTCCTTGTCTCATGAACCCATCAATCTTTATGAACCCTTCCAAAATTCGCCAGCTTACATCCACTTCGAGCAAACCTCATTAGGACATTGCTGGGCTCCCCTTTCTCTCATGGACAACAATCTGACGCTGCTTTTTCTCGGCAACAGCACCGAAAGCCACTAGTGACATAACGATCACTTGAAGAGGAATCATCATGACCATAAGGTACAGCGCTGTCTTGCTCTCTTTGCACAAGGTACGGAAGTGTGGTTTCATGTTCATATCAATAGCCGACCACTGACATGACCAGCTCTGAAGCGAGTGTGTTGTGCTAGAGGAATTGACGCCATAGAAGAATGAGGTACCAACAAGGCCTGCGATTAAGCCGACTGTTGGTGCTATGAAAGATATGATGGTGTGAATCAAGGTTTTGTTTCGAATCTGAAAGTCAGCTGTTAGTGTTGATCTATTTAGAGGCTCAATTGGAAGGTTCTTACTGCTGGAACGCTGCTAGCAACCAAAGACAGAGCGCTGAAGAAGATAATGAAGACACCGCATGCGACCAGCGCGGTAGTCGGTCTAAGATCGAAGTCGGCAGGCCATAGTGGAAGGAGAAACTCGTCACCCAGATGAGTGCTTTTGAACGTGCCCAAGGTGTGTGAGGATGTGCCAACGATGACGATCGAGGACAATAACGCCAGTAAAGTGAGGCCGAGACGAACAGAGTTCAGAATTCGTGATACAGGTGCTTTCGTTCTTTGAGTAGGCGTATCGAATTCTTCAAAATCCGACTGGAATTGCGGCTTGACTTCTGTCTCTGACATGATTGCGTCAAGGGAAATTGTGAAGAACTTCGGAGTGGAAAAAAGCGAAACAAGGAGATGGAGATAACTTGAAATTGCAAAAATCAAAGGAAGAAACTTGATGAGTAGCAGAGGAGGAACAGAACAGTGAGTACTTAACTTATTCAACGACCATACCATAGACGCTGACCTGTATGCATACAGAAATAGGAATTAAGCTACCAAGAGTGCGCACTGAGGTGGAGGGCCAACCGAGACCAACTGTTGGATGTCCGCTCGGGCCATAGCCGCTGCCTGTAAGGTCTATTTTGTTCGTCTCACGATGCTCCAAGGATCAATCGCGCGTTGGTGTGTTGGTGGCCAACCAGATTGCGATGGTGGTCTGTTTTAAGCTGCTCGCATTGCGAAGCGCTTCGAGAAAGCGGCTTCGGATTGGAACGTCCACTCAGTGACTTGGATTGTCCTCAGCATGCTGAAGAATTCCGATCAACAAATGAGGCTGCTTAATCGTCTTTTAAACTTTAGAGCGTGCTGTCCTTTTCATTCATATACGCACAGTAGGAGTATATACTAGAAGTCACAGACAAATAGCAATATCAGAAACGCTCTCAATGACGGGAGACGACTGTACTCCGTAGCGAAGGCAGAGTTGGGTATCACGCCGCTTTTACCCCGCTCGAGTGCCGGATACGTTGCCTCTGTGCCTCTCCCTTCAGGAGGCGGCATCGACTGAGAAGTGCGTACAAAGATACAGCACGTCTTATTTTGGCCAGAACATTTACTCCAGATTTGCTTGCTCGGTGTAAATCCCATATTGTCGTCTGTAGATCTTACAACGCACAGACTCGAGGTGCGGTCAGATTGTTATCTCGATGTTTCGACGGTCAAAATCTGGGACGTCAGCAACGACCACCCGAGTATTCTTATAATTGTAAAGGGCCATCAACGCATTTTACCCGGTAGCAGATGTTTTGGCCTCTTCAAAGTTACAGAAGGTGTTGTTATTCCGACACAGTCGAGTGCCCTCAGAGGATCTTTTGCACCTCCCAACAGCCAACAGGCCTCTCTTTCCGTGGGGTTGGTGCTTCGGATTGTGTTTCTACTGCACAGAACGGCCGCGCAGACCTACGAAAGGTGTCCGAAATCGCGCGGCTTTCCTCAAGCGTTTGTTGGTTTCTGAGCGTATCCTAGGCATCTTTTTCTATGGTTCTGTCCGTTCCGGTGCCTGGTTGCTATACTCCAGATGGCAAATTGATACCATCAGGTTGACATACATTTAGATACCTAGGTACAGCATAATGTGTCCAACTCTCCGTATCAACTTAGCCAAACAGCATGCCACCACTCCTTCAGAGAAGCCATACGATAAACGTTGGCTGCCAAGTTCCCTATTATCAACTCTCTACGACACTTGTCGGGTGCCGGAGAAGCAGGAGTTTGATATCGCACTCCAAGGTATCATTTTCCATTCTTTCCGTATAGCTCCAATATCTAGGTCAACAAATTGTCCAATACCGTCAGATACCTCGACATTAGACTTACTAACTGGCAAGACAGTTTGTCGGTATGACGCTTCGTGTCGGACAATACAAGTGGCAGTCGACTGTCGAAATCCGATAATTGCTCGATCAAGTTGATAAAACACCGTGTGTTACGTGTACTACATTCAGTAAATAAGACGCTTTTGGGGGCTTCCAATACATTGAACTGAATACCAGACTGGCTACTAGGTTGCTGCCACTTATACTGTCCACCGCGGGACTGCGTCAACACACTGTCGCCAACTGGTGCGGCATAATGAGGTTGTGGAACGCTTGTTACTCCCAGAAAAAAGCACATTCCAGGAAGTCGGCTTGCTCCACTGACGCAAGCACTCTATGCAGTCCAATCTGCATGAGATGTATGATAAGTCGTGCCGGTTCTCGATGCAATACAGTTGACTAAAATCTTGGAGCTGGGAATCGTTCTAGATACCTTGCTTGATTGATGGTTCGGGTCTTTCGAAGAGAAGAGCTTGATCAGGTCAACATACTTATGACTGACGGCCGCACGTTTGGGAATACAAGGCAGTATGATTCCTCTTTGAAGCCATATTGTGGCAAGTGAAATATGACAAAAGAAAAAGGACGAGATATTGCACAACACCTTGTGGGACTGTAGCATGGTCAAATGCTATTACTGGCGGCCTTTCAGGGCACAGGTGAGCACAGCAAAGCTGTGTCTCGTGGGACTCAACGGCCGCGGTGACATTGGATTTCCCCTGAGAATAGCTGCATTCGCAAGACTGCATGATCCCTGATATGCGGAAAGCTTGCACAGACCTAAGGATCAAAGTCAGTGGGGAGTGCACTAATTTTAAGGTTGATGTACAGTACATTACTCTGATTTAGTCGTTCCCTCGCGCCGTTGAAGTCACCGTCTCCATTTCTTCTGTTGGGGCGTGGTTATTGTGGATCAGCAGGATCCAGCTACAAAGTTAAGTTTATACTTGGGAGATCATCCACCCATAAACTTAATCTTGGGAAGTGTCGCTATAGACCAAATCAGTGCAGTAGTCGAAACACGATACGTACATTAGTCAACCCAATTGACGTAGGTCGTGTGCTTAACTGGGCATCTTAACTATGCTCCCAATGAACAAGCTAAGTGGCAGTATTCTTTTTTTACCCTACCTGATTCAATTACACTTAATGTAGGAGTAATTGTCCTTACCTTGATAGTATTAGTTCCTAAGCACAGCCCAAATATTTCTGATTTACCCCAGGCAGTAGACAAAACATACGATAGTTCGTCAATTTTTTCGAGTAAATATCTCGTTCCGACTACCACTCATTTCCTGCGGCGAGATACTGTACAGTTGAAATCTGGTGAATCTCAAGTTTTACTTAACTCATCCGCATGGTAACTACAACGTGAGGAAGCCCAGGTTCTCACTGGCCAAATTGCAAACCGAATCATCACTTGGAAAATTATTGGCAAGTTGCCAGTTCACACATTGGTATATGTACCCAGAGTCCTAGACAACTGCACAACGGTTTTAGCTGCCGGAGCCGGTTCCGAGCTTTCCCAATGGCTGGACCAAATAATGCGGCTTGCCTCTAGACTATCCGACGATGAGTTTGGACCACATACTCATGTACCGGAGATTTGGAATGGGTTTCTTCGTGCATTAGAGGTGTTGAGCTCATGTAGAATCAGGAACAAGTTTCAAAGGAACAAATATCGAACGTCAACGAGGCTCGAGGGCCGACCCGAAAAGTTAATCGTCGGCTTTAGTAGGGCACTCCCTCGTCACAAGTTCCTTAGTCGGGAATAGCAAACGCGCACTGGTAGCGTATACGCACTCGCTTAAGTGGCCTATGAAATCTATAGAGTAAATGTAGTACTCTAGGTAATTGTCTTATTAGTAAATATTTTCGCGGAAGTTGAGGTATACTTAGTATCTTACTACTTAAACACCTACTCTCACTGGGCAGTAAGCGAGTGCGCGTACGCTACCAGTGCGCGTTTGCTATTCCCGACTAAGGAACTTGTGACGAGGGAGTGCCCTACTAAAGGAACTTGTGACGAAGGAGTGCCCTACTAAAGTCGACGATTATATCTTTTCCAGTCAGCCACAATGCGATCCAGAAGGAATTTTAAAAAGTGTACCTAATATAAATCTTTCCAGGCATAAGTCCGACAACCAAGCCGCGATGGCTCGCAAAGGCAGGCCAGAACCCAGGAAGAGGGGCAATCTGTGCACAAGTGCCCGCGCGGGGCTGATGATAGGATGTAGTCAGGCCACAGGGGGTGCACGAGTTCGTTGTGTGATTTTGTACCGATTCGCTTACAAAATCACACAACGAACTCGTGCACCCCCTGTGGGTGTCTACTGCCAATTACAGCAGTTCTCATGCTCCTCACCGTCTCTCAGCTCCATTATTTTGCTGTTCATCTAACTGCATCTCCACCTCCGCAAGGCGCTGTCGACGGTTCTTATCTGGCGGACACGTTTTGTGACTGGCTGCGTGGTCTGGAAACTCGAGTCTCGATCAGCTCGCTGCACATCACGCCTCAATGAAGATCGAGGCAATTTTCGAGGATGGAGGGGGGAGCCAAAAGTTTATCCTTGGTCACGCTGGGGTCCTGGTCGCTCTGTCCGTATATTGATAAAGGCATGCAAGATCTCCCCCCTCCCTGGTACTTCGTACTCCATCTTGCTTGGGCGAACCTCGACTTGCTTTTTGCCTCGTGAATTCTTGCACACATACATACTCTTATGTTGAGGATAATTGGCATTCACCCTTACTCACGGCGTGTGCATTCTGCTTGACTTCCTTCTTGCATTCAATATATCATCATCATCTCCTTATTACTCCTCGGTCGAGCACTCTGGCTGTGCTAACGTACCCAGCCGAATCTGTCTCACCAAGTGCGCTCATCAGTGGTCGCTTTTGAATCACCTCGACTGAATTGTGAATCACTTCTTTTTGCGACTGTTCCGTCTTCCTCTTGGCCATCCCATATCTTTCATTGTGGCAGAACAGCATTGGTAGCGACAACGACATGCCAGCCTTTGACGTCGGATCGGATCGAATTGGATGTCATAACTCAAATCCTTCAGTCGCAAGCACATATCAATCTTCAAACAATACGGCATTGGTAAATCAGAGCAAGGGAGCTGCGGTACTGCCCATCCATCTTCCTCCATCGCCAGCAGACAGCGATATGTCAATCCACGACCGACCATCGTCAAGCCGTTCAGCCCGTACTCAGGAAGAGACTCGTCTCACAAGGAAGCTTGACCGCGGTGCTCCCGGAGATCAAGCCATATTTTCCGACAACAAAACTCCTGAACAGAGACAAGTTGCGCGAAAGAGAAGTCAGTACTACCAAGAGACCTTCGCTGCGCGAGAGCCAAACTCCTCGGCCCGCGAGCGTGTCTCGAGAGACTCAATGGTGATCGCAGAAATCAAAACCAATGTCATTGTAAGTTCTAGTATCATTCTCAATTAGACACAAGTCTAACAGCACCTAGATTCAGGACGAATACAGCTTCATAACAGACCTTTCCTATAGTCTGTCTACTCGTTATCAGCGGCCCGAGTCTTCCATCTTGGTGACTGTCGCTCACTCGGCATGTTTAGTATTTGGGGGCTCATTCGATCCAGCATACACCATGAGCATCACGGCTCTAAAATCACAATTGCAGCCGGTCACCAATAAAAGGAATTCTACCCTGTTATCCAAGGCCATGGAAGAAGGACTAGGGGTACCACCGAACCGAGGCATCATCAAATTTATTGCTATCGCCGAGGAGGATTTTGCTACGGACGGGAAGACAGTAGCTAGAGAAATAGAGGAACTCGAGAGGAAATCACTGGAAGATGGCTCAGCGATACAGAGAGGTTTGTCGAAGGCTTCCGGGAAAGGTAGGAAGAAGAGCATGAAGTCGTTGAGGAAATTCAGGTCAAATTCACAATTGGCTACGCACGAAGAAGCAATGACCCCTCCACTCAGCGGACGTGAAAATTCGCCAACGCTTCCTCCATTACCTCCTACACCTTCAACCAAAAGCGTCCATGATCGTCAAGCTGAAAAGGTCCAAAAAATGGGTAGACGGAAAAGCTTTATGGCCACGTTGCTTGGAAAATAAACACACTGGGTTTATGGACGAGATGAAACATAAATAACAAGCAAATTGAATCCGGGTATGTTTATAAATGGGCATGAGCATGATCCTTGACGGCAATGGGTTCTTTGCATACGAGTGCATAGCGTGGAGTTCTGGGTTGCAATTATTATGGTCTACAGTCAAGAGATAGAAAACATTATACCAGGATCATTGGGGAAGATGGATAACTGCATTATGGGGTGATATTAGAGGAGGCCGGATTATTTCAGGATATGAACTTTGCGGGGTTGATAGGCAGTAGTATCAGCAAGAAAACAGGGAAATGCAATGATAAAAAACTTCCTCCGCGAATCAACCCCTTGAGTATGTGTGTTATCTATCGCTGTCGTACAGTTAAATGATCCTAAGCATGCAATACCAGTTTTGGACCTGCAGACGACGGGCAGACGCGGTGCAGCGGGAGATCTCGGTGTGACCCGGTCACGAATCAGCACCTCGATAATGTTGGTACCCGTCTCTTCCGCTAGAAGGCTGGTTTCAGTTACAGTATGCCGTGGTGGGATGTTTTGAGTTTTGATCGTGCTTGTACTTCGGTATCGTGAGCGTGCCTGTCTAATATTGATTTAGAGGAGGAGAAGTATTGCTGAAATAACGAAGAGCCTAAAAAGATGGCCTTAGAGATGAATGACTACGGAGTACAACATTTTCTTTTTATCATTTGAAGAAGGTTTCGAATTACGAAGTACCTTGATGGCTCCGTAAGCGGTAAAATGTTCACTGTTCTGAAGGTACCTTAGCTCAGTGCTGCCAGAAAAAGCCCGATTAGCGTCAACAAGCGAGCTCCCCGCAAAATCTCTTGACCTTTAGGCCCTTGAGGCTCTGACCAACACCATCAACTCTTTTTGTTCCCACCAACGACCACTCCCACTCGATCACGACCAAATCTTGTCGCATTAACGGGAGGCAGACCACGGGAGGCATTCGGGACAACCACGTCAACAGCTCTGTCCTTTCCAGTCGAAAATTGCGTATCATCTATTTGACGGTTTGCAACCCCTTCCATCGGCCATATCCCACATCTCCCTTGAAGCACGGGACTAATGCCAAGGGGTAGGATTGGTCCTCTAATATTCTGGCAAACACACGATCCATATTTATCCTCCTCAACGTTTAGAACCAGACGAGGACAACCGTCCAAATATACACCCAAGGTGGTTGGCTGCCGGCGAGGCTGCCGTGTGCCAGGGGAACGAGGATATACGAGCCAATTACAGTATCCAGCAAGTCGACGAAGTGAAGAGGAAAATGGCAACAGAGGTACGAATCGCTTTTTCACTGTCGATGGATTGTTACTTTCACCTTGCAAATCGTCCTTGACTCGTTTTTTCTCCATCTGCGTCATACCGCTATCTAATCATGTCTCGGCGGGAAATGAGACCACGATTTTTTGGTACTCAACAGAGACAACCTGTTTACCAGTGCTATTATTCCTGTGCCAAAGCATCGGACTTTTTTCACGGGGCTTCTCGATTCCTACGACTGCTGGATGCGAATGAGCCATCTGATTGATTTGTGTTCAAGAATGCGTTGAATACGGGGTGACCTCCGACGAGCATTACCAATACTCGAGGAGTTTGTGAGACCTTGTAATATGTGATTCGAGATGAATCGCTGCGGCCCGGACCTGAGAGAGCCAGTCATTGTTGTCTGACCGAGCGTCACCATGTTGCTGCCAGCGCAGAAAACATGATGTTTGCTAACAACCTCGTCTTATAATTTCAAGTGTACTTCCGTCCCATAGTTCCAGCTGTGAAGGTTATTTCCTTAGAGATCCATCTGCGTTCCGCCGTTACATGGAGGACAAGCATTCCTGTACCCGGTATCATTATCCTCGGAAACGTTCGCTTGCTGATCGAGTCTTGGAATCCTGTCCTCGTCCGATGCACAAACGAATTCGAGTGGTGGTTCTCCCTTCTCAAGTGGAAATGGAATTCGGAGCAGCCCAAGTCACAAAGTGTTGTGCGCTCATGTGGTGAAGTTCACTTCTCACCTGGTTCAACCTCTCTTCGCTGCGGAGTTGAACCAAGAAAGTTGCAGCTTTTGGAAAACCGCAAGCTGCAAGTAACGTTCTCTACATTGATTTATGATTCCATCAATCTTTCAATATCTAGAACAACCATGCCGGTTCTTCATACAGGACGGCGACGTTCGAACCAAAATCGCTCGTACAATGGCCCTGCACGTCAAGGTCCTGTCCGTCATCTAAGTGTAGCACAGCTAAATCTTGAACGTGTTTATGAACAGAATCGACTCAATGTACAAAAGAGAGATGGGGCCAATGCTCCTGAGCCAGCTCCCGGTACGGCTGCCAAAGGCAAGCCGAGGTTATTATTAATGGGACAACGAAGGTTCGACAACTTGATTTGCATTTGAACGAGCTACCGCTGATGAAACATAGAAGTGGAAAATCATCGATTTCCAGCGTTGTATTCCATAAAATGCCCCCCAATGAAACGCTCTTCCTGGAATCTACGGCAAGAATACAAAAGGATGCGATGCAGTATGTCTCACGCACCGTCTAGTTCACAATTCTAATATATCTTAGCTCGTTCATGGACTTTCAGGTCTGGGACTTTCCCGGTCAACTCAACTTCATGGATCCATCTTTCGATCTAGATGCAATTTTTGGTGAAATAGGAGCACTTATATGGGTCATAGATGCTCAGGATGAATACCACGAAGCTATTAACCGCTTGAACAGCACAATCCTCAACATTTATCCCAACTATCCAAACGTCAACGTTGAGGTCTTCATACATAAAGTAGATGGCTTGTCGGATGACTACAAACTTGATATCCAGAGAGACATCATGCAGCGCATACAGGATGAGCTTTCGGATCATGGTGTTGAGAATGCGCCAATTAACTTTCACCTCACCTCAATCTATAATCATTCCATATTCGAAGCATTCAGCAAGGTTATTCAAAAGCTGATACCTCACCTACCAACATTGGAAGCCCTTCTGAATGACCTTTGCCGGGCTTGTAGATTTGAGAAAGCATATCTTTTTGACGTCCTTTCGAAAATATACATCGCCACCGATTCGTCACCCGTTGATATGCCGTCCTACGAGATTTGTAGTGACTACATTGACGTTATTGTCGACGTGTCAGAAATATATGCTTGGCCTCGACCACCGGAGTATATTCAGCTATTAGAGGGTCCCCCATGGAATAAGAAGTTGGAGGATCAAACCGCTTGCAATGATGCTGAGAGTTGCATCGTGTTAACGGATGGGAAACGGCCAATCATGTTGAGAGAGGTCAACAAGTACTTGGCCCTTGTGGCAATAATGTGCGAAGGTAGTTACGAGAAGATGCCGAGCGTCACCATGAATGTGGAGAGTACAGTCAAGGGTTTGACTGAGGTTTTTAATATTACGAGGCAGCGGAGGTGAGTTAACACTGGTATCGGGCCGTTTGTTATTCTGACTTTCGTTACAGGGAATAATAGCATCACCTTCTTCGATTCGAACTTGAATACAGACATTCAACTACGCTAGACGAGGCTCGATCTCCATTTTGGCAATAAAAAAGGAAAGACGTTTGTAAATTAAAATGAAAGCCAAAAATCTACACATCATTGTCATGTCTGTTTTTGCCCCATCCAAGTCTCATACTTTCCCGCCGTCTCCTCTTTTGTTACATCCCTAAAAGCACTGGAAGCTCCTGATGCCATTCTGGAAATATCCAAAGGTTTGCTGCACATTGGTCCTTACTTCTTGACTATAACCTGTACAATCATCGTTCGTATAGACTATACAGATTATTCCTGCTGGACTGTTGACTGATCCTTACATTAGCCTAGTTCTATCATCTAGCCCACGTTGCAATCTTATAGATGGCAGGTATTCCTAAAAGGTTCTTGTATAGTTACTCACCGACTAAACTCTGTGCTTGCGCAAAGAAAAATCCCGGCACTCGATAGCAATTTACGGACGTAGGATTCGGATAGGGATAGGAGAGGCCGCCGAAGGCTTTGTAGATGTAGCCTGAGTAATTTGGGGAGGTATATAGATTCAGAAGGTAGGATGTTGAAGGAGGTTGCGTGTTACATGACTAAATATGTGGTGAGTGAGATGGAAGAGAGTAGCTTTGGAAGAAATACTAACGCATCCTCCGACTGCTCGCGGGGTTGTGGAGAGCATCTGGAATTGACATCCTGGGTCTGCACAGTTATTGTAGAAGTTGTTGGTTGGGTCTTGACCTTGGGCTGAGGTGGTGGTGATTAGGAGGGTGGAGAGGATGGAGAGGGAGGAGAAGATTGGGACACGCATTTTGAGGATTGGTTATTTGAATGCGTGGGTGACGATTAGATTATAGAATTGGGGATCAGCAGGGTATATGTTTGGGAAATTGATGTTGGATGGATATGTCGTACAGCTAGATGGTTTGTGGCGACGGGTTACAGGTGTAGATGGTCGGATATTGATTGTGATAGATGGTATCTAGGGTTTATCGATGTGAGTCCGTGGCTGTTGTGTCTTCTTTTTGAAGTCGAGAAGCTATTGAATTAAAGAATCAATTCGTGTCATTGTTGCGGGCTGCTTGAAAGCTTCAGCATCGATATAGCAATTCATCAATTGATTCCAAAAAAGACCCCTCTTACCACTTTACTCAAAATCGAATCGATATTCGTAGCCACAAATATCTAAGTCCTCCTCCATTGCACTAATCTCCACATTCGAGTAATTGATCTCTCACATCACACACATCAACCAGCTGCTCGGTTTCCCCTGTAGTACATGCAAAATATCGACCTTCTGACTGCGCCTTTTGGGTTCTCGACCTATTGTGAAAGTCTAGGTATCTCTCGATCCGGTATCTAGAGTAGATTGAAGCATGTTGGACTCGGCCACCGACAGAACGGTACTGGTACGAGCCATTCCAATAAGGCGATGGAATATCAAAGGCCCGGCAATGGTTTCTGAGTATAGGCTTCCCCTCGCGGTGGACAAGATGAGTGGTGGTAGGATAGGATATTTCTTGAGTCAAGTCGACAAATCGTGTATTTCGGCAGGTATCCCCAGAAATTGAGGCTTTTCTGGACTGTTGAACACGAATATATAATCAAGACTACGTAGGTCGTACGGACGTAATTACATAACGACATGTGGATACTTGATAATGTTTGCATACAACCATTCCCCGGAGGGCAAGTAATATTTTTGAGAGGTTGTAAAGCAGAGTTAGGATGATCCGTGTTACAAGATCTCAAGAAACTCTCGAAAACTCTTGACAGTATTTGATTTATTTTAGACATGGTGAGTATTGAAGATTGGAAGCTTCACTCAATAGGTCAAATCCAAAGATCTCTTCCTGAAAACACATCTAAATTCTTTTCCCTCGTATCCGCTGATTCCTTGAAATGCCATTCATTCGAACTTTTAAGGACACTTCCATCCAAAGAGGGCAGCACTACAGAACACATATGCTGGACAAATCAACTGTCTGAATTATGTTATGTGCGGCTACAAAGTCTTGGCAAAATTGTTTTATGGAACCTTATATCCCGTCACTTGATTGAAGTGCATCTTCGGAAACCTATCTCGCGGTGGACATATTCAGTGGTAGTCGAAGCACAACATTTCTTCGATTAAGTTAACGAAATATCGGCATTTAGTGGATCAACTTGGAACAATATGACTTATTTCGTTAATTATTTTAAGTGAATACGACTTCTTAAGCTCTATTCGAAGTCGAATTATTAAGTCCCAAAATTAGTAGGCAGGTAACTGACACTTATTTTGTCCTCCGCGAGCCTATCTATTCCAATGAAAACTGTCCTAAGTAATTTGACAAGTCATCCACCTAGCTTTTTTTCATATCAAACCTCAATAAGGGGAACCACATCTACAGGTCGCTCATGCTGATTTTCCTGCTGTTCATCCTGACCGTTCCTGGCTTCTCCCTCAGCACTCACGTCGCCCTCGGTTGCAGCCTGCGCGCTTGCTTCAGCTTCACGCTCTGCAGCAGCGGCCGCTTCATCAATGCGACGTTGTCTCTCTGCAGCTTCGGCTTCCCTTGCGGCAATATGACGTTCTCCAACACCGGGTACAAGACTAGCCAAGAATAAGAGTAAAGAGTGCTCGACTCGTCTGAATTGGGTCAAGATCCATGGCTGATTGCCGCGTCGATGTTGCTCAATAATCCGCGCTGCTGCTTCTGCTGGATCTGGCTCATTGCGGCCCCTAGCTCCGCCCTCCGGCGCGTTTGCAGGAGGAGCTCCTGGCTGTGGTATGGCAGCGTTTGCAGCAGGTATCAAAGCTGCATCGGGTCCCGCAAGAGGGATCAGAGCCTCGAGATGTCTTCGAACAGGTCCCCAGACTTGATCCGCAGCACCATTGAAAAGGCCTGTATTGACGATGAATATAATAAAAGCAATACCGGTAACCATGAACCATCTACTCCAGCTGGGATTTCCCGACGTCAAAAACCACACGAAGCCCACTAGGCGGATAATGAGCCACAAAACAGGTCCTGCCTGCGCAGCCAGCGCGCCTGCGCCAGGATTTGCATGCGGTGCTCCTTGTTGTACCTGTTCAGCCGCTTGCCGTCGTCTAGCTACCCGATCTGCCCTGTTCGCTGCTGGCCTGTTACGATATTCCGGCAATCCTACAGGTACTTCAGGTTGACCAGATCCATTTATTGGGGAGGGAATGCGATGGCGCCTATGCTGTCGGGGTGTGTAATACGTTTCTGAATTGGCCAAGAGCAGTGCCCGAGGTCCTTGAGGGGAGGAAAGCAGATAAACTATTGAGTCCGTATCAGGAGATGTATTCGAATCAACGGTCGTTGAACTTGGGGCAAAAGAGGCCGACGCTGTTGCTGAGGCATTAATTGCCGGTGCAGGCGTCACTGAAGGTGCAGGTATCGCTTGCTGACCTTGGTTTTCGTTAGGAGCCAACCTGCCCAAAGCCGGGTTAGGGTTTGAGGCACTACGCTGCATCGTATCAAGAGCAGCGCGTGTATCTCGCGCAGCCTGTGCTCGATCTGCATTGCGCAACATCGCTTGTACTTCAAGCATTGGATTACCAGGTGCTTGGACCATAGGATTATGATGGTGGTGTTGGTTGTGAGCTAACGGAATCGTTGTGGTGGTCTCGTTAACAGTCATCTGCCATCTTTCTCCATTTGGCCCAATTCCTTCGCGTGTATATGTGGACGTATGATCTGGCCGGTGGAGATTTGGACTTGCTCTTCCAGAGGAGCTAGCTCGCACAGGGGTAGTACTTCCACTATCTTGGGCGCCATTTCGACCGTCTACTGCTCGACCCCTTTGTTGTTGCGAAATGAACGCTTGAACTGAAGGTGGAACACCATTGGGAGGCCGTGTGGCAAGCTGTGGTAATCCAAACATGGCCTGTGGCCCTCCCTGGAGGTTGGGAATTGCACCTGGTAGTTGGACTCCATTCACAAGAGGCATGTGAGGCCGATGTCCCGGAGTTGCCGCTGCCATCTCTTGCTGTAACCTTTGCATTTCCCTCTGCAGCTGTAGCAGTCTATTATTCATCATAATTTGATATTGTTCGGCCTGGTGGAGGAGCTGATGTTGTTGAACATGTTGAAATCCGGGTAATGGTTGCTGCGCATTCATTCCCTGGCCTGCCGGAACGGTGTGAGCTGGCCCAGCAGGTACGGATTGAGGACGAGGCAATTGGTGGGCCAAATTGCCAAGTATATTATGTGATAAATTCGGAGCTTGGGGGGTAGGTTGCGGAAGGACTGGCGGTCTCGAAGTCGGAACCGACACAGGAGGCACAGCGGCTGTTGCGCCTTCAACTGGGCGGAGAACCAAATGTAGAGTTTGCTGTTCCGGATTGCATAACTATTTTGAAGTCAGCCAAAAGCGCGAGAATGGATGCACTGGGGAGTTTACTGTTTCCTTCCCAAAGATATCTAGCATGGTCTCTGTCTCTCTCGCGAGCATCCGTCCGCGATGTATGAGTCTTTGGTTTTCGTCTGGAGGACTCGATTGTAAGGCGTCGCGGATTTTAGCTTTCAATTGCTTGACGGTGGTTGTTGCTGGTAGATGTGGGAAGCTCAGACGACTGGCAGCTCCAACAGAAGGGGACACCACAATCAGAGTAAATGAGAGGGGTTCCGGCTGTTCGTCATCTTTCGTCGGCACCGCGTTGCCAGAGTCGGGAGTTTGTTGCGTCTCAGACATGGTGAACTTGCGCTGTTGCTGAAAGTCCACAGATGATTTAAGTGTTTGTTATTGAGTCGGCCGGGTCCAGAGAAGACTAGGAGGTATCGTAGGCGGCGAGCTCTGGATGATTCAGAGTTCGAAAATACTCATATCGCTTCAGATATAAGATCGATCTGATAACCTCAACTCTGACTCTTTTCGAAGACGTGTTGACTGTCTTGATGATGAAAGATGCTGCTGATGCTCTCGCAATACTACATGATACGTTGCCCTTAAGCTCTGAACCCCTGCTACTTTCGGTGATACCATTTGCCGGCGCCGCGCCGCCGGTTCATCGTCATATCGTTGCTCACTTAGACAAACTTTGGCGTACCTATTCGACATTATTTCCTGCTCGTTTCGTTTTTGTTTCTGCTTTATGGCTTTTGCGCAGCTCCCCGGTTGCAGCGTCTTGTTCAAGATCTGTTAAAAATGTCTTCGATAACCCGACATGCGAACTCGCGAATTATTGCGAAAGATATTGGTCGAATTGCCCATATTCAGCAGACATCCCGATTGCAGAAGGGTCGGGGGTTTTCAAGCTCCGCAAGATGCTGCCAGAAACACACAGATTACAAAGAGTCATTTGGCACGCGGTTGCGTAGGGCGTTGGGCGACACCAAGATAAAATGGTACCCAATTCCAGTTGGGTTGGGTATTGGCTTCCTTGGGCTGGCGCAATTATACAGAATAAACAACCGTGAAAATGCCAGACGGCGAGAGGAGGACCTTGAAACCGATGGATATGTATACAGCAAGGGCGAGGGAGAAAACACCGGCCGTGATGGCAGGCCTCGAAGACGTGAAAGGATCCGGCCGACAGGACCTTGGTATGTTATAACGTTGCCACTTAGATACTGAGTTGCTCGTGGCTGACTCCTTATTAGGCAGGTCCAGGTAATGTCAACTCTACCGTTAAAAGCTATGTCGAGAATTTGGGGCAGATTTAATGAGCTGGAAATACCATATTATCTACGGGTACCTGGGTTCAAATTATACTCGTGGATATTTGGGGTCAAGTATGAGTCTTGAGACCAATCCACAAGCAGTCGCTAATAATAACTCAGTCTCTCGGAAGTTGCTGAACCGGATCTCCATGTATACCCCAATCTAGCTTCATTCTTCTATCGAAAGCTCAAGCCAGGTGCCAGACCATTAGACCCAAATCAGAATGCACTTCTTTCGCCAGCCGATGGCCGTGTGCTTCAATTTGGAGCAATTGTAAATGGCGATGTTGAGCAGGTTAAGGGGATGACTTATAGTCTCGACTCTCTTCTTGGCACTAGCAAATCGTCGGCCTCTGCAAATGATTCAAGCTTGTTTTCACCGAGTGAAGGGACCCCACAACAGAGCACTTTCACGAGCAAGGAAAATCAAGAAGAGATTATCAAACATGACGAGGAGTTTGCCAACGTAAATGGGATATCGTACACATTACCAAATTTGTTTTCTGGCGATTCTCAACAGAAGCAGCCGGTCAAGAAATCCGGCGATGCCTCCACCACCCCTAAGGCCGCTTCTGAGGCAGAGGTCCGCGCGGATCTTGCTCTAGGTGAGCGTCCATGGTATTCGAGTCTTACCAGAGAGAATCGTACTGCATTGTACTATGTTGTGGTATATCTCGCTCCTGGTGACTACCATAGATTTCACTCACCCACTGCGTGGGTCGCAGAGAAGCGCAGACATTTTGCTGGAGAGCTTTACAGCGTCTCTCCGTATCTCCAAAGAACACTGCCTGGTTTATTTACTCTGAATGAAAGAGTTGTTTTAATTGGAAGGTGGCGATGGGGATTCTTTTCATATACGCCAGTTGGTGCCACGAATGTCGGATCTATCAAAATTAACTTTGATCGGGAGCTAAGGACAAATTCATTAACAACAGATACGGAGGCTGACCGAGCCGCCGAAGAAGCTGCCAAACGCGGCGAGCCTTACACTGGGTTTGTCGAAGCTACTTATGATGCCGCGAGTCCACTCCTGCATGGCCACGCTTTACGTAGAGGAGAAGAGATGGGCGGATTTCAACTTGGAAGCACCATTGTTCTGGTTTTTGAAGCACCTCGTGGATCACGGCCTAGTCTTGATGAAGGGTGGATGGGCGAGAAAACCAAAATAAAGGGCGGCTGGAATTGGAGTGTACAGAAGGGGCAGAAAGTTAAGATGGGTGAAGCCCTCGGATACGTCGACGAGTCATGATAAATTTTGTACGATAGGTATGTAAATCATCTACTTTGTGCATATTCACCAGCTATACGTCACGTAGATGCCATATATTACTTGGTCGTCTCACGGTACGCAACGGACAGCACTGGCTTTCTCTCATGTACAATATCTTAAGCTCAATGTGAGAAACGATGTTCAAAACGACCACTTTGAAACGAATGACCCTCAAAGGTTCTGCGTTAGTGTGAATAGAACGCGTTGATTACGCAACCACGTGGTAACCGGCTTTTCAACTGTTGCTTCAAAAAAGTGTTTTGATACGCAGTATAACTGTAGATGCGGTAAATCTTAGCTCTGTTATGCGGTGCATTCCATGGTATCTAAGTAGTTCGCTTAGGCACTTCGAGGCAAGTCCGCAGACATGGGAGCAATCCGCTATTGTGGTACTACTGCTGACTCCTTGCAATAATAAGCTGCTTTCCAAGCTTAATTTCAAGAATCCAATGAGTACTCATATGGCAACTGTGTGTATAGCCGTGTCACTATAGGCTCTACACCTTGAAACAATATAGCTGGAGCTACAAACAATGCATGGAACGCGGCGGCAAAAGGTTAGCTTGTTCCAAAATGGGCGACGAGAGAGCAAAATATGTTTTACGAGACGCGCTTTGAGGCGTTCATTTGATTTGCGATATGCTAATTGTAATATGCGGTAAAATCCTTCACGTTCATCTACTGGTCAATGGTTGCGGGTAACCCTGAAATCTGCCGGAGGAATCATCTTTACCCGGGTCTCATCACTGGAAAAGTTGCAACTAGCATCACTTGCTTCTTTTCAGCATCCATACTAGAGGGATGAATTTTATGGGTACAATGCTGTGGATTGGGGCTAATGTGAAATGAATGCGGGGAAACATGTTCACCATATCCATGAACCAGGAGCTCGGTGGAGCTTAAATACTGCACCCAGCTGCTTGGACCTGTGTTCCGACCAGAGCCATAGTATAGTGTCAAGGTTTCTTAACAGCAGTCTACCATGTCTCCAATATTCCGGACTTTGCTTGCCAGCTTTATTTTCATCCCCACCACGATGGCCCTGACTTCTACACTGCTAGCGACTCATTTTAGCGGGGCAGTGTTTACTCTCTCCTTGACCACCGAAGGAAGCAATGGCACGCTTGATATCACTTCTGCTGCTGGAGGCTGTGGCTCCACACCAACGGTATGCTGTTCCTTGGCTCTCCTTTTGAGCTCCTGTTCACAATATCTGAGAAACATTTTCATCCTCAGACACGGCTCCCAGCTCTCGATGTTACGAGGAAAAATATATGCTAACTTAGTCCAGTGGCTGCAATACTATGGGGACACCAAAAAGCTATATTGCTTCGACGAATCATGGCAAGGCTATGGTACAATGGCGGAATATAGCGTAGCCTCTAACGGTGTGCTCACTGTCACAGGACAGGCGAAGACCACCGGAAATTCTGTACATGGGATCCTTTACGGTGGTCCTCTTGGTAGAAGCTATGTAGCTACGGTGGAATAGTAAGTGCAGATGGTTCTCAATCGAATCTTGTCTAATTACTTACAGCACCCCTTCAACTCTGACGACCTACGCACTACCCCTTAAACCTGGACCAGATGCACCTTTCACTGTGCCCCTTCAGATAGAGACTTTCTCTATACCAAAACCAGGACCTAATGAGCGTCAAGACAGGCCTCATCCGCATCAGGTTCTTCTTGATCCTACGGGGAAATTCATCCTCATTCCTGATCTCGGCGCTGACGCAATCCATATCTTTGCCATCAATGCTACCACCGGGCACTTGAGCGCTTGTCCTGATGTTCGGACAGCACCAGGTGACGGTCCACGTCACGGGGAGTTTTGGAACGCTAAAAGCAATACCACATCCTCGGATGGCTTGATGCTTTTCACTGTAAATGAGCTCGGTAATTCCGTGTCAAGCTGGAATGTCATATCTAGAAAGGGATGTCTGGATCTGTCTAAACTGCAGAGACTAAGCACTTTTGCCGATGGCAAAGTTCCAGCAGCCACGATTTACAATGGCGCTTCATTCCCTCCTAAAGCAGCGGAGCTACGCATTGTCGATAACTTCCTTTACGCTGCCAATCGCAATGATAAGTTGTTCGGAGAACAGACAGACTCTTTGGCGACTTACAAGATCGATCCTCTTACCGGCAGGCTCACCTGGGTAGAAGCAACAAGTGCTTATGCATTCTACCCCAGAAGCTTTAGTATCAATAAAGCGGGTACATTAGTTGCCGTAGGTGGACAGACAAGCTCGACTATATCCATCATCGCAAGGGACACTGCAACGGGCAAATTAGGTGGCTTGATTACTTCATTACAGGTAGGAAGTCTGGGAACTTACACCAACGAGGACGGTCTTAGTTCAGTTGTATGGGTTGAGTAGAATAAGCTTGCGAGGATTTAGAAACGACAAGGAATAGGAAACCAAAGTTGGCGAGGATCGTATTTTCGCTATGGCAAAAATCACATGGGTATTTAATACTCCAAAAGAGTTTTGCGTGAAGTGAAGTGTGCTATGTTACATCTCATTTCTCGAGAACCGTGGCAGACTTGAGCTCCACCCAGGATTTTTACTCGGACTCGTCGTCAAAGGTCACCCTATTCGAAGCCAGAACGCCAAACTGATTTGCTGCTCCCAAGCCTAGTCTTCTCATATCAACATCATCAGCGTTTCCCAAATAAGTTTCGCTGTCATAACCACTATCCGATCTCTCGCCCTCACACAATTCCGCAAGTCTCCCAGCAATTCTTTCTGCGCCTGTTCTAGCACCTTCGAGATTTGCGGCAAAGGGACCAAGTCTCAAACCTGCAAAGCGACCAGAGAAGAAAAAGGGTATGTCCTCGTTCCACTGGAGATCATTAGTAATGCATGGCAGTCCATTGACAGATTTGATGGGAGCCATTTCACGAAGAGACTGTAGAGCCGGGATACTCATAAAGTCAGCCTGAGCACCAGTTGCATAAACAATGTGATCGACACAAAGTCCCTCGACGCTGGGCTCAGTCTTCAACTTCCACATGTCTATATTTTTATCCCACTCAGCGTCAACAACCTCTATGTTCTCAAACATGTCGACTTGACCGGTTTTGACCAAATCCAGCACAAGCTTTTTGTATTCTGGCGTGAAGTTACCGCCGCCTCTCGCTTCAGTGATCATCTCAAATCGCTCCTCGTCAGATTCTGCGCCCCAGAACGCTGCTTGTTGAAAGTTGCGATATTTACCGACCCACGAGAGATCTGCGTCGAAATGCTTGACTTTCATGGGACCACGCATGAGATGATAGACTTTGGAGATTTTGGAGTTGATGGCAGCGCAGGTGACTTGTGCTGATGTTAACCCGCCTCCGATAACAGCAACACTTGTGTTTCTTCCAATTTTGATTTTGTTGAGTACGTGATCTGGAAGCGACGATGTCGGCGATGGATGCGGTGAGAATGCATGAGAGACACCTTCTGGATTCTTGTGACAAAAAGTGCATGTTGGTGGGATTGTTGGAGGTGTGGCTGGACCTGCTGCGAAGACAACGTTCCGAGCTCTCTTTACTCCAGTAGAAGTTTGTAGTGTGAAGATTCCTCCATCTGCAAATTCATTTGGGCTGTATGAGACTGAGGTAACTGTTGACTTCTCCACGATGCTGTCAATGTTGTACCGGCACGCGACGTCGTTGCAGTACTCGCTAAAGAAACGAGTCGAAGGGCGGAAGAAATCGTTACGGTCACGTTCGTCCAAGTAAGTTGTCTCCTGAGATCTATGACTAGTGGGGATCAGCGACAGAAGACACACTTGCTATTTCTCTGCGAGACACTTACCCATTCTTAGCCTTTTGCTTTCGCTGATGCTTACTCAAGCTTTTGCCAATAACCCCCTTGATCTCCTTCAATTCCTTCTCCTTGCCATTTCTATAAGCATACTCCAGCATACCATCTCGATCTCTTGGATCTGGATGAAAGAACATAGGACTTCTCAAGTGAGTGATACTCAAGATCTCGAATCGCTTGTTCCATGCTCCCATCCATTTGTCACTTGTAGCATCCAAAGCAAGAATGTCCAACTTTCCTGAGACGGAAGGACCTGATAAAAGACGATCTAAAGAAGTATTGGAACGTCGGCTAGTTCTTACAGGCTTAGATTGGCGCTTTGACGAATTTGATGCTTTCATCCAGTGGAAGTGTCGATGCTCGGCTTCGGTAAAGAGAGACGAGGGTGTGTTTTCGCAAAGACGTGCTGCAACTGCAAGTCCGCAGGGGCCAGCTCCTATGATAATGATATCATGTATGTGAAGTTTAGATATTTCCATGTTGCAGAGACTGCTGCAAATAAAGCGGTGTTACTTGTGTTGTGAGATATACACCGGGATCTGTGGATAACAGTCAGCGACTTTTCCAAGATTGGTTGCCAATGACCGAAAAAGATTTTGGGAAGCAGCTATGCTCAGCAAGATATGGTTCCAAAAGATGAAAAACAAAACAAAACCGAAGTTCATAGGTTTTGAAGTGGTTGTCGTTGCTGGTCTTGAGAACCTTGATGGTTAAATGCCCATCAAGGTCCCATTTGCACCCCACTGAAGAAGAGGTTTATGGTGAATAAGCACAAACACTGATACGGCTCCTAATTGTTTTAATATAGAATATGTAGAATTCGAATTACCTCAGGACGGTCATAGTAAATCTTGGCAGAGGACTCTGTGCATGATGCTGAGCACCCTTCACCATCCACAAACCGTCAATTGGCACTAAACTTGTTGATAATGCGACCGAGGACTCAGCCATACTTATGAGTGCTGGAAATGTTACATAAGAGGATTAGTAGTAGTATAGTTCTATGGGTTTGACACTTCAACTCCAGTTAATTTATTACGCTGATGTAGCAAAATTTGAGCCAGAATCTCATATCCTTGCAGTCGCATCACAGTAGACAGAATGATGAAGGTGGAACTATAATGTTGAAACAAATAACATGAAACATTGCCACATGTCTTGTCTAGCAATTTGTGTAATTGTCACTTCTGAAGTTGTACTCTTCTGGAAGTTGTAATACCAGTGATTTTTGACGTTCAATGATATCCTCCAAACCGATCATGGGCAGTATTAGCCCGCTGCTTGTTCTTGAGCACTCATATATTTCAGAGAACGTTAAATTGTTTGTTGCGTGTGCGGACAGAGTCTATCGATATGGGTTTAAGTCTAAATATTTTGGATGATCATGGAAATTTGGGGTGTTTCTTGGTGAACAACCAAGTGGCAGCCGAATAGGATATTTCCTCGATTGACTTGACAGAATATCCCACAACTTGCTTGTGATTTCAGTAAAACAAACTAGTTTTGACTTTTGATAGAAAACCATATAACTTAAAGTATCTATCTAGGCCTAAGATTGGTCTCATTTGCCAGGTTGGTTGAAAGCTATTACCACTTATTCATTATGTCCACCGCGAAGATGGGTGGGAAAAGGTGCTCTTGATATCCTTTGATATCCTAGAAGTTAATTTTTATTCACTTTTGGTGCTAATTTCCTGGAACTCCGAGGTCTGTTAAGCTGATTTAGTCACCAAGAGGAAGCATGCAAGATCAATGTAGGGACGAGTGGAAACAATGTTAAAAAAAAATAGTATATTTAAAGCTACGTCGTAAATCAATGAGTAGCAGTCTAATCAGGTATCATACGCTAAATTACTGCAAAAGAAAGCCAAAAACAAAACCTTCTCAGTACCTACCTATTTCGGAATGTAGCCACCGTGCATCACTGGTACACCGAGGAGCGTCTTCGGGGTCGCTTTGTCGGTCTCCTTGATGGACTTCTAAGATCTCCGTCGAAGATGTTTGCATCTGGAATGAACTCTTCCTCATCATCATCCTCGAACACCTGGTCATCATTGCGCTTGCGCTTCCCACGGCCATTGCCACTGGGAGCTTTTCGCTCACCTGGCGCTCTGCGCTTCTTGGTGAGCTCGTTGCGCGCGTAGACCTCGGTGTTCCCAAGGTGGATATCGATGTTGTTTCCACCTCGCTCACCGCGGATACCCTTGATGTGGTTGGGCTGGTGGGTGATGTGGTACTTTGTGAGACGATAGCTCAGTGTATCTTTGTACCACTCATCAGAGTCGGTGTTTTGCTTCTGACCTGGCTGAGAGTTCTGGATGAAATCAAGGCAGATATGCTCCATCTTCTTGTGATCGCGGTTGATGGCCATTCTGTTGTGGCCTTCGAGGAGGACGCGACAATCTGGGACGACATCGAGATGTTTGCAAAGCAATGGGAAGTCTAGCATCTTCTCAAGGCAGCTGAGATGCATATAACCGGCATTGTGAAAAGGGTCGAGTGTCTCTGGGTGGGGATACCACGAAGAAACCTCGTCAAAAGCAACTCGAAAGAATCCTTTGTGAATGGTTCCGCCCTTGACTGGACATTCGGCCCAGCGGCATTTCTCTGACTTTCCTGGAACTGGATAGCGGTTCTTGCTGTCAGCTGGGTGATTTTGTATCCAAAGTCGAAGACCCGACTGTTTTCGGTTGCCTTGTTCCTTTCTCCAGTGGTCTTTGTGGTCGTATAGGAAAGTGTGCAGCTCCTCGGTGGTATATGTAGCACCAGGTGTAAGCTCTCCGTGCTCTGAGTACTGGAACATAGGCGGTCCACCTCGAGGGTCTGCCCCCCAAGGATATCTGATATAATCCTTTGGAACAGGTTTATAAACATCCTTAGCGTCAAATTCTGCAATGTTCTGGGGCCTCTTGTTTTTGCTCATCTTCCCATCATATGGTGATACTCTCAGCTCTTGTTTCTTAGACTTGATCTCGGCATTTCTCTCCTTGCGTAGCTCTGCCTCAAGAAGTTGCTGAAGCTTTCTATCGAAGGGATGCTTGTGGTTGTCGATGATACTGAGAGGGGTGACCGGGCTCTTGAACTCTCCAAGAATCTTGTTGCGATAGATAACCTCGTCGCCGGTATCCAACGAAAGACCAGGAGTCGGGGCAAAGCCTTGCTCATTGGAAGGAGGGAGTAGCATCTGTCCGTAGTGTGGTTCTGTTGTTGGCTGGATGTGGTATGGCTGTGTTAGGTACGTTTGAAGAGGTGCTTGCTGATTGTCATATGACGGCTCCGGATATTCAAAGATGTGTTGATAAGTCTCTTCTGTGTACGGTACGATGGGTATGCTGTCGTCCTCCAAAAAGAATTGTTCGAACTCATCGGCATCGTGCTGGTTGAATGCCATCAACTTGGCGTTCAGATCTGAAAAGTCGACAATCACCTCTTCTCGGTCAGAGGCATTGTTCTCTCCTGGGTTCTGCATGATCGCGTAGAAGGTAGCGCAGCTAAAATCTGTTGAAGTTGTATAGATTGAAACTGTGTTGCAGATGTTGCTGGTAATATCTAAGCACGAACCTGTCGTGTTTTGATGCAGGATGGGAAAAGAAAAGTCGATTGCAGAAAGAAATGAAATATATAGTAAAGAATGAATAGAGAACAGTGAGAAGTGAGAAGTGGTGTTCATATAGGAATACTGTTCTTTATTTCAAAGAATTATCTAGTGAAAGAGATTGAATAGCTTGAATACCCTTTAAATAGCTTGAATACAATGAATTATCCAGAACGAGGTCAAAGAGTCATTGGTAATGGTTGATAGCCTTGATACTCAACAAATAATTCAAGACGGACAGAATATCGAGTATCTTTATTTGAGATTGTTTCAAGTCTCGAAATATAAAAAAATCAAGGAGACATTGTCTTTGACCACAAAGAAGTTCTCTAAATTTAGATGTCAATGGAAAGTGCGGGATCTTGTGATCGAGTCTACTCACCACAGGGCGGCAAATAGTGACTGAAATTAATCTCCTGATTCAGAATAGGTAGTTATCGTTTTTCCTGAGCGCCCATTGACGACATGGGACGAGCTCACTGGTGCCAATGGCTCC